TTGAACTATTCAATTTGAACTATTCACGAAATTGAACTATTCAATTTGAATTATTCACGAAATTGAACTATTCAATTTGAACTATTCACGAAATTGAACTATTCAATTTGAATTATTCACGAAATTGAACTATTCGTGAGTCTTGCGATAAAATTGTAGATATGACTATCAATATTATCAATCCAGCTGTGGGAAATACAAATACTAGAAAGCCTACTTCGCAGGACAAGAAGCAGCGGCTGAATACCGCAAGACATCCCTCGCGCGTCGCACCTCTGATCGAGCAATTTCTGGAAGAAGGTGGAGGTCGTGGGGGAGGCGATGACGAAGTGATCATCCTCAGCAGCGACGACGAAGGAGGAGGACCTCCAGGGGGTGGAGGTGGAGGACCAGGAGGAAAAAATCGTAGAGCTGGCGGTAACAAAAACAAAAACAACGACGAAGTAATTTTCCTCAGTGACGACGATGAAGGACCTGGTGCTGGTGGTCCCGGCGGCGACACAAGGGGAGGACCAGGAGGGGATCGCAGACCTGCGGCGAAGAAACGAAAACTTATATGACGGAGAATTTGAGGTGTTTTTTGACTGTCGTCTTCACATGACACAAGGTCACGAGATCCGACCACAATTTGAACAGCCTGGTAAACCGCTTCGACGCAAATTTTTATATCGCATACTTAACAAACCTAAACCTATTTACAGTGATCTACCTAAACTTCTATTTTGATTTTACATTGCAATATATCGCATACTCAACAGAGTTTCTCAGCTCGATTACAAGGAAGCCAGCAAAGCATAACGTCCCCCGGGTAAGATAGCAGTGACCCCCTGTAGAAAAAGTTGTAGTTGAAGTTCTTTGCTTACACTGAGAAGCGAGGAAACGTAAATGGTCCCTTGAAAGAAAAAAAGAATCAAATTTGTTCCCCATTTTCTATTTGGTTGATTCCCACCGGAGGAGAAAGAAGCTTTCTCGCAGCAAAAAGAGCCTTTATCTTCTTGAACCCCACATTTTTTTCCGATTCTCGAAGGAATAATTAACCGCTGGATATGTAAGATCACGAAGAAGCACCAAATAAAAAACTTTCGAAGAATCAAAGAGTTACCCCCAACGAAACGAACGCGACGGTTCCCACAGTGGCGGACATGGCGGTCAAAAAACCTGTCAAGCTCGCAAATCCTATTTGAAGATACAGTAATAGCTCCAGTAGCTGAAAAATATGCCGCTCTGGGGAATGTGAAACTCCAGCGCAAGAGCAGGACGCTTTTTGGAAGCTATGTGTATGTCTGAGTTGGTTTTGTTCACCGTTGTAACGATCATGCAGGAACGGAAAATGATAATGAGGCTCGCACTTGAGAGTTCTAATAAAAATAATGTTAGTACTGGTCCTGCTGGTCATTTGCAACATCCATGCGAAAGATCTAGACCTGACCATGAGATGAGACGAGATCGCGACCTGTACTTAGGATTTTCACGAGATCTATTTTCCGCGATCATCAACATGCTTCACTGCATGGACAAACGTCAGCTAGATCATCCGGTTGTGCCTCGTGAAGAAGGAGAGCCAAGCATGGATGGATCCTTTCGTACTATGGAGAGTTCCCGAAGAATATTGACGTGAGCACGAGGGTCTGCTACGTCCAGTTGATGAAGAGTTTTCGTTCATGTCCTCCAGATCAAATCATCCTTCGGCCTTCGCAATTTTTATCAAGCACACAAAATGGTCCGTGAAAGATGGATCACAAAACCAGGCCGCTAGATCTACAACTTTATGAAGACAAGAAGTTTGTTTCCATCGCTTCGCTTACCACGCAGCACAGAGATAGCGGCAGGCAGACGCAGAGTTGTTTACTGTTAGCGATACTGACAATAATGCCTGAAAAAGTGCTACTTACTAGCGACTACATTTTTTGTTGTGCATAGAAATTTGTTTCCATAGCGGCCACTCAGGATATTAGTTAAGTACCCAGTACTTTGTTCTTCTTTTTCTTTATTTCACGACCAAAAGACCAAGACGGTATCAAACTGACACTATGAATTCCCCCTACCCCCACCAACACGACTACAGCGACGGCTCCCTTAGTGGTGGGCATGGCGGCAGTGATCCGAGGGAAGACGACGAGGACGATGATCCAGCGAACCGGTACAATACTCCCGAATACTACGAGGAACGTATGAGTGAATATAAACCTCCAGAAGAATTCGTTAAAACGATCCTCTCCCCGATCAAAGAGGAGAAGTCCGAAGAGGTGCGAGCCGCGCAAGACAGAACCTCTACGAGCCGAAGGAGTTTGTCGGCTAAGGAGCGTCGGAATAGCACAAATAATTCGCCGAAGAAAAGCGATGGAGCTTCTACATCAAGCAGCAGCAGTGTTCCCCGACGGGGAACGACGACGTCTATCCTGTGCAAAAGTATCGTACTCGTATGAATGGCAGTCTTGCATGGCAGATCTACCATTTTACCTCAATCAGCATTACAAATTCCATTTTTCCTTTTCCAAATTTTTTTCATGTTATTTGTACTAGTACGATAGTTTTGCAATGGATAACAGCGAGAAATGAGCTGTTGCTCAGAACCAACTCCAGAGGGGCGAGCAGCTCGCGGCTTAGCGACAGCAGCAGAAGGCTGAGTGAGGAAGGAGGAGGGGATGCTGATGGACAGCGGAATGACGACGGAGGAGAAGGAGCAGAGCAAGAGCGAGAAGAAGTACCTGAAGACGAGCATCTCGAGGAAGAAGTCCAAGTCGGTTCGGGCGGCGCTGACGCTATGGAGATTCAGGAGAAGATCACACCTCCAGTGGTAGAAGTGGACGAGGATGAAGTAGAGCGAGATAAGGGAGTGCGCGGCAACAACAGCCAGCAGCACGCTGCAGACGAAGCAGTTGTAGATACGTACGACCAGGAAGATGTTCATATGGAGGACGTCGATAAAGAAAATGAGGCGGAAATATTGGAGCAATCTTCCTCCGGCTCCGGACCGCAACCGCAAGATGAAAGTTCTGCTAGCAGAAAGGACGACGAAGCGAGTGCTGTTGTTCCACATGTAGTTGACAAAGCTCAAGAGCTCGAGCAGCGTGATTCGTCATCGGAAAACGAGCAATCAAGGCAGAGGGAGAGCCGACGAGATGTTGAGCCTGCGTCAACTACAACAAATAACCCAGTTCGTCAGAACGTTGACCGTAAGACAAACGCACTAGAAAACGGCGAAAATAAACTACCACAAGCCACCACCAGCAGCAACAGCACGGGAAATAAAAATCACGACACTAAGCCCGATGTTGTGCCGCGTGCAAAGAAGCCAACCGCAACATCCACACCCCCGCAGCCAAAGAAGCCGCGAAGACTTCTGTGCAAAATTCCGATCCGCTTGAGTCATTTCAACAACCCGGGTTCGGGGAAAACGCTGGATCTGTTCAAGGCCCACTATCCCTGCAGGAATAAGAATTTACCGTTAGGTAGGGAGAAGGAATACTTGATGGCGATGGAGCTGTTGAAAGACAAGAAGATGGCGCGGTTTGCGTACTTGAGGAAAAGCGAACAGGATTTTGTGGACGAAAAGGAAAACAACGAGATGTTGGCATCACAACAAACGGACCAATTTTCCCAGTACATGAAGAAATTCGACAAATCCGACACGGTTCAATCCACCCTCCACGTGAACCCGGAATCCAAATACGTGAACTTAGGCAACCACATGTACTACCTGGGGTCCCGAACCGATTCTATGGGTATGAAGCCACGCGAGTACCGCGGGGGCGAGGGAACTGCGGGCAGTGGGGGAACTACGAGTACAACTTCTGGAGCGGGTAGCTCCTCATCTGCCACCAGCAGTTCCAGTAGTTCTACTCAGCCGACCTCCTCGTTCGCCACAGCAGTTAATACCAGCCAAGCGGGTCAAGTCTTCAACCCACGGAAGCACTTGGATTATGTGCCATCCCATTTGGAAAACACGATCCCCACCCAGGAATATTACGCGGGGCAAATCCGGAACGGCGTGATGCATTTGACCCCGATCACGGGGGGGACCTGGCGGGTGAAACAGGACCAGGAGCATCTGGAGAACGAGCACTTGCTGAACCAAGCAGTGGAGTACTGCGGGCAGGAGTTGGAGCATTTGACGTCCTCGGGGGGGAATTCAACTCAAGGTGGTTCTTTCGGAGGAGTAGGACACCAGCACCAGCAAAGTCAACAATTATCCCAGGCGGAAAAGGATCGGAAGGCAGCGCAGGAGCCGTGGAACATCGTCAACAATGACTTGCACAATGACCCCTGGGTGAATCAACGGGTGTTTTCTCGAGAGGAATCGAAAGAGCTGATTCGGGAATATTTTGTTTCCGATCCACTGTCGAAGGCGACGGCGAGTACTTTTACTACTACAGAGACTACTGCTGGTCGTGGTGCTTCGGGAAACAAGAATGGCCCTAGTAGTTCGAGTTCTAGAGGTGCTGCAGGGGAGGTTACAACAGCAGTAACTCCTTCCAGTAATATTCCAGTCCCCCTACTTTTCCACAAAGCCAATTACCTCTCCAAAAAAGACGAGGGCACACGGGAGATTATCAAGTATAATTGCGAAGCGACTGTGAAAGAGGACTACTTCAAGCACAAGAACGACGAGTTTTTGAGGGAAAAACGGGTTTTCATCAACTTCTGGAAAGCGCTGACCAAGGGGAGGACAGAATTAGTAAAGCGGATGGGAGCGCCTTTGTATAAGCCACCGAAACCGAGGTCTACGCACTGCAGTGATTACGGGTTGGCGAAGTTATCCATCCGCGAGCAGATTATCGCGATCTCGTATTTTCACTGTCAAGAGTCTCCTGGATTACTACCCGCGGACTGGCCGTTTGTGTTGTGGTACAACTTACCGATCGCGACGAGGTATTTTCTACGGAACGTGAACTTCAAATTCGGAGATTTTTTGTCCGACGGGGAGAAAAAGTGCTATGGGGTGCATGGAGTGGAGAAAAATGAGGATGATGATGATACAGACCAGGACGAGGAAGAAGACCACCACCTTATCGCGGAGGACAAGTCGAAGCCGATATTGTCCGAGCAAGAAGCGGCGCACTACTGCATGACAGAGTTCTTCTTCATGCTGGGGGCGAATATTGCGAACGGAGTTCTTGCACAAGGAGGTGTTGCTGGGAACAATGGTATGAAAGGAAGTAGCGGTGGTGGTGCAACAGGAAAAGGACTGCAACAAAATTTCCCCGCCAACCCCGATTTGCAGCCGTACTGTGGGTGGCTGCTGAAATCGAGCTTCATGCAGCACCTGAGTGCGGACGAAAAAATGGTGCGGGATTCCTTGATTCTGATGTTCATGTCCGCGCGAAGCAGAACCTCACAGATCGAGGGGTGGCGACGGAAGATGAGCACGCTTTACACTGCCGACACGATTGCGAAGGTATAGAAACTTTGGGTTTGACTGTGAAGAATGGATTTTGTCATACAGTTTGAGTTTGAAGAATGCCTTCTGTTATGCTGTGTTTTTCGATGGTGAATAGGAAAAGGAATACTTAAGTACTTCGTTATATTACTTGCAAATTAGGCAAAAAATGTTCTGCAAAACTTCCCATTACAGATTGAGCGCGAGATGATTGCCTCTTACGAGTCGGACGCAGCCGGGGCGCAGCGAGCAACCTTGAAGCGGTACGACTATATCGATACCTGGGCGGACCCGCAGGTCTTGGAGAAATATTCGACGAAATTAGATAGCGTCAAGGCGAGCATTATCAAGCCCCTGAAAGAACGCGGGATGGCGGCCGGGAAACAAGGAAAAGGCGGGGCTCCTGGAGGAGCTGCAGGGAATAAACAACAAGGCAAGGCAGCCGGTAGTGGTGCTGGAATAAAGGGCGGTAAATTATCGGGGACGACTGCAGCAGGAGCGAAAGGAGGTGCGAAGGGACAGCAGATGACCACAGGAGAGGAACTACATCAAGACCAAGTAGACGCTCAGTCGAACATCTTCAAGAAAATTCGCTCCTTAAAGCTGCTCTTTGACGTCCGTATGATCTTGGCTGACAGAGCATACAGCGAAGAAGAACTCATGAAGAAGCTGCAGCGGGAGTACCCAAATACCGCGATCACCATCCCCCTCCTCGAACAAGTCGTGAACCTCATCAATGACAAAGGGTACTACGAAAAGAGCGAGGGAATTTCTCTCACGCCTTTGTACCCAACCGATAAAGAAGACTTGATCGGGATCACAGAGTGCTTGACCATCAAGCCGGAAATGATGGAAAGGATGAAAAACGTCCACTACTTGTACCACACGGGCTTCGGAACCCACACTGGGTATACCATGACGCCCTGGAAACTCTTCGACCAGTCCAAGCGGGTGTATTACTACAAGAAGTTTTCCGATCAAAGTTTCTGGTACAACCAAACGAAATACTTCAAATTGATAAGGCAGTACGTCTTTGAATATTTCGACGAGTGTGGCGCGGGCGTGGAACAGGATGTGGTGAAGAAGATCAAGCGGAAGTTACCCGGGTTTGAGGTGTGTACTTTGGATCAGTTGGAAGAGATGGAAAAAAACGAAGGGAAGAAAGCTGAAAAATTTGACGGGTTGAAAATCTCCGCGTCCGACTTGCGGAGGCTGATTAACGAATTTGCGCAATGGAAAAACGGACTCTACATTTTTCACGGGTTTATTGGGAAATAACCGTGAAGATGAAGAAGAAACAAAGGCGCATAGATTGATCGACGTCATAATTTGAAGCATGCAGCCAAACATCAAAAGTTTCGCAGTTCTTGTTGATGTGTCACACAAGAGTAATATCAAACGACCTTTGCAAGTAGAATCCATCACGACCTTTGCAAGTAGAATCCATGAACTGTTCGCGATGAAACAGAATGATATTGAATCCGTGCTATGGGCTGTGCTTTTGCACAGCTGCCGTTTTGGTTGTAAACTAACAGACGATCATCAAAGGGCAGTAGTTGCCCGCGATGTTCGAAGGTTTTCTATTTCTGTTTCGCGAATGTCCTATGAAATGACGTTCTGTTTCTGTAGAAGTCATGACGTCGTTTTCCATCCACGGCTTCGTTTTCGTCTTCGTGTGTTTGATCGTGCATTTTCTCAAGATCAATGCGAAAGAATGTGCCAAAGTTGAATTTTAGTTGTCGTCCTTGCTATTCTTGTCGTTCATAAAGAATTCGTTGACCTGACACCCAATTCCGTTGCCGTTCTTTCCGTGCCATACAGCGTCGTCTCCAAGAAAGAACCATCGTTCTGTCGTAATCATATTGCAACCTCGTCGTGTCATCTTAGTGTGGTCGTCTTGTTCATCCCGCCACATAATTCCAGCTTGCATATTACATGCTTCCCTGCTACGTGTCCTTCCATCTCACCAGCGCAAGAACTACTACCTCCCTTGAATGAATTAACATTAAGTGTGTTTAGTGAACTAACCTGCAACATTTAATGCCGTCCCAACGTTTCTGAGGCGGTCCTCGGTCTAGTCATGTTTTGTAGTTCCTGGTCGCTGGTGTACTAGAAGTATGACATAGTGCTTTTACGCGAGGACAGTATGAAAATTTTAGTCTCCTGGTTTTCCCTATCCCTTATTACTACGTGAAACAAATGAGATAAGTTGTAGCTGCAGTAGGGATCTCGATAAAGTCGAAATCAAGATAGTATCAAGGCGACCAGCAGCAACATGGAGTCCTCGGAGGAGGAAGCCGAATCCTCGGTCCTTGAGTCAGCCGCCGGATCGGGACATCATCATCATGACCCCGTCGTGCTGGAGGCAGCCGCTGTCGCGGGGTATCAGTATCAGTATTACGACCCCGCAGAACAACTTGCAGCCGCCGGCGCGGGGTACAACTATCAGCCTCAGTATTTTTACGACCCCGTGAATCATCAACAAGCAGCCGCCGGTGCGGGGTACTACAACAACTTCTATGAGTATCAAAATCACACCCCTGGAGGTGCACCGGAGCAAATATCCGCCGGCGCGGGGTATGGGCGGAACCGCAAGGAAAATCACAACGAGCGGATCACGAACCGTGTCTGTTGCCTCGACGACAGCTTCCCCTTTGGGCGATGCGGCTGCGACAAGCGCAAGCAACCTGTGCCGTCGCACAAGTGCTGCTGCGCCCCGTGCGTCTTTTTGAACTACGAGGGCTGCACGGTGCTAACCTTCTGCGCCTTCACTCCCTTCTTCTACTTTTGCAGCATGTGCTACGGCGCCTGCTGCTACAAGGCGCCGCTGTTCGGTATCGACTACTGGCCTACGGGCGGGTACTACAACGACTTAGTGGGCGGCGGTGGGGTGCTCGGGGCGCCGGTAGTCGTGGAAAGAGACCCAAGCAAGAGACTGTTGCAAGCGTCAGTGAGGCATAATCAGGATCATGGTACTAGTACGTATGGGACTACGAGTACCATAATAGGATCACCTGGACCAACGCCAAGACCAACCGGCGCCGCGACTAGCATGAGAGAGACCAACATGGGCGTAGTATCAACTCCTGGTGTTAGTATAATTTCGAGGGCGACCGGAGTAGGATCTCCTGGTCAACAACAACATCTGCAAGGAACTACTGCACCAAGGCCTTCTGCCGCACAACAGATCGGAAACAGAGGAACTATGGCCTTCGGAGCTGGTGGAGCAAGTACAACTACAGCTCCACGTGCGAAAGGACCGCAGCGACTCACCGTAGTGAACTTCGCCCACGGACCCTATGCCAACGAGCTTCTGCAGGGGAACAATAGAGGGTTGGTGAATATGAAGACTGTACAACCTGGTGGCAGCTCTCCTTCGCAACAACTTCCGAAAGCGAAAAGTACAACGGTAGTTAGCTTCTCCCATATCAAATGCAAAAATGTCTGGGTCTGGAAGAGTGCGCGATTTGTCATGCAGCTTTTCCCTGACCCATGAGATCTGGAATGGAGGACCTAGCATGACAGATTCTGCGCGATCTCTCTCATGCCTATCCTGCATGAGATACTCCCTCCCGACTTGATCAAAACTGGACGACTTTTGGTAATCATGCAACACAGATTTTTGCATGATTCAGATTTAGCATGACAAGTTGCATTCTTCCAGACCCAGACATTTTTACATTTGATATCCCACGGCCCTCCGCAAAAACTCACGGACCGGGAGCTGCTGTTCTCTAGCGACTCCGTATCAAAAGGAAAAATCCCCCCTCCCCATATCGAAACCGAAATTTGTGATGCTGTATCTGAGTACACAAATCAGCTCTGTATTGCAGTAAGGCACTGCAGGTAAAGCCTAAGCCTGCGTAGGGGTGATTTGGTGTAGGTGCTTAGCATAGCAAATGCCTGCCATGTAGGCGCAACAGCATTGCAAATCGCTTGCATAAGACGGCACACTCTTTGGGTTTGCTCTCCTGCAAGAGAGACAGGATTTGTGGCCTCAAATCAGCATCACAAATTTTTAGAAGCATACCCTTTCAGTATGGGGAGGGGGGATTTTTCCTCACAATACTCCGACCGGGAGCACCATAATTACAACAACGCGTATAGAAATTTCGGACAGCCACAGCTACGAGGTGCTGGAATGGCCGGTGTCCAACGAACCCAAACCGCACCGCAACTAGGAACAACTACTGCAAATAGAAAACGCTCGAGTGAGGACCCTCACCAACAACTCTACCCCTCCGCCCTCCCGCTCTACGCGCAGGGCGATCGCATCCAGAGTTCGCAGCTTCTGTCCAGTTTTGAACCGAGTATGGGGAGTTATTTGGAGAGGCAGCAACCAGCGTACTTTTCCGCGCGAGGTGGTAATAATGCAGGGATGTTGGGGGGCAACAAGAGTGCTGGGCAGCAAGTAGGGCAAGGGCAACATCAAAATAGTACAATTGTGATTGATCGCTATCAAATGCAAAAATGTCTGAGTCTGGAAGAATGCAAGAGTGTCATGCTTGTCTGGCATGCCTCGAGAATCTGTGTTGCATAGGCACGAAAAAGTCCTCTTACCTGTCATGCAAAAACGCAGTTTGCCATGCGGAATACGTAAGACATGGCAGCCAAAAAATTTGTCATGCGTAGCTGCGTACTGCAGTGCGTCTATCATTCACTTTTAGCATTACAAGTTTCCAGACCCAGGCATTTTTGCAATCCATAATCGCTCAGACACGACAAATTCCTCCAACCGGAGTCGCGCGACCGCACAGCTGCACCAGATGTTACAACAAAATAGCAGCAGCAGCAATCCAAACTATCCCTCCCAAGTGCAAAGTTACAACAACATCAACAACGCTTCTGGCTCTGCTGTTGTTACTAGTAACAAATCTAGTGGACACGTGTCGCCCATCATGAGCACAGGAGCATCGCCCATCATCCCCATTCCCGGCGCGCGGCTACAGGATTCGCGGCGGCACTCGATGGCGCGGCAGGAAATCTTGACAGGGTCGGCCGGGAAAAGGGATTTTAGGATACGCGAAGAGGGGGACACTTCGGAAACATCGACGAGTTCTGATGAGTCCTTCGTTAGCAAACGGGAGGCGCAGGATCGGCAGGGTGAGGAGAAGTCGTAGGACAGAAAGAGGCCGGATCATATTATTTCTTCGGAAAAATCTTGTTTTCCCCTTGAAGAAGATATTTTTCTCTTTGAGTGCTTTATTCGCTTATAGTTACCCCAATATCAACTCCCACACACGCTCATCCCGAAACCCAAAAAATGTTCGTATAATTCCCTCTCACCTCTATCCCCCAATCGATTTTTTCGAATTCACGTCCTTTTATCAGGACCCGCCCAGTCGGGCTGTGTTTTTCGATTTTTTCCACATAAGTGCTATACCATATTACCAAAGCCACTGTGTATCGTTCAGAAGTACAACTATCCCGAAGAACACGGGGGTATCAGCCTGTGGCCCGTGATTTAAGGACAAACAACCCTGCTTTGCTGGTGCGATTTTGTGCTTTTTGTTTTTTCGTACTTGCGCAGCTGTGTCGGTGCTAGAGTGGGTTTGGTTTCGTATCGGTTCGCGCCCGTCGTAGCACGACGAACGGTGATGGCTCCTATTGTGCAGAGAATTGTTTTCTTTCGTTTCGTTCGTTCTTACTTTCGTGCAACAAGGTTCTCGTGATAACAGTCGTACAACTTCGATTTTGGTTCTCTAATTCACAGCTTGTCCTCGTAGGTGGCGTGGTGAGCTAGCATTTCCGAAGTTAGTCCCTAGTACCGCCTCGTCGGTCGTAGACTACTAGTCGTCCTCTTTGTGCGGTGTGTCGTTCTTCTCACGATCCGTTCAAGTAGAAATCAAAAAACAGGACCCAATCCAATTTGAATTTCCACAATTCTTCCCGTCCTGTTCGCAATTTTTCGCTGTGCAAATACGTTCGTTGCTTGTATTGGTTTCGAATAGTTCGACCAGATTCCAAAAAGAAAGAGAGTCCTCGTTTTACCTGCTGGACCACAATGTGTTACCATGTCACGTACTAGACCCGACTTCGGATTCGGAACAAGATTTGGCTATAGCTTTATCATCGGCACTAGTTAGTACTTCTATGGCAACATCAAGATCAACTACCGCGCTGGCAAGAAGAGTTTATTTGCTTCTGCAATTGCTCCTGCCATTTGATGCACCGAGCCCGACCGGCGCCGTGGAGGTTTTGGTGACGAGAATTATAGCGCAGAAACGCACACTGAGCGATGAAGACGCAGCTGCTGGAACTAGCGACGGTGTAGTAACTATCAACTGTAAAGATGTCTGGGTCTGGAAGAATTGATGTTTGTCATGCCTGTCTGGCATGATTCTTAAATCTGTCATGCACGGCACCCAGGAGCTCTGTTTTTCTGTGATGCAGAAACGCAGTTTGTCATGCAGAATAGGCAACACCTAGAAGCTCAGAAACTTGTCATGCTGAGCCAGCATTTGTGGCCTCATCATGAGACGCCGCCCAGCATCACAAGTTTCCAGACCCAGACATTTTTACATTTGATAGTAACTGCGGGAGCGCATCCCGGATCCTCCTCGTCCACGAGTGCTGCTGTTGACGCATATCCTGGGTAGAAACGTCCCCACCCCGGAGTCAAGATGGGAACTTTGCAACACAAACCTAGAGAGAAGTTTTGGGGGTCACGCATGACAAATTTCAGCTCATACTGTAGTGCAGATTAGCGTGCTGGACAGCCGCATTACAAATCCGTCTGCTTATCCTGGCTGCAGCATTACAAATTTTGATAACGTGACTGGAAATGCCTATCATGCGTATGCGCAACACAAATGTTCCTGTCATTGGAAATCAGCATGACAACTCTGGTGGGGTGGGGACGTTTTTCCGTGCGAGAACGCATCCAAATCATTAGGTACGTCAGCCTCGATCAGCCTTGTCGACAACACCACCGTTCGGGTGGACCCCTGCGCTGAGCAAAGCAATTTGTGCGAGGAGTACGAAATTCTGCACGACCTCGAAAATTGCCGCCGGTTCGAGTATGACAGTGCACAACTCCCCCTCCCCCTCATTTGTATACACATGAACGGCAATACAAGCATCAGCAAGACTGCCGGTTTTGCATGGCAAATTCGCACTTGAGTGGACTACCAGAACTAACTTGTCATGCAAACAGTGCCAAGAGGCAAAGAGTGGATTGGGTACTAGTTTGCATGACAAATAATGAGGGGGAGGGGGAGTTGTGCACTTTCATATCGAGAATAAAAAAGTGGAGAAACTGGATTTAGAATTCGATTACGAAAACGACAATCTATTTGCCATCGGCGTAGCCAGTGGGGTCTTGAAACCCGGGACGACGACGAGTACAACTCTTAATATTACTGATGGAACAAATACTAAAAATCCGCTGAAACAAGCCACGCCACACAGAAGTCCCTTCACGGCCTTAAGCAGGGACTCCAGTATCGACGACCCGGTGGACTTTTACGTGTGGGCGTCGAAACTGAACGGTGGTAGAAGCGACGAAACACTTATCGGGAAAGACTTGCCGGCAGAGACCGCGGTTTGGCTCACGGCAGATGATAAAGCTGCAACAACTGCTGATCATGTTGACAACAGCACAGCAGCAGCAGCAGCAGCAGAAGGTTCTTCGTCCTCCTATACCGTTCCGGAACCCCGGATGATTTTGGGAGAGGAACAGAAAGATTTTTTTTCGGGCGACCCGGAGAAAGATATCCTGAGAGTTTCTTTAACGAGGCTGAAAAAAGAGGAGAAGGAGGAGGAGGGCTCTGGTGAAGGGGGAACATCAGCGGGAGCTTCTGATGCACCTACTTCCACAATCGCCCCTCTGCAGATTGTTCTGGAGTCTTGGACGTGCGAGAAAAAACTCCCCGACGAAAACATTTTTACCGGATTGGACGACGCGTGCGGGGAGACTCCGGGCAGCGCGATGTTTCAGCTTTTGACCCTGGCGAAAAGGAGTTGCTGCAGTGACGAGACTGCGCGAATGGGGGACGCGAAGCTGGAGTGCACGATGGACAAAGACGAGTGGAAAGAAGAATGCGGGTTGGACATTTGCGACTGGGGACCATCGCTGGAGGAATCTTCGTGCTGTTGATGAAAGGTGAAAGAATCTAATAAAGTACTGTTCCGTTTAGGTTTACTTTTCCGGATGATCCGGAAGCTTTATAGAAGTTCTTGTAGTGCTAGTGCCACTGTAAAGAACTTGTAGAAGTGCTTCCCATTTTATATATTCTGTGCCTGCCGAGTCGACTTATTACACCACGGAGACTCCTCCAGCAGGCTTCGTCTTCGTACAATATCTATATCTCCGAGCAGGCTTCGTCCAGTCTGCCCCAGCAGACTTCGTCTTGTTTTCGTGTGTAGACTTTGACTGAGCATGGAAACTGCGCTTTAGATTCCCTCCCATGTCGGTTGTGTTTCTGTTTCCTCACCTCGAACTCTGGCAGAACTTCAAGATAGGAGTAAGAGGTCAACGCAAAAATTCTCTCCCTAGTGCAAGCACGTACAGAAAAATCGCAGCCGTATTGAAACCCCCGCTCCTGTATCGTAGAGCTGGAGCTCTACTAGGTTCTTGTGTTGCATTTTCTGAAAAGACCACGAGACTCCGGGTAGGAAGGTCATGCATCTACCGACAGGACAATACAACTGTTTATCGTCCAGAAGTCTTCACTCGGTAGTTCTCTCGTGCAGTTGTTTTACTTAGTTCATCACACAGATAGATAAAATTCTTTTGCATGGCAAAAGTGTTGAAATTTGGTCGCTTTTGTCCTCGTTCTCACACCATCGTGCGTCTCCTGTCAAATACAACTTCGTGCAGCTCCTCGTCAAAAGCTGCAACATCTTCCTCGTTCTGGTAGTGTAAAAGCTACAACTTCGGACGATCTTCATCATTATGAATGAAAGAAAATGATATTTGCTTGCGTTTTGTGCCGCAGTTACGACTTCACTATTAATATGCCGATAACCAGGACGCGTGGTCCCAGAACTACACTAAGAACCCAAGTACCTACTTAGTTGACTACCTCTTGTTGGTCCTCTGTAGTTCTCGCTTTTGTTTCGTTTTAAACCCGCAATATAGAACCTCCACGTAAGACTCAGACAAGCAGCAATGTCGCTTCTTGTTCTTGTGCAAGAACTACATAAACGGCGTGTACAAGACCTTTGGCGCAGCAGCACCACGAAGGGAACTTCGTGTTCCGCCGCCGTCCTCGCAGGAGCACTTCTGTGCGGCTTTCTCTGTGAACAAGGTGAACACGACGCGTTGTTGGGTCGTTTTTCTAATTTCCGTGGAGTTGCGGCGGTTGAGGTCCTCGTGAAGACTAGAACAAAGAACACTCACACTGCTCGTCAACATCTATCCAGCGTCGACTTTCTTGGCGATTGCTTGCCGCGTCTGGAAAACGACCTCGCGGAGTGCAAACGTTGCTGTTCCGGAGCGCACGTTTACAAGTGCACCGGCAGATGTCCGAATAAAGAGGCAAACAAGGCAAAAAAGGCGCAACAGAAAAAAAACTGCAACAGTGCCTGTGAAACGGAATTTGAAGAATATCAAAAAACGTTAACGACGCCGGCGCCAGCGCCGAGTGGTGGTGACAATACTGGTACATCAACGACGCCGACCCCAACGCCTAGTGGGAGCGATGGCACTTCTGGTAGCACCACGCCGACACCGACACCTAGTGCAAGTAGTGGTGATCAAAACTCCGGTGACGGATCTTCGGCAGATGGTGGTGGTGAAGCGTCCGCCGCCGGGGCTGCTACAGGCAGAAGCGGCGCCCCGCATATGGAAGAGGCAAACTGTGTGTTTTCTAGTTGTGTAAGCTGTTTAGTGCAAGACGAAGACAGCGGAAATGCAAATAAGAATAACTTATCATGCTGTGGCTGTGCAGATGGTGCGGACGTGCAGTACGTGAATTAAGAATAATATTATACTATAATATTGTGTTTTTACAACGCACACACACTAGATGAATTATGGCCCCTGCATACCTTTTACAAACCATGAACATGATGACAGACGCTTACAAACCAGATTGATGAACCCTCGTGCATGTAGCTTCTCATGGCCACACACTTCATACGCAACTAGCGCAGTAGTTTTTTGTTTTCTTGCATACCAGAGGCAGGGGGCTCCGTGGACTTTACATCGCAAGGCGGAGCAGGGAGTAACACAAATAGTGCCGCGAAGAACTCTCCACCTCCTTCTACTGGGTCTTGCGGTTCCAATATCCACTGCAAATAATATATCTGGGTCCGGAATAAACTTGTGATGCAGGTTTGCGTTTGGCAATCATGAGGACTTGTTTGAATTGACGGCCAAGCATGACAAGTTTTTGAGTTGTTAGGTGTAGTTGATGCCGATTCTGCATGGCAAACTGCGTTCTTTCCGGATGACAACAAAATGGGGCGACGTTCACGTTTGCGTAACGTGCATGACAGACTTGAGAGATGTCATGGTCACTCGTCTGACCGAACAACATGACAACTCTTGCATGATTCTTCCAGCACCAGATGACCCAGATCGATCTTCCCAATGCATACCCAACACTACGGTGATCGTTGTCGTGGTGGTCGTCGCGCTGGTGCTACTTGTGGGCATCGGTCTGATTCTCTTCAGGTTGAGCGACGGAGGAGACTACTACTCGCCCGACGACTATTACGCGCCGGAAGACGCTTTTAACTACTCGCAAGGCAAAGGCACCCGGGGCTCGATGATCATGGGAACCAAGGGCGGTTATCCTGTGCAAAAGTATCGTACGCGTAGTAATTGCGTTGATGCATGACAAATCTCTTTCTCAAGGTAAATCAGCATTCCAAATTCGATTTGTAATGCTGCGCCAATTTGTAATGCTAGTACGATAGGATACTTTTGCGATGCATAGGTTTTTATCAAATGCAAATACCAGTCTGGGGTCTCGGGACGATGAAAGAACTTGTGATGCTGCTGAACTCTGCCTGATTCTGATTACATTTGCAACACTACAACTTCCGGAGGCAGCTACGCAGATGAAGTTTGTGGAGCGTGTTCTCATGCAAGGATGACGTCGATTCGTTTTCGTTTAAAGCAACGAACCACATGGTTCCCAAACTAACACTAGGAGGTGGACTTTTCTTCTTGGTCATGCAAAAACAATACTTAATTTACAGGAGATTTAATCTGCAGCGCTTAGAGGAATGGAAGACGAGCATCACAAGTTCCAGTTTCCCAGACCCACATCGATTTCCAGTTGATACGCCAACATGACGCGGCCGTCCAAAGGGGGTTACGGAAACAAAGGGGACAAGACCTACGGAGGTGGCTACGGAGGAGGTGGATACTATTGAAGGCGACATGATGGAGCGGAATCAATTTTTTCGTATGTTGTTTCGTGTATTCGTACACTATCCGCTCTGTCGACTATCCTGCATACTTTTCTTTTCGTGTTTAGACTTTGACTGAACATCCAAGCCTTTTAGATTACCCCGCATGAAGATATTAACGGCTGTGTTTCAAGCTCCCCTCAAAACAAGACAGAAGATGAAGATAGGCGTAAGAGGCCCACGTACAAGTACAGAAAAATCGACGCAGCCGTAAAATGCCTGCTCCACCTGCATCGTAGCGTATATCTATGTTCATCGTCGTTCAGCTTGAGCATGATGTGGTATTCAATTTGGATCGACGTTTCCCCTTCACGTTCGAAAATCATGAAACATTCTCGGTCGTTTGATAAGATGTAGGATCACATAGCCGAGTGATGATCCTCTAGCAATAGATAGCGAAACGCTGTACATCAACTAAGCAAGCACTAGAAGCGGAAAATAGAAGACAAAAGTTGATCAAACAGTCAGTCAGTCAGTCAGTCAGTAGGATTGCAGCTGATCATCCTTTCGTCAATAGTTGTCGTCGTGTCTATCTATGGGCAAAAGCTTATCTGCAGTTTGTTGTCCGATCATATTTTCGCCACACTACATCGGCATCATCCTCGGTCATGGTAAAATTTCTGGGCTGTTGCGTCAAAGCAGCATCAAAGTTGGTGCTTCGTCTCGTCATGAAAAAGGGAGTCCGCCACTGTGGATGCAAAAATTCTTGTCGTGTGCTAGTAAGTGTACTTATTCGGGATCAAGTTGTTCGTGTGTAAAATTCGGGATGTTGGTTCGTCGTTTTTCGTTTCCGTCGAGCTTTTCGAAAAAGTTCTTTGTTCTTTTCAACTTATTTTGCGCAAATGCAACATAAGTCGGGTAGGGGTACGGACGTAGCTGTTGCTTCTGATATCAAGTTTTTTACAATTCGCTACAACCCGCCTGCCCTCGTACTAGTTTAGGCCGGCAAGCACGAGGATCGTCTGGATTTTTTTTCAGAAAAACATTCGCGTTTTGCCTTTATTTCCCGGCCAAATACAGAGTCTTAAGCTACAAGGCAGAGAGCGGTCGGTTGCGCTTGTGCACCATAAAAAAACATCTCATGGCGTTTCTCTCCAAGTGCCCCCGGCAGACCATCGGGGTCGAGATCCACGGGGATCTGGTTTGCGGCGTGAAACACCGAACCGAGGGCAAACTGCCCGGACCGGCGCCTGGGTACCACGTGTTGACCGCTTCATGCAGTTTCTTCGACATCGAGATCGACGTCAAGTTCAACATGTCGTGCAGCTTCTACCATATTTTTCTACCATGTAGTCACGCTCGACACCGCTTCTATTATTTGATGAGATTTGCATGGATGCTGCAGCGCTAGCAACCTAAAGAGTATTAAAAGTGGACGAGAAGAAACTCCTCCTATCCACAGGTCTTACAACCCGTCCCAAAATTTGGTCCGGTCTCGATCAATCGGCGCAGGTATGCAAGGGAACAAGGAACATCTCAGGAGAGAGAAAAACTTGTGATGCGTCCTTTGCAAAATGCTGGTTGTCTCGATGAGGCACCTGCGACACCGCAACTACTGCAGGTCGTTGCAAAAGACCAGGCATGATCTTAATCCAGGTCGGCATCACAAGTGAACTGCTTATTGCAGTTTAGTCTCTATCTCCGATTCATTTTCATACCTTTCAGTAGCCGTGCCCCGCGGGATACCACACAATGGCTGGTGAGGAACAAAAAAATGAACGTTCCCATGATAAACCTGCGGGAAGACCGAACGAGCTCTGCGATGCTTGGGAATAGGAGCTTTAACTACGCTAGCAGGATAGCGGTATGACTCTTTTTGACATCATCTTCGATCGTATGCATGACAAAATTTCATTGCCATTTCTCATTCCCCATGACAAACTTTTTACACAAAAATAAAACTTTTGTCCTAACAGACGCCGTCCAAGCTGCGACAGGAGATTACTTCGCCCCTCGTTCGCGACAGTGGGTTTTCTTTGAGCAACAGTAGCAACTACTACCCGCTAGCAGTGAAAAGAGACCTTTCCAGGGACTATAACCTCTCCGACTACGCGTCCCGTTCGCGGTCCGTCAGCCCCACAAGGATGGACCAAATGGAAGCTTTCACGAGTCAATTAGATAGAAGTGTTGCGGGTACCAGTGTAGGAGGAATGAATAACAATAACCTCTCCTCCCTGCAAGACTACGATCCCTACAATACCCTCGCCTCCACATCCTACCAAAACCCGGCTCTCTACGTCCCCCGAATCCAGGAGCCCCGGCCCGCCAGTCCGCTGCATGCCCAAACCCCCAGCACCGCGACTTTTGTCCGGGCTACAGAACTTGGGGGAGAAGGACAAGGACCTCCTGTGTCCCCGAATAGTAGCAAAAAGACGGCAACCTCTATGGGACTCTCAACTGTTTTTACATTCTCAACTGTTACATGAATTTGTAATGCAAGAATATCAAAAGTCAAAGGAGGGGGGTTGGTTGCACATCCAGCATTACAAAGTCCGCACAGGTTTAGATGCTGTTTAGCCCTTCGGGAATTCAATTTGTTATGCGAAGTAGCTTGATCCTGTGGTGGCTTATGGCAATTTTGCATCACAAATTCATGTAACAGCTGAGAGTGTACCGTTTGCGAACGCCATAACCTCGGTGAAGTCACAAGCTTCGAAACAAAATTTTTACAGCAACTATGCCTACCAGCCGAAACCGCGGCACTTCTACAAGGAGGAGCAGAAAACCAGAGTAATGGGACAAGACCCGGTAATTTTGTCAGCAAGCAAATCGACGGCCGGTGGGAGTGCTGCGACAATGGTAGGGTCCAAAGCATCAAGTCGAAAGCCGGTGCAGACATATACGAAGAACGGGAAGAAGGTACCTACTAGTAGTGGTACGATTCCAAGCGTAGCACTTTTCTAAACTTGTACTTGAACATGTCATGCACCTTCTGCATGAAGTTGAAGACGCACACGCACGTGCTTGTCCATCTTTGTGAAGATGCACACTTACGTATACTTTACACCATATCTTCATCTACCAAATACAGATCCCGGGATCCCGCAGCGAGCACGTAATCAAGCGCGCCTACGGCGGTGGCATGGTAACCGACTACGGGAAAACCGATAATCACATCGCCTTGAACTACGTAGGTCAGCCGAAAAATACCCTTTCCCCCGCTTCCTCCGCGAAAAAAATCAACCAGATTATCAACCAGAGTGAAAAACGACTGAAGTTGCAGGAGGAGGTTAGGTTAACGATTCTGAAAAACCGCGAGGATTTAGAAAGACGGTTCCGGGGGTTGAAGACAAAGAGAAACGAAATGGCACACATGAAGCTTGTTGAGCTCGAAAACGCGATCAGCTCGGGAGCCGGAATTGTTCTAGGGTCTACTACTAATACCTACTCCCGCGGGGCGACACCAACTTCGCCGAATAAACCGACCGAATTTCAACTCGCTTCAAACATCTATGCGGAGAGTCACAGCGCGAAGAACACCGCGGAGTCCTTTCAAGTGAGTCCGACGAGTGGGAAAATTAGCAGAACGAAATCCCCCGGCGGGGGAAGTAGTAGTAACGCAGGTGGAAGGAAAAATCCGCGGAGCCCGGGGGTTAGGGGAACGAGTACGACGAATAAGTTTATGCACCATGTCATGGCGAGTCAGAATCGGTGGGATCAGCACTTTATCCTGTGCAAAAGTATCGTACTCGTATAAATGCATATACAAATTTTCTCAGCATGAGAAATAAAATTTGTAATGCCGATTTACCCATAAGAAAAAAATTTGTAATGCATGATGGCAATACGAGTAGGCACGATAATTTTGCATTGCATACACTTGTCCAGCCTGAAAACCGCCGGAGGCGTCAACTTATCCCGGTCGGCGAAGGGGGTGTAGGCTATCCTGAGTAAAAACGTCCCCACCCCAGAGTTGTCATGCAAATCTGCATGGTAAAAATGCCTCTCATGCGGAGCCCCATGACAGGCATTTTTTAGTCGTGTCTCGCAATTTGTCATGCTCCAATCGGCATGGTGCGCTGGATCTGTGATGCTGCTCATCTAGCTAAACAGGATTACACCACGAGGCCAAATTTGTAATGCAGAACTCCCAAAACTTGCAGATTTGTGTTGCAGACTTCCCATTTTGACTATGGTGTGGAGATGCTTTTACATATGATATAGGCGGGGGAGTTCTTAGTTGTACTACAGGGAGTTTCGAATAGATCTATGATTTCCCCTTGAACTATGTAAAATCAGATGCAGATGCAGCGGAAACAAAGCAATGTGAAAACATCAATAAGAACTCAGTTGCAGTTCGTCCGTATCAGAATCAGATTCAAAAGCCATAAACAGGCTGAAAATAATAGACATGTAAGATGGACTTGTTTATTGCATTCTTCATTCAAAACCATGATTCGCACAAATTGAAGTTTGATTTTCTAGACCGGTTGAGACACCGATCGCCAGCTACTTACAAGCAGGAATATAGATAGTACGATAGACAGTCACTCGCTCGCCTAAAGAAGCGAGCACACGATTGATTTTCTAGATTCTTTGACATTCGCACCAGGAGCAGGGCTTCATGCACCTCTTGAACTCGTTTTGATGAAACGCATCTTGGTTGAACTCTTGTAAAACATTTTTTTTGGAAAAGTCAAAATGTACAAAAATGACGTAAAATTCTCATTTTCTAGCCAGCTGGCTATGATGTTGATGACAGTCAAGAAGTTATGTAGCAAGGTACTTACTAGCTTCATGCACCAGTGTGTGAGGGCTTCAACTGCATTAGGTGGTATGCAGCAATTTCGTGCTGCTGCTTTTCTTCTTGATCCTCGGCTGCAAATCCATACGGGAAAAACTACCTTCGATCGGTGACATTATACCACTTACAAGTGCACGTAGTTTTGCTTTGAAATAAAAAATTCAGGTCGCGGAGCTTGAGCGTATTGATCTGTACAAAAGAAGATCTACTATTCAAGAAGTAGCAGGTCATCGAATGAAGTTCTGCAAAGGCAACAATTTTTGATCCTGCAAAAAATGATGCTGTAGTTTTTGGATCTCGATCTGCAGCAAGGTGAGAAAAAAATTTGTTCAAAAAAATGATCAAACCTTCGCAGTTAAAGAAATTTTCCTAACGCGTCCAACGTGCAGCTTTTGCAGCCTTCACGCAAAGATGTAACTATTGCAGATCAAGATCAACAATGAAAGCGTTCAATCAACACGAACGAAAACAGGTTCGCATTTTCATTAGTTAGCGACACTATCTGGCAACTACCGCGACTATTTGAAGCATGAGCAGTTTCTTGTGATATCGTTTGCCTCTACAACTTCCACGACCTAGATAGGAGTTTTTTCCAATTCATCTCTTGCATCATCTTGCGATCCCTGGTACTATTTCTGGACAAGCAACACAAAGAAAATGTCGGACAAGCGTTTGGTCGCGAGAATCCAGGACTGCATCCGGGAATCCGACCTGAAGACCGCAGATTTCGTAGGGGAAAAACTGAGGAAAAAATTCCCCGAATACGGCCGCAAGGACCGAAAAACCCTCAGAGGAATCATTCAGCAGCAGCTGAACAGCGTGAACAACGGAAGTTGTCTTGGCAATAATTCATCCGCGAATAATTATGCAGGTGGCAAGGCTGCAAATGGAGGCTCTGCAAATGCCCTCGTTGTAGGGCTGCAGCAGCGGGGGCCGCAGCAGCTTCCCCTCGTCGTCCCAGGAGCAGAAGGTAGTACTAGAAATGCAATACAGCTCGACAAAGACGTGCCCGCACGAAAGAAGCGAAAGACGGAAAGCAAGAACGGTAGTTCTTCATCCGGGCCGGCAGGAGCTAGTCTTCTTGCAACGGCAGACGCGTTGGGAGCTACTAGTACTTTGTCGAGCCACCTCGCAGAACCTCCAACCTCAAGAGAACAAGAGGATACCACAGCACCAGTGCAGCGGCCCGTTTCGTCTGGGATAGAAAGTTCCGGCGGGGATGAACTGCAACACCAAGCGCAAGAACAAAGTGGCACGACTAGCACAATAAACGGCAGTATAATCTTCGCCTCGTCCGGTCAAGCACCAACCCCAGCGGTTGTCGCTCCCAGCACCGGCGCGAACAGATCTTTGCTAAATCTTTACAACAAAGTCGAACCGGCGGCAGCCACGAGTGCGAATGGTGGTACAATCGCAGCAAGCTCATCTACTTCAAAAAATTTTCAGAACCTTCAGTCAGCGAGAAGCAATTTGTCATCTAGCAAGAAGAATAGCAGTATGCGAAAACAACAAGCGATGCAGAATAGCAGCAACAACCACAACGAGAACATCAACAACCAAAGCGCAGGAGGCGGGAATAACATTACGAACAATGCTGCCTCCACCACAGCAAACGGTGCAGCAGCTGCATCCAACTCCGACAATAATTCCGCCTCAAAATTCAATCCCCAAGACTGCGAAATCCTCGAACCAAGTTGCACACTCGATGAGATGGGAGGGATTGACGAATTACAGGAGGAAATCCGGGATTTGATCCTCTACCCGCTCCAGTACCCCGAACTCTTCTCCCATGTCGGCGCGGAACCACCAACAGGTGTCCTCCTCCACGGCCCGCCAGGATCTGGGAAATCTATGTTGGCAAACGCTATCGCGGGGACCCTGAAAATCAAACATATTCCGGTCTTTTCCATCACAAGTACAGAAATCGTTTCGGGGGTGAGTGGGGAATCGGAGAACAAATTGCGGCAGTTGTTCCAAGAAGTGGTCAACCGCGCGGCCCCGGAGAATTCCGGCGCGGCGTTGCTTTTTTTCGACGAAATCGACGCGATTACGCCGAAACGCGAGCAGTCGGAACGGCAGATTATCATTTGTAAAAACGTCCCCACCCCATAGCTGTCATGCAATTCTGCATGCTGAAGATGTTTCTCATGCGGAGCCCCATGAGAAGCATCTTCTAGCCGTGTTTCGGGATTTGTTATGCTCCAATCAGCACGTTGCGCTAGATTTGTGATGCTAGTGAACGAGCCAAACAGGATTGCACTCTGAGACCAAACTTGTCATGCGCAGCAACCAACCCTTGTGGATTTGTCTAGCAGATTTCCCATCTTGACTCTGGGCTGGGGACGTTTTTACACAGGATACAGATGGATCGAAGAATAGTCGCGCAATTTTCCCACTGCTTGGACGAGTTGAAGGGGAAAAACGTGATCGTTTTAGGGGCGACCAACCGGTCGGACGCGATAGATTCCGCGTTGCGTCGGGCTGGCCGCTTCGACCGGGAGATTGCGATGGGGATTCCGAATTTAAAAGCCCGGGAGGCCATGCTGGAGAAAATTACGGTGAATATGAAATTGAAGAAGGACTTGTCCTTAGCCGAACTGGCGAAGCAAACGCCGGGCTACGTCGCCGCGGATCTGGTCTCGTTGACGCAAGAAGCGGCACTGGCGGCGGTGAAGGATTTCTTCGTCGCAAAGGAGAAGAGTAGTTCTGCTAGTTGTACTTCTGAAGATATTTGTGCGGACGGTGTAGCACTACCCACTGCTGGTCGCGCAGATGATGTTTCCGCTGTTACAAAAGACATAAAAGATGTTGAAGCAGCAGCAGACGAGGACGACGAGGAAGATGCGGGACTGAGGGCCTTTATGGGACGAGACAACGACAACGACAATGCTGGTCAGAAGGGCAAGAAGACAAAACGCAAGAAAGACGACTTCGAAACGAAAAACGATTTCTGTATCGTGAACAAGAGTACTAGCGATGTTGAAACTGGCGACGATACGAAGACCGATAGCGATGAGGAAGGAGAGAAGGAGTCACCCTCACCTGCTGCGCAGCAAGCTGAGAAGTCACCGGATGTTGATCCTGCAGTGGTCAACAGCAAAATCACGACGATATCAACCTCCACCTGGATGAAGTCTTTCGGCCCCTTAACCCCTGGCGATTTCAACTCCATCTTATGCACTGCAAAAGCATCGTACTAGTACAGATTGCTATACAAATTGGCTCAGCATTACAGATTGAATTTGTAATGCGGATTTACCTCGACACCTAGATTTGTAATGCATAGCTGCAATCACTACGAGTACGATACTTTTGCAATGCATACATCTCCATTAACCACGAGAATTTCGCCATTGCGTTGAAAAAGGTCCTATCAAATGTAAAAATGTCTGGGTCTGGAAGAGTGCAAACTTGTGATGCGCATTTCAGAACACAGAAAAATCTGTCATGCATGGGTAGCAAAAGCTGCCCTCTTTCTGCCACCAAAGTGGGGGATTTGTCATGCGGATTCGGCATTGCGGAAGCTTCTCGAAACCTGTAATGCTAGAGCTTCCATGCCAGATCTTCTGTGTCATGCAAAAACAGCATGACTCTTCCAGACCCAGACATTTTTGCATTTGATAGGTCCAGCCGTCCAGCCTCCGCGAGGGGTTTGCCACGACCCCGGATGTATATGAAAGTGCACAACTCCCCCTCCCCCTCATTTGGATGGCATCCGCAGCAACACAAGTCCTGGCACAGATGTAGCTTTTGCATGACAAATTTACGACTGATTGTAGTGCTGTTTCGGCTTCGGGAATCTGTCATGCATAGTAGTGGCCAAGGGCAAAGGGTGGCTTTGGTGTTTTGCATGAGAAATGAGAACGAGGGGGAGTTGTGCACTGTCATAATGTGAATTGGGACGACGTCGGCGGGATGGTACAATTGAGAGAGGAGTTAGAGCTCGCGATCATCCAGCCGATCAAAAAAGCGGAGCTCTTCGCGTCTTTGGGTTTAGCAACCCCAGCTGGTGTCCTCCTCTATGGCCCTCCCGGTTGCGGGAAAACTTTGGTTGCCAAAGCCGTCGCTTCCGCCGCGAACGCGAATTTCATTTCGGTGAAGGGCCCGGAGTTGCTGAATAAGTACGTGGGGGAGTCGGAGAGAGCCGTCCGGTCGGTTTTCCAGCGGGCTCGGACCAGTTCGCCCTGCATCATCTTCTTCGACGATATGCAATACAAATTTCCCGTACATGTACAAGATGCATCACAAATTTCACCAATGTGGAGCGTAAAACTTGTCATGTTAAACTAGGATCGAGGCCAGGTTTTGTCATGCGGAGACCGCATTCGAACTTGTACGGGAAATTTACTGTGGATACACGAGTTGGATTCCATGGTGCCGAAAAGAAGCTCCGAGGGCACGAGCTCGTCGGAAAGAGTCGTGAATCAAATGCTCACGGAAATGGACGGAATGAACAGTAGAAGGGACGTTTTTGTGATCGCGGCAACCAACCGACCGGACATCATCGACCCCGCGATGCTGCGGCCGGGCCGGTTGGACCGGTTACTGTATGTTCCGTTGCCGGACGAAAGTGGGAGGAGAGAAATTCTGAAATCGCTGACGCGGAGATCGCCTCTATCCGCGGACATCGACTTCGAGCAAATCGCGGGGAAAACCACCGGCTTCACGGGCGCGGATTTAGGGGCGTTGTGCCGGGAAGCGACGATCCGAGCGATGAAGGTGTATTTGATGAAGTTGAATGAGATCGAAGCGGAGGAAGTAGCAAAGGAAAAAAACAGCACCGACAAGAACGGGAGTTCTTCTGCGCTTTTGTTGAAGAAGACCAGCAGTTTCGGCGACAGTGAAACAACAGCGAAAACCACCTTTTCCGGTGCGAAAAAGGTGATCGTGGAGCAAATACACTTCGTGCAGGCTTTGACGAAAGTGGTGCCGAGTGTCTCTGCGAAACAGCAACAGGAATACAAAAGCATCGCGGCAAAAATGACCAAGGAAGCCAGAATGTCGGGAGCGTGAAGATGAAGCGTAGTTTCAGAGATGAGGTGGGCCACGTTTTGTGATATTAGGGTAGCACATAGTATTGAAACGCGAGTCATCGAGTTCTCATCTCTTTAGTTGGAATGCAAAAAAATTCCAGAGGATGTTGCTACAGAACGAAGTCGCTTACTTCCGACGTGTTGAAAGGACAACACTTTAGTGGATGCACCCAGATTGTTACTGATTTATAAACCAAAGCGCAAAATCCTCACCTAAAAAAGCAGCGTGCCGGCCGGGTGCTGCAAATTCTTTGTGTCAAGACCGCTGACTATGAAATTCAATAAAAATCAGAATTGTGTTCTTCAACTACCTCGTCGATAGTTTATTCGGGCTTCATCGTCTGATGTGGTTTGTCTTCGTTGGCTCTTTCGTCGTCTTCTCCGGTTGCCCGCAGCGTGTAAGCGGGACTCAAATCTTCAATGTCAAACCATCAGTAGTCACTTACCTACCGGCGCTTTCATGAACACATTCTAGTGTCCAAGATCTTGAACTTATATAATTCATGAAGGAACAACTACATGATTCCTTAACCACCTCCATCAAGAACTCACGTACACGTTCCGAAATCCCAAGAGAAAGAACTTTGCAAGTTGTAATAGGCAAGAAGTGCCAGCTGTTGTATCTGCAGTTACTACCATGCGAGTCTTGAATTTGTGCCAATAGTTTTGCCTATCGCTACTGCATCGATCCCACCACAACATCAGCGGCCAGGTGGTTGTCGGCCACCAATTTTCTATTTTTATCTATTCCGACATAACATGATACATGAGTAATTGAAAAGTTGAATCTCCTAGTCTAGTAGCGACATCAAATACGCTCTTCATGTATCTTGTATCCATCATAGGCGACAAAACAATCAAGCACTCACGACATTCGTAAGCTAAGATCATGGCGACCCGACTCAAGAACAAGATCCAGATGTGAAGTTATCTTGAGCCTGATGAACTGCTAGTACAATTACGATAAGCTAAAGTTTCTAGATATTTCTGCACTGTGAAGATTTCGTTGTGCGAAGTAGAAGAGCAACTACACAACCATGTCGATCAAACTCCGGGAGTTGATCCGGAATATCCGGACTTGCAAGACGGCCGCCGAGGAGCGGGCCGTGATTGCGAAAGAGTGCGCCGCCATCCGCACGGCGTTCCGCGAAGAGGACAGCAGCTACCGGCACCGCAATGTCGCGAAACTGCTCTTCATTCACATGTTGGGCTATCCGACGCACTTTGGCCAGATGGAATGCCTGAAGCTGATCGCCTCGGCGCGGTTTCCGGAAAAGCGGGTCGGGTATTTGGGGCTCACGCAACTACTCGACGAAAACACGGAGGTGCTGATGTTGGTCACGAATTCCATCAAAAACGACATGTCCGCGGGGAACCAGTTTATCAACGGGCTGGGGATTTGCGCGTTGGGCAACGTCGGCACCGCGGAAATGTGCGCCGCGCTGTCCCGGGAGATCGAGCAAATGCTGAACATTTCCAACCCCTACGTGCGGAAGAAAGCGGCGCTGTGCGCCATGCGGGTCTGCAAAAAGTGCGAGGAGATGGTGGACCGGTTCCGGCCGAAGGTGCGGGCGCTGCTGGAGGACCGGAACCACGGGGTGATGATCAGTGGGCTAGCGCTCATGCGGTCGATTGTGGAGCAGGACCCAGCAAATGCACTGCCCGAATACCTATGGATTGCAAAAATGTCTGGGTCTGGAAAGTTGGAACTTGTAATGCTGGCCTTGCATTCCTGTGAAATTTGTATTGCATGACCAAGAACAGTGGTAGCCTCTCACGTCATACGAAAACGCAATTTCTCATGCGGAGTTCGCATGAGAAGGCGGGCTGCAACCTTGTCATGCTTTTCTGCATAAGGAAGTGACTTCCTCTATGCACATTTTAGCATCACAAGTTTCCAGACCCAGACATTTTTGCATTTGATAATACCGGGAGCAGATACCACATCTCGTTCGGGTTCTGAAGAACATGCTGATGTCGGGGTACGTATCAACTGCAAAAATCTCTGGGTCGGGCAGGATGCAACTTCTGATGCTGTCTTCAGATTCTAGAAAGATCTGTGTTGCATGACCAGCAAGAGGAGTTGGCTTTGTGCCACGCGGACGAGAGGGCATAGGCATTTGTCATGCAGTATTCGCATCAGAAAGCCCTCAAAAAGTGTGTGATGCTAGGGCATGCAGCATCACAGACATCATGGGTCATGCAAAATGTGCATGACAAGTCTTGCACTCTTCCAGACCCAGACATATTTGCAGTTCATAGTACGCAAACGCCGCCGAGTACGACGTCGCTGGCGTAACGGATCCGTTTTTGCAGTGCGCAATCTTGAAAACGCTACGGGTGCTCGGGACCAACAGCGTTGACGCTAGTGAAGAGATGAATGACATATTAGCGCAGGTGGCGACCAACACCGAGGCGGTCAAGAATATCGGGAACTTATCGAAAGCAAACATGTCTGGGTCGGGAAGACTTAGGGTTTGTGATGCAGGACGAAGTACACACAAAAATTTGTACTGCATGAGTAGCGAAACCAATAGCGGCCCACTTGTTCGGGTCATCACCTGGAGGGACGACATTTCTCATGCAAAACAGGCATCGAGGAGCCTTCTGAAAACTTGTGATGCTCTAGCTCGTACTCCAGACCTTCGGAGTTATGCAAAAGCTACATCACAAACCTCACACCCTTCCAGACCCAGACATATTTGAATTTGATAGAACTCGATTCTGTACGAAACTGTGCAAACAATCATGGCCATCGAATCCGAATCCGGTTTGCGATATCACAGGAAAAACGTGTTACAGTTACACATTTGTTGGAGTTTCTGCAACACAAATTTTCTCTGCGTGGCAGAGAAAACTTGTAATGCAAAAGTCATAAGGGAAAATACGTAGGAAACGAGGCTCGCAAGCCTTTCCTGCATGGCAAAGGTTCTCTGTCTTGCGGCTCCCGCGACACAATATGTAACTGTAACACTTTTTTCTTGCGATATGCGAGTGTTGGCGATCAATATTCTCGGCCGGTTTTTGCAGAATCGAGACAATAATATCAGGTATATCGTATGTGATAACGTGTTGATTTTGATCCTTCTCGTGTCCGCACTCAGAAGGCGAAGGAGCATTGTCATGTGGAGATTCAACATCTGCCTTTTGGTTTCCATGTACTTACAAAAAAAATTCTCTGACGTGAATGTACACTGCATAATTCTCTCTCTAAAAACAGGTATGTCGCCCTGGCAATGCTGCAGAAGGTGGTGAAAGTGGATATCAAATCAGTACAACGGCATCGACAAACGATTTTGGAATGTCTCAAGGACCCGGACGTCTCCATTCAAAAACGGGCACTGGCGGTACATAGTTTTGCATATATTGATGTCGATGAGAAGTTTACTTTAGTTCCGGAACTTTTTTTTGGGTTCCGCACATTCACATTATACCGTTTTCGAATAAAAGTCATTTCTTTCCTCTCCTTCATCTTCCAGCTATTACCAGGGTAGTTTTATCTTGAACTGGATCTGTTTGTTTGTTCTTCACTTCCATGATTATGGAATGCAAAAGCATCGTACTAGTACAAATCGCATGACAAATTCCCCCAGCATGAAAAAAGGAATTTCTAATGCGGATTTAGGTTAAGATGGAGATTTGTAATGCATGACTGCGATAATTAATACGAGTACGATACTTTTGCACAGGGTAATCATTGATAATCAGGTACTCTACAATCTCATCACGGAAGAGAACGTGAAAGCCACGATGAAAGAGCTGTTGAATTTTCTCCTTGTCGCTGACGCCGATGTACAAAAGTGCACAACTCCCCCTGACCCTCATTTGTCATGCAAAACCCCAAACCCAACTGGAACTGCTTCCCTGCCTCACTATTATGCATGACAGATTCCGGAAGCCCAATAAACAGTACTACACTAATAGGCGCATGAATTTGTCATGCACAGGCTCCATGTGTGCTGGTGTTTGTACTGCTGTTCATGCAATACAAATCAGGGGGAGGGGGAGTTGTGCACTGTGATACGATGTGAAAGAGGAGCTGGTTTTGAAAATTTGCCACTGCGTCGACCGCTTTGGCCCAAACAGAAGGTGGCAGATCGACACGCTGGTTAAGGTATTAAGATGCATTGTACAACTAAAAAGTAAAAATGTTGCTAATGTTCTTGTCTTGCTCATCGTCATCGGTGGACAGCAGCTGCTCCTGCCGAATGCATGGTGGAGAGAGCATAAAAACAAAATCTCCAACTCCTTGTCAACACAGGTGATGTGCCTCGCGGGCAACTACGTGCAAGAGGAAACCCGTTCCCATTTCTGTCAAATCGTCGGTTCCTCGCCTCCCCTGCACGAGTACGTGGCGCACAAGGTGTTTTTTTCGATCCAGGAAAACCTGAACCAAGAGGCTATGGTGTTGACCGGCGTTTGGTGCATCGGGGAGTACTATCCTGTGCAAAAGTATCGCACTCGTACTAGTAATCGCTGTCATGCATTACAAATCTCCTTCTCAACCACTATCCGCATCACAAATTCCATTTTTTATGCTGAGGGAATTTGTCATGCGATTTCTACTAGTACGGTGCTTGTTTTGCATTTCATAAGTACGGCGACTACCTGATCACCGGCAAAGCCACCGGACCCAACAATGAACCGATAAAGATCACCCCGGCCGAGGTGCTCAGTCTCCTCGACACGATCATGAAAAAGCCCCAGTACGCCGATGCGTATTCGTATCAACTGCAATATCATATCTGCGGGTCTGAAAAGTCGCTAGGTCATTATTTGTCATGAAAGTTATTTTCGACGCCCGCAGTGCAGTCTGGAATGCAGGGCCTAGCATGAGAAATTATTTGTGAGGTCTTAAGTTAGTACCATGCTTGTCCTGCATGAGAAGTTGTTCTCTTCCAGCTATTGCTCAAAAATGGACCACAACTTTTGGTAATCATACATTTACACAATTGAAATTTATTTTGCACGATCCAGAATTAGCATGACAAGTTGCGGCGTGTCAGGCATCCAGGGAAAATATTTGCGATGCATATTGCGAACAAAAGAACCACCACGGTCTTGGAGTACTGCTATCAAAAGGAAAAATCCCCCCTCCCCATATCGAAATGGAAATCTGTGATGCAGGATTTGGGTACACAAATCGGATTTGTCTTGCAGTAGGGCATCGCAGTCAGATCCTCGGCCTAGGTAGGGGCGTATAGGTCTAGTTGCTTAGCATTGCAAACGGGTGTCCCCTAGGCGCAACAGCATGCCAAATCGCTTCCATAATGGTGCGGAAGCCTCTGCGCTTGTCTTCTTGCAAGACAGACGGGATTTGTGACCTCAAATCAGCAACACAAATTTTCGGAAACATACCGTTTCGATATGGGGAGGGGGGATTTTTCTTCAGAATAACTGCGTGACGGCCCTGATAAAACTAACGCCCAGAATGCCGAACGAGGCGGCGAAGATTCGGGAAATGCTGAAGCGCTACGAAACGCACATTTCACCCGAACTGCAGCAACGCGCGTGTGAGTACCAGGAACTGCTATTGCCGGTGTGGAATGGCGACCGGGCGGAGGTTTTGAACCGAATCCCTGCCATGGAGCGAATCATCAAGAAAGAGGTAAAGAATTTTGTCACGTAGATCATGTACTACAGTACTCACCTTCATCAACATGCTGTTGGATCTGGAACCGCTAGATATTGAAGGATGAAAAAGAAAAGATCGCACTAGAGCTAAAGTAGCATGAAATAAAATAGTCATGGGCTTGTTCTTCGATGTCGCGGAGACGAAGTGCATACAAGATTTACATGTAGCACCACAGCAAGCAATCTGTTCCACCACGTTATGTTGAATATGTAATATTATCTACTCTCCCAGGTCGGCGATACCGCGATCGAAGAGGTTGGCTCCGGCGGCAACGCGCAGGGGAAGAAAACCCCAACAAAAAACACCGCTAGTGCCGGTGACGACTTGTTGGATTTGCTCGACCTCGGCGGCGGTAGTTCCGCGCCCAAGACCTCCACCGGCGCACCACAAGCCGCACCGAAGCCGTCCGGGGGGGACGACCTTTTGGACCTGCTCGGCGGCGCAGCTCCGACCCCAGCAGCGAGCTCTATGGAGTTCTCAAATGTTACATTCTCAACTGATGTTACATGAATTTGTGATGCAAGAACACTATAACGCTGCACACAGTCAACCTTCTTCGCATGACAAGAACTTCTCGACGCGCTAAAAACCACTAGAGAATCCGTCCCAAATGATCTGTAATGCAAAAGGCGCAACCTTCCTCCTTTCACTTTTGCCATTCTTGCATTGCCGCAGATTCATGTAACAGCTAAGGGTGTAACGCTCGAGAACCCCATAACCTCGCAGCCGATGCAGCTCGCGCCTACAGCAGGGGCGCCGGCAGCGCCCGCGGCCTCTGGCGGCTTGGACGATTTGTTAGGGGGTGGCGGGCTGCTTGGCTCTTCCCCCGCCGGCCCAAGTGGAGGCGGCGTGGCTTCTTTGGGGAACGGGTTGACGTCACTCGGCAACGGCTCAGCCGGCGGCGGAAACGATTTGCTGGGCGACTTGCTGGGTGGCGGACCATCGCCCGTCATGGCAAACACACCCACGCCAGCGCCCATGATTAGCCCCGCCGCTACTAGTAGTACAACAACTCCGGCTATGAATGTGCATAACTCCCCCTCCTCCTCACTTGCCATGCAAACCACCAAATCCAGGCTGTGTCTCTTGGCACTGTTTGCATGACAAACTCCGGAAGCCCAAATAGCACTACCATCCCTTTCAAATTTGTCATGCAAAACCTGAATTCTCGTTGGCGCTTGTATTGCCGTTCATGCTATACAAATGAGGGGGAGGGGGAGTTGTGAACTCTCATACCGGCCACCAGCAGCGGAGCCAGCAGCTCCTTCGTGCCGATAAATAAAAACGGGCTGCAGGTACTTTCGTTTATTGTTGAACTTGCGTGTCTTTGCAAAACCAAAATCAAAGCCGTCAAGAACACCTTCACGCTGGCGCTTCTCGTGCAACAATACTTACGTTTGTTCTAATATAATTGTCGGGAACGAAGGGAATTTTTTTTCCGTTGCAGTTGTATTCCGGAACGAGCGCTCTTGCTACGATTTTCATGGTTGTACTGGTCGTGGACAACATGATCACGATGAAACAATGACAATTAAGGTAAAATTCACCTGCTCTAAGCAGTCGGACCAAGTGACCCGCATTGAAGCCTGCTTCGCAAATCAGCAGCAAGCCCCCTTTACCGACTTCGCTATCAAAAGAAAAAAGTTCGGCGCGATCACTCATGGGCATTTTTGCAATACAAAAAGTGCTTGTCATGCGTAAAAATGCATCTTCACGGTCAAACTTCATGCGGGATTTCCCTTAGTGTTTCTGCAATACAAGGATAAGTTGTGATGCTAGAAAAATTTGTAATGCAAAGCCTCCAAAACCAAATTAGTGACTGTGGTAAACTTTTTTCTCTCCATATTCGCGTTTGAAGTTGCAGTACCCAAATACCTCAACCTCAAGATGCAGCCCGCATCCTCGGCGACAGTACCATATCACACAGAAAAAAAGCCAGCATAGCAACATATTATCTGTATTTTTCCAAAAATAAATACACAGGACGTGGACGTGCATGTTGCGCTAGAAGTGCATAGAAGTTGTATCATGGTGTAGTTCTTTCGGGCTGTGCAATACAGAAGTTCAAGTTTGTTTCTTACTTTTGCGGATACGAATGTATGCTTATGCTGGCCTTTTTCTACCCTGGGATACACCACCTCAGACGGCAAACACCACCCAGGTTTTCTTGATACAAAACACCTCCAACGGCGCGAAACCCATCGCCATCCGATATCATTCGTAAAAACGGACCCATTTTCTCCCCATGTTTTTCATGCAAATAGTATCTGCATGTCATGACTCGAATGATGAGTCGCATGCGCAGCGTGCCTGAAGACGAAGAGCATGAAATGAAAAAACCAGTTTGGATTTTGTCATGCTCTACCCAGCTGCAAATGCAAAGGAAAATCGATTTGTGTTGATTCGAGCGCACTAGGTTGTAACAAGCACGACTACTACACTATGAGCCCAGAGTACAAAAAGAAGTTGTCATGCGCAAGAATTACAGTCAAGCTCAAGGCGAACATCTCTTCTTGACTTGTGTGAAACATGAAACAAGCCAAGAACTACATCATGATCTCCGCTATGGGGTAATGATCATGGGTTGTACTCTCGGTTTTTCTAAATGATATCCGAACGAGTATCCTGATTAAAGATGTCCCCACACCAGAGTTGTCATGCAGATCTGCATGCCAAAAAAGTTTCTCATGCGGAGCCCCATAAGAACCATTTTCCCATCCTGTTTTGGAATTTGTAATGCTAGAATCAGCATGATATGCTAGATCTGTGATGCTTCGGAACTAGCTAAACAGGATTGCACTACGAGGATAAATTTGTCATGCGAAACAACCAGAGGTGGCGGATTTGTCTAGCGGATTCCCCATCTTGACTCTGGGGTGGAGACGTTTTTGCTCAGGATAACGAGGGTAAAGTTCTCTTTCAACGGGCAGCCGGTGACCTTACAAGACCAGGTTGACAACTTATGAAAGTGCACAACTCCCCCTCCCCCTCATTTGTCATGCAAAATACCAAACTCAAGTGCTTCCCTGTAGCACTGTTTGCATGACAGATTCCGGAAACCATAAACAGTACAACAGTAGGCGCATGAATTTGTCATGCACAGGCCCCACGTGTAGCGTCCATGCAATACAAATGAGGGTGAGGGGGAGTTGTGCACTGTCATACAACTTTCCGAGTTTGTGAGGAAAGAGCAAGAACTGCTGCAATTATTTTTTCGCTTCTTCGCCAATAAATATTCACTAAATATCAAATCGCATAAAGAGAAAAAGACGTCGAAGGCAAAAGAGAATAAAAAAGCACGAAGATGGTTGAACGTTCTTCGCCATCCGAATGCGTTTACGATTTTCAACTTTCGCGATTGATGTAATCCTAATTGTATACCGCAATTTTGGGAGGTTCGGTTCCAGGTTTTATTCTTGTTCAATTCCACATTATCCAAGAAAAAAACTGTGTAAGTGTAACTTTCCTTGGCTGACAGCATCACAAATTTGCTCTACATGACAGCGAAAACCTGTCATGCGTGGCTTGTAAGGGAAAACACACATCAAAAGAGGACTTCGTGGCTGTCTGGCATGACAGGTGTAGCTCTGTTGCATGTTCTGCATTACAAAGTTACACTTGCACAGTTTTTTTCTTGCATACACATTGGTCTATCGACAAAGTTTTCGACGTCGACCTCGGGAAATTCCTCTTCAAAAGAGAAGAGGAGAATTCAAGAAGTTCTTGTACCAATCAAGAACATGATGCTGGATAATTACTATAGGCGGAGTCGTGGCATGGTTTTATCGCTCCTGCCCTGAAAAGACTATTTCAAGAAAGAAAAAAGACGCGCCGACTTGTTCTCGACCTTCATGGACAGGAAGATAGAAGGCAAAAAGAAGAATCTCGCGCCGTCGAAACAACAAGGCAATTGATAAAGAAAGTTTACTGAAGCCAGACTTCCAGAGTTCCTGTAGTGGTCCTCGATAGACTCATCTTCAGAGGACCGTCTTCCCTCTTGTACTGTGTTCAAAGAGTAGAAGTTTGTGTTGTGCTAGAACTAGAAGTCGTGCTGCTCTGTATTTATTATTCAACACAGTTTCAACCATTTCGTGGCCGCACTCGTGCAGGAGCAGCGCTAGTACCGGAGGTCCACGTGGTCCTCGTGTAGTTCAGCGGCTAGTACTAGCGCATTCGGAATCCACGTTGTATAAAGAATGAACTTAAGAAGTCGAGTTTTTGAACAGTCAAAGTCTCGCCTGAAATTGCTCGCACTACGAGGCAGCACGTGCGCGTTCTTTTCTTAGCAAGTCCATAAAGATAAAGTAGGGGCTGCTCGGTCCTCGTGTTTTCATGTGTGGTAACAGAAAGCGTTCCACATCCCCATCCACCGGTGGTCCCAGTACTTCTCAAAAGGCCGATCTTGCAGCACTTCTCCAACATTACTTAGTATTCCCGCCTTCATCTCGCACTGTCGGCCACTTTGTTGCGGACCACGAAGACGTTTCTCCTCAAATTTTATTTGTTTCAAAAAGAAAAATCCAGATCCACGAAGAAGTTCACTGTAGAAGGACCAGTAGCAGCCTTCTCGGTGGTCCCTGATACAAATCGAGTAATGGAACTCCGAGACAATTTCCGCATTTGCAATAAAATCTAACCGTGAAGACCACGTACGACCGTGAGCTCTACTCTCCTCGGTCCCCCGGGTCTCAAAAATAATTGCAAGGGACTTGTTCTGTGCCTCGCTGTAGTGCAGGATCAGCAGGGAAGCAGCAGCAACATCATAACAACGGGACCACCAACTCCCTAATTTACTACAGCGAGCAATTTTACTTTTTTAATTTACCTGATAGAAGAAGAATATATAATTTCAACGTCGTAACACCTCACAACTCCTTCTCCCCCTCATTGATTTGTCATGCAAAATACCAAACTCAAGTGCTTCCCTGTGGCACTGTTTGCATGACAGATTCCGGAAGCCCAGACAGTACTACAGTAGGCGCATGAATTTGTCATGCACAGGCTCCACGTGTACTGGTGTTTGTATTGCTGTCCATGCAATACAAATGAGGGTGAGGGGGAGTTGTGCACTGTCATACAACTTTCCGAGTTTGTGACGAAAGAGCAAGGGCTGCAAGTATTTCGCTTCTTCTCGAAATATTCATATTCAAATCGCATAAAGAAAAAAAGACGTCGAAGGCAAAATAAAAAAGCACGAAGATGGTTGAACGTTTTTCACCAACATCCGAATGCGTTTACGATTTTCAACTTTCGCGATTGATGTAATTCTAATTGTATACCGCAGTTTTGGGATATTCGGGTAGCAGAAACCCAAACCCAAGGTAAAAAAACACGCACATCAGTGGTCTCAGCGTACCGGATTCCCTTTGTTCCCAGCAAGATGATCCAGTATCCTTGTATGGGAAGATCCTCAAATGTTACATTGTTTGCTGTCCCTAGGTGCTGAGTTTTGTTTTATACAAGAAACCAAAAGCGACAGCCGACAGGGTAGCTGTTTGTACTTCTAGGGCCTGCTCGTATATTAATTTTAATTGCATAGTACAAGACTTGATGTGCGAGCAATTCGATGCGCTATTTAGAAGTGCAGCGTCAAGGTCAAGAACTTCTACTTCTTGCCATGCGAAGCAATAGCAGCTTGTTGATCGCGTGGAGGGTGGTAGGAATTCTGCATGACAACAAGAAATCATGTAAGAACTAAACTTCTATAGCCAGCAATGTGAAAACGCTTGAGAGCCCCATACCTTTTTTGGCAACGCTCTGTCTCCCCCGGGAGTCTGAGGCCGAGATCGCGAAATTGCTCATGTATGGGGGTGCACAAGTAGAACTCCCCGTCCCCTTCATTTGCGTGGCATGAACAGCAATACTACGTACTCCAGCACACGTGGACGAGCCTGTGCATGTTGACAAGATCAAGCGCCAAATGTAATTAGCGCTTTTATTTTTGCTTTCGGAAATTGTCATGCATAATGGTGACATACACACATGTCAAGGGAACAAACTGGAGCTGTGAATTGTGCACTCCCATATCAAAAAGACAACTGAAGCTGTGGGAATTGGGAAAAATTGGGAAAAGCCCGATCGCAAATTAGTTGAACAAGCGCGAGCCACACTCGAGAACCAGTTATGAATTGCAAATATGTCTGGGTCGTCTGGAACAACGCTGCAACCGTTTGTGATGCATTCCACAGACCACGACGAAAATTTGTCTTGCGCGGGCAGCACAAGAAGCGCAGTTTTGGCCTGCTAAAACGGTATGTTTGTCCGTGCGGGATACTTATGCATCGCAAAGCACTTACTCTCACAAGACCTGTGACGCAATCCGCATCACAAACTCCTGCACGACCCATCCAGGCTAGCTACATGGAAGCAGACAAATCAATGATGGGCGCCGCGTTGTTAATGCGGTTCATTTTCTCCATGCTTAGCCATGAGGGCGAGCGCCGCTCCGTCCAGGGTGGCCGAGTAGGCGACAGCACGGCCAAGGCACAGCAGAGGCTTGCTTTCATCTCCTGCGCCATATAAATGCGCGCCAGCTTTTGGCGTGAGGCGGACCGCCGAGGGAGGAGGGGCGCGTAGTGTCTTGCGAACGTCCAAGCCAGCTCCCCCTGGCTTCTGCGCTTGGTCTTAATGTTGCTGCTGCTGCAAGCGGAAAGCGCAGTCGGAGAAGCCTAATCTTGCGACCCCCCGCCCCTCCAAAGGCGCAAGAGGCGGCGCGCCTGTTGGCTGCCATTGGGGCGCCGAGCGAGCGCAGGCGGCGGCGGTTGCTCTTTCTAGCAGCCGAAGACCCGCACTGCGAAAGCAGGCAGTCCAGATCAGTCCGAGAGACAAACCGGCAGCAATCCAGGACAATCCGAAAACAGTCCAAAAAAATCCGCCATGTTAGAATCCAGGCCCAGACTTTTTTGGACTGAATTTGGTTCGGACTGTGGATTGGGTTTTTCCGGTCAACTTCAAACGGCGGATTGGACTTTTCGGACCAACTTCAAACGCCGGATTGGGTTTTTCGAACCAACTTCAAACGGCGGATTGGATTTTTCGAACCAACTTCAAACGCCGGATTGCAGTCGTCTTTTTGTGAGGTCGTCCCCGCTTCTGCTGGGGCCGGCGCTTCGCGCCGGCGAATACTGCCCACCTGACTTGAATGGAGATCAACGCCTGCTGTAGCCCGGGCGCTGAGCTCTACCTGTCGGGTTGCCCCCTGGTTGCTTGTTGTGGTCGTTGGGCCTGGGCTGCTCGCGCATTGGGGTCTGATGGGTCTGCTCGGAGGCAGCCAGGCACGGGCACATCTGTCGCGTTGCGCCGCTGAATGTGGCATGTGCAACAACAGGCGGTGCCCCGGTGGAGGTGTTTCGAAGGTAGAGGCATGAACGCCCCTGCGACGAGAGCTCCGGGGACCCTTTCTGCCGGCATGCAAGAGGGGTGGCAGTTTCTATTTTGGGGGATTATGTATTTCTTACGCAGGGCCGCGGGGGGCGCAGGCACTGGAATTCGGGTTCTTTGACTGGGGACATTCGTGGCGGTATGTCGTTCCAATTTAGCCTAGGGAGGACTCTATAATTGTGTGGCAGGATTGTTTGCTGGCTGAAGATTGAGCTCTCCTGTGTTCCAAAGCGGGCTCCTTTGGCGCCGTCGGTGAGGGCTTCGGAGAGCCCAAGCAGGCCGCTCACTCTTATCTGAAAAGCGCAATTTCGAAAATGTTTGAAATGAGTTTGAAGTTGGTTTGAAATGGAATTAGGCCCCGGGCCCGTTTGATATAAGCATGACAAACTCCTGCGCGACCCATCCAGGCTCAGATATATTTACTTGCGATCCCAGTTGACGATGGCCCCGCATATCCTGAGCAAAAAGTTCCCACCCCACCAGAGTTGTCACTCAAATTTGCAATCACACACGACAGAGAAACACTATATAAATGCGCATCCACATCATGATAAGAGGCATTTTCCATCGTGTTTTGGCAACATTTGTGATGCTGTCAGCAGGAAGATAGAGAGATGGATTTGTCATGTGGGTGCTCTTGCAAATAACCTGCACTACAATACAGAGCAAGCCTTGTGGTCATGCATGACTCCCGAAACAACTTCTGGATTTGTGTTGCAGACTTTTCAATTTCTTGACTCTGGGGTGGGGATGTTTTCACACAGGATAGTGCGCGGAAAGCTAGAAGTTCTGCAGACCCTGACAAGAGACGTTTTGGATGAAAAGCTTGTGCTACGAGACGAGTGCACAAGGCCTCCCCACCCCGATTTCTTTAAGGGCATGTGGTCTTCTAGCAACACAAACAATCAACCTGCAAAATTTATCGTATTTGGAGCTTTAAAAATGATTTGCATGACAAATTGGACTTATAATGCAGTTTTGACTCCTTCCCGAATTTCAATTTGACCACATGGATCATAAAATAAACCTCGGCCCAAGAAGCGGTTGTGCCCGGATAGGATTTTTTGACATTCTGCACGACAAATGAGGGGGACGAGAGAGAGTTGTGCGTTTTCATATGTGCCCCAACTGCTTCTGACCATACTGCTTCCGGTTCCGAAACTACGACCACGTCCTCTCGCAGATGGCGGCACTGGAAGTAGGCGGGAAGCGTCTAAACGAGACGAAGGGCTACGTCGTGTACGCCGAAGCTCCTCCCGTTCTGCTCGTGGGCGTTCTAACGCGAAAAGTCCAGCATCACCATCTCGCGACGCAGCGGAGCCGCATGGTCGCAGCAGCAGCAGGAACGGCTCCTCTCCTTCCAGGTCACCCTCGCGGGGTCGCAAGAAGTGCTGCACCCGCCGGAGGTCTAGGTTGGGCGAAACGTCGTGTACACTTTCATAGGATGAAAGTGTAACTACTGCCAGAGCCTGTGACCGAGACAAACATAATATCTGAGGCAAACGCCGTAATACGATTCCGGTATCAGCTTCTAGCTATTGCAGACCCAGCACCACAAATGTGCGAAGCAGAGAACGAAAACCTCTCGACGCCTCAGGAGGAAGCAAGATCTAGCTAAGTGTATAATGTATTAGTTTATTGATGTATAAGTTGTACTATAAACATGTCTTGTTCAATGAATTTGCTTAGCCTTAGGCTACGCAAATTGCTTGTCGCAGTTCGCTCCGGCTACAGTGACCTACACCTACTTAAACCAGTATTTTGATTTTACATTGCACAATTCTCCAACTACGCAGCACCTAACTCATATTTTACAGGAAAGAAGTTAGCATCTCGTTGTAGAAGTATTGACCCCACTTCGTGTGTTTAAAGAGACCTGAGTAGCAAGGCCTTTGAAAAAAGAATCTACTTGAGTTCTAACACCGGCGCACTCCGCGGCCCCGTCGCGTGGTCAAGAATTTACATATTGAAAGTTGTATCTCAGCAGTAGTGCAGCTTTACAGTAGTAGAACACCGCGCTGGGGGTAGGTTTTTGGTACGCTTTTTCGCTACAGTTTTAAGATTTTTTGAACATACAACTAGTTTGGTGAGGTCATTTTCTTTTTTGTTCAGTCGCGGCCGATGGTGGAGGTGCCAGTCTGTCAGGAGGGCACTCGTCGTCCGCCACTGATTTTGCAGGCCACCAGGGGAGGAGAACAACTACAGTCCACCAATGGAGGGCTACAGCCCACCAATAGACTACAGTCTACGACTGGTGGAGTGCAACTACAGTCCTCACGAATGGACCGTCGAAGATCAAAATTATGAAAGCAAGCCGAGCGCTGATTTTCTTGGATCTTTCTGGTCTATTGTCGGCGCACGGAAAAAAAAATTGGAAAAAATCTTCTAACGAACCTGTCTCGACGCAGACGGGAACAGGAACAACGTGGTCACATACTATCATTGGATATTATCGTGCGGACGAATTGGAAGATATTTTCTGCTGCAGATATGCAGGCGCGGGTGGCAAAAATTGCAACAAAAAAACCTCCAGCTCTCCTCGACTAGGGGCCGCTGCAATTAGGAGCTGCAAAGATAAGACCTGCAGCTCTCGACTTCGTTCGTGGCCCCCTTACACAACGTAGTAGTTCTCGTCGAAGAGTAAGATCTGCTTTGGCTTTCTCATTCTGGTCGCTCGATCACCGGCGGGCTCTGTTTGCGAACCAAAATGTTGCTCCTCAAATCTGCTGGAAATCTGGATCCTCAAAGACCTACGACAAGTTCATCATTCTCGGTTTTTATTGTTTACAACCGCATGGTGCGATGCTTTTGATAAATAGAAGTCCATGATGTGGTCTTCTTGCGCATTGGCTAAGCGTGAGTGCATGATCTCTCCTCGGGTGTAAGTAAGTAGTTGTGCCCGAAAATAAACCACGCGGCAAAGTCGGTATAGAAATTCCTTGACTCTAATGTGCGAGTGGTTGTGGTTTAGGATCAGGCTCCTCAACCTCAAGCAGCTACACCTTTGCTGGGTGTAAACAGGAAGATCATTTTCAGAAGCAATAATTTCATAATTCGTGGAGATCATACACATCCTCGGTACTGAACTTTATTGGAACCTTATGTAACAAGAACAACTGCCAAGTAAATGAGTTCCGGTATCTGCAATTGCATATCGAGAAGCTTCGGTTGGAATGATCAACGGCGCCAGGCAAAATCTTCGAGACAGCCAAACTCACGATCGCGTAGTAAGTTGTCGAGTTCATACATCGCATCACTTAAACAGTTCTTGCAGCAGAAAACACCCCCCAACCATCGCCTCCCAAACATCTTCGAAGTAGAACTTAAGTAAAACTATTGAGCAGCTTTTCTAATAATTTTGAGCAAGGACGACAAACAAAAACCTCCTACAGGACAGCTTTTCATCTGAAGAGCAGCAGCGTCCAGTTGTACTCGTGCTTGCGCGTGCTACCACTCTTAGTTACCCACTATATTTTTTTATTCAAAACAACGAACTACTACTTACATGCACTGAAGGTGTTGAAGAACTCACGAAAATTCATCCACGACCCATTTTCTCCTTGCATAGACCACTTTTACAAGGAGGGACCGATGCAATAGCATTGAAAGGGCATTTTACTTACTATTTCTCTGTAGACGAGTTGTTGTCTTCAACTTGTTTTAAGTATCGCCTCCTCAATTGTTCTTTCGGTACTTATTGGTAAAGGAACCACAGGTAAAAGCACGCCTTCCTAGTAGCGCAGACGCCTTCAACTTCTACATTCTTACATCCGCACAACTTGTTATAACATCATGGAGCTGCACCAGCAGGAGCGCTTGGCGTCGTTGTTGGTAAAAAAGTCCCCTCGTCGTACTCCGCGAGCGGGCCGTGTACTACTGCATCTTTCGCCGCGCCACATGAAGAAGGCAACGTGCACGATGAAGAAAGTTATGATTTCCGCCGTGCTTCTTTGTGGCCAAGAGCTTCTTACTGCGCCGCTGTGCTGCGTTGCCTTCACTCTGAACAAGCTGCGCCCGCAGGCCGCGTCGTCCTTATCACCATGCACAACTCGTCCCCCTCGTTCTCACTTCTCATCGAAAAAATTTACAACTCGTCCAGTCGATACTCTCTTGTGTCAGTATTAATTATGCATGACAAAATCCTGAAGCTGCTACCCAAAGCACAGCACTTGTACTACACTTTACGCAGGAACAAGAACTTGTCGTGCTCATGCTCCACATGGGGAGCTGTTTGTATTGCTGCTCATGCAATACAAATGTGGAGGAGGGGGAGTCACGCACTCTCATAGTTCTCCTTTTCTCCTGAAGAAGCGGAGAAGCTGCGTCGTTGCAAGCAGCACGCTATGGCTTGCTCAGATGTTACAATGATCTCAACTGATGTTACTTACAATAGAATTTTCTGGAAGATTTTGTGGTCTTGCTCTTGCATGAGCGCCAGCATGAGTAGCATGCAAAGCTTTGCTGCTCTTTTCGCAATACAAATTTCGCCGGATTGATATTCTTCTAGTGGAGTGCGGGGTTTGGGGCCCCAGAACTCGTCATGCGTATAATTCGTGAAGGACTAGGAGAAGGCCAGATGTTGCACGTTTCGCAACATCACACAACGCAGACTCTATATGTGCTAACGGATGATGAGATTGTAACACCTGACCAGGTATCCTGTGCAAAAGTATCGCATTCGTATAAATGCAAGTCTTGCGTTACAAATATTTCTGTTAAGGTGCATCAGCATGACAAATTTTATTTCTCATGCTGAGAAAATTTGTAATGCATTTATAGGAGTACGATACTTTTGCAGTTCATACCAGGTTATATACACTGACACGAAACGATTGGAGTGTCACGCGGATGCATACGTATCAAATGCAAGTTTTTCTGCTGGGTGTGGAAGGTTGCATGTTGTGATGCAGCTTCTGGAACAGGCAAAAGTCTGTGTTGCGTGGTCAGCAAATAAACATGCAGACGTCAGATTCAGTACAGGGCGCTTATTTCTCATGCAGAATAGGCATGGAGAGACGACGTCGGGAGAATTTCTCATGCTTTGCCTGCAATCCAGATTGTTTACGTGGTTTTTCGGATGCAAAAACTGCAAAGTAAGTAAATGGCTGCATGCTTCCAGACCCAGACATAATATTTGCAGTTGATAATAGGGATCATTTGACAATGTAGTCGACGATAAGTCTGTTATGAGAGAAATGCAGCACAACTCGTGGTCCTCTTGTGCTTGTTCCCTCTATTTCTTTGTAGAGGCAACATGATGTTGGGCAGAAAGAGCAAGACTATCAGCAAGCTCACATCAAATGAAGCAACCCCCGCCGCGTGAGAATAATTAGATCCAGCCACCCATTCTTGCTAAGTACTGTTTGGCGTGTCGAAATTTTTCACGCACGCAGTGCTTGTTTGATACAATAAAATAAATAGATACCATCTAACGAGTTGAGTAAAGGGGTTCTTCTTCACCACGAGTAGTTCTGCACTTCGATATCCGTGAACGCGAAGGTAAGCGAAATCTATGCCGCGGTGAAACTAATCGAGCAAATCGATAAGATCCACGAGCAAGAGCAGCAGACCGGCGCTGGAGCAGGGGCTCCTGTTGCGGGTCCGGGCCGCGGGGCGGACGCGCCGCCAGCGGTTGCGGGAGTGCAACGAGCGGAAGAAGTACAGCAGGACGAGCCAGGCGCAGTCTCACAGGCCATGCGTGACGGAGTGGCGGTGGACAATACAGGAAGGCCTGTGGGTAACTACCTGAACCTGTGGCAACATTTGGGCGACGCGCTGGTCCAGGGACTACCGAATGCCGTGCAACTCGTGAAAGCAGCCAGACGCTGCGTGCTCCCACGCAAGCAGTTCGTGGAGGAGAATTGTGCGACATATGTGAGGTATCCAACAGCTACGCACCGGTATGCGGACACAGAATTCGTGAAGACCTGGGGCGCATTGGAAGACGCGCACGCGGTTATTCATAATATGGAACAGCTGTACACTATCCCACGAACAAAATGTTGAAGGAGGTGCAACAGTTAGTACACATTTGCCGTGCTTAATATCACTGCGGTATCACATTAAAGCTCCAGTCTGCAGGCTGATGGCAGAGAAAAGAAACTTGCAAAAATGCAGCCGAGATCATAAGTAATTCATATCGATAAGAGGCAACAGCACCAGCAGGTACGAAACCAGGCTTCACTTCTGAAAATTAATCTGGCATGACCACAGAGCCTGTCCGTCCTGCTCAACCTGCAAGAGCTACGCAATGTGTAATATTAGCTGCATTTAACAACTTTGCTCTACTTTCATAGACATTGGGACTGCGGTACTCTCTGCGAAGCAAGAGTACCTGCGAAGCGCAATCAAAGCAGGAAACAGGCACGCAAAAAAGCGGCAACAGAAGGAGCTTAAACAGAAAGAGGCCGAGGCCGAGGCATGGGCCCAGGAACAGGAGGAGACTAGGAAGAAGCTCGAGCAGGATGCTATGACCCGCTCAGACGTTTTTACAATCTCAACTGTTGCAATAGAAGCTGGAAATCGCATGACAAGTTTCATCGGAGTCCCAAACCCACGTGAAATCCGGCAAAATTTGTAGTGTGAAAAGCTCAATTCTCTCTGTGTTCCTCATGCTCTTCATGCAATACAAATTCCAGAAGATTCTATTGTAACGCTTGAGATTGTCACGTTTGAGGAGACCATAGATGCCTTTGAGCTGGAGCAAGAAAAAATCAGCAACGCACGCACGGAGATTTTGGAGAAGCTCAAGGAAGAGCAGCGAGATATCCTGAGCAAAAACGTTCCCACCCCATAGTCAAGATGGGAAATCGGCAACACAACTGAATCAATCAGCTTTGGCTGTTGTGCATGACAAATTGGGCCTCGCCGTGTAATCCTGTTTAGCTAGCTCCTCAGCAGCGTCACAGCTCTAGCATAAGTCGCTGACTAGGCTTACAAAACGCCTCGCCTGCTGGGGCTCCGCATGAGAAACATTTTGAGCAAGCAGACTTGCGTGACAACTACGGGGTGGGGACGTTTTTGCACAGGACACGAGAGGAGCAGGAGGCTGCGGACTGGGACGCCGTCATCATATCCACACACTATGCAAGAAAAAAACTGTGTAAGTGTAACTCTGTAATGCAGAACATGCAACAGAGGTACGCCTGTCATGCCGCACAACCACGAAGTCCTCTTTTCACGAGTGTTTTCCCTTGCAAGCCACGCATGACAGGTTGTCTCTGTTGTGTAGAGCAAATTTGTGATGCTGTCAGCCAAGGAAAGTTACACTAACACAGTTTTTTCCGTGGATACACATTCAGAAAAGTACATCACTAGAACGCAGACAACAAGTAGAAAAAAATATCCTGAGTAAAAACGTACCCACACCAGAGTTGTAATGCAGATTTGCAAAGACAGGAAGACTTGTAATGCGCATCCGCATGAGAGCCATTTCCAGTCGTGTTTTGGGATTTGTGATGCTGTGAACAGGATGAGCAGATGAATGCGTGATGCGGCTGCACTTGCTAACCTGCACTATACTGCAGAGTCAGAGTGCAACTTGTCATGCGTGACTCACAAAACTCCTAGGTTTGTGTTGCAAAATCCCCATCCTGACTCTGGTGTGGGTACGTTTTTACTCAGGATAAAAAAGGGTCTGTCATTATGTATTAGAAGCGCACTTTTAAGTAGATGTTTATCTTTATGTATATCAGCATGAGAAACTTGCTCTTTATTGTGGCGCCTAGCTCTACTCTATTGATTCATTGTCGAGTAGAAGATGTAGAAAGCGCATGCCCGCCCCTGGTGGGAAGGGAAGTCGTGAGAGGGGCCTTGTGCCCAGATGCGCTACTAGAGGTAGACGCATCAAATCGCGCAAACTAAGCGGCAATACGCCGCTGCTCCTGGCGAGTGAAGAAGGGCGGCGCCCGCAATCCTGCGCGCGATCCCCCTACCCCTGGTGGCTGTTCTCTTGTTCTTGAAGAAGAGCCCCGCTCTGGAAGCGGGCGAGCCTTGCAGGCTCCTGGTGAGCAGGCGAGGCGCCTCGCCGTCTCTGTTGGGTGAGATGGTGGTGGGGTTTCGGCCGGCTTAACCTGAACAGCCCAGCGCCACACCCTGCCCGACCAGCCACTCCGAGGAAGGCCCTCGGGCGTGTTGCCGCGTCGTGTGCGAAGAGGCCCGGCATGGCGTGCCTCTCTCGGCCTTCGGCCGTATCAGTGGGCACGCTCGCACCGCCGTAAGCCCTAGCGCCCCACGCCGCGCGCAGCAGCTGGCGGCACTTCCCGGGGATGGACGGAAGCGGTGGGGCCTGCGCTATTCGGGAAAGCCTTGGCGGGCACCCCCAGCCCCCTGGCGGGGCCGGCGCCGCTCTTCTTGACGAAGGGCGCACAGCAGGGCTCTGCGCCCCTTGCACCGCTGGCGGGCAAACTGCACCCGCGCGCCGCACAGATAGCGTCCGGCCTAAAGTCAGACGACAATTAAGGGACGCGCCCAGGTAGCGCGAATCGGGATCCTTTCGCCGTAGTATAATCAATCTGTGTTGCCCACCTGGTGTGCGCCCTCTGATTGGTGCTACTATACGGAACGAGTGCAAGAGCCGGTCTGCCAAGGCCACAAACCTCCAGCGCGCTGTTCTCCTCCAGCTCTCGCCACTTGATGTTGCGACTGCGTAGGAGGGTTACGTTTCGCCGGGCCTCCACAGCCTCGCTGTCCGGCGGGTTGCTGCAAGTATAGCAGGGCTAAAGAGCGGGCGCCGTGTCTGTTTGAAACAAGAGCGGATCAAATACAATACAATGTAGAAAGCGCATCGTTACAAAGACAAACGGCATGTGCATGTTGTCTGACGGAATAAAGGGAAATAAATTGAGATATGTATAATATACTGTGGCGCCATCTTCAGTTCGTTGTATTTACAGAGGTTTTTCGTGACACGAAGATGGCGGGATGGCATTTTTTGCTGATATCACCAGTATGAGTCGTGTAGTACTACATGTGCCACTTTTCTGGTGGATAGAGGAGGCAAATCAAACAGGAGTGCGAGGACGTATGGAGTTCTCAAACGTTACATTCTCAACTGTTACGTGAATTTGTCATGCAGAAGTACAACCATCATCCACAAGATCAAGCTGCTTCGCATGACAAATTTGCGAAGGACTAAACAGCGCCTAAATCTGCGCGGGATTTGTAATGCAATTTTTGCAATCTCCCCCCTTTTGCTTATTTTGCCATTCTTGCATTACAGATTCATGTAACAGTTGAGAATGTTGTAACGTTTGAGAACGCCATAGGACGCTCGGGACCGAGAAAGAAAGAAGTGGACGAGCCTCCTGCACGAGATGTATGCATTGCAAATATGTCTGGGTCTGGAAGGATGCAACTTGTGACGCTGTCTTTGGATTCTAAAAAGATCTGTATTGCATGGCCAGCAATAGGAGTCCAGTGTGTGCGACGCGGAGAGGGCATTTGTCATGCGGAATAGGCATCAGGAAGCCCTCTAAAAATCCGTGACGCTAGGCCATGCATTACAGGAATCAGATCACGATTCGTGCAAAACATGCATGGCAAATCTTGCTTTCTTCCAGACCCAGACACTTTTGCAGTTGATAAGATGCACACGAAAGCGATCCAGGGCGAGCGGATCTCTCTGCACGATTACAAGCCTAGCGGCGATCCCGATGGCCGTATTGTTTTCCAGAAAAATAGCAAAAACGCCCAACTGAGGCACGACCTTTCTCTGTGGCAAAATCTAGCAAGGCGTGCGCGCGGCAGGATTCCCGCACACCAGCAGGCGGCGTTACTAGCTCCCGTGCTTGCAGTACGCGGGGGCGACCTGGAGGCCCTGCTTTCCGCAGAGAAGATTGAAGCGGTTTGGAACAGTGTTTTCCGAGCTACTGAGGATGCGACAACGATGGCGAGGAAGTGCGGGGAAGCCGACGTCTTTATGCAGAATATTTTAACCGAGCCGACTTCGGGAATACAGACACTGCTGCAAGGCACGCAGTTTGGCAGCCTGGTGGAGCGCTATAGTATCGAAACAAACTTTCGAACCGTGTGCGTGGCCGCACCCTGGCGGTCATATCAACTGTAAAAATGTCTGGGTCTGGAAGAATCCAACTTGTCATGCTGATTTTGGATTATAAAAAATCTGTATTGCATGAGCAGCAAAGAGAGTCTAAGTTTTGCTACACGCAGAGGGCATTTGTCATGCGGTATAGGCATCAGGAAGCCCTCACAAAATCTGTGACGCTAGAGCACGCATCACAGACATCAGGAGTCATGCAAAATGTGCATGACAAAGCTGGCGATTTTCCAGACCTAGACATTTTTACATTTGATAGGTCAGCATTTCTTACCATCGATCTCGCACTCACCCAATACAAAGCTTCGTATCACATGTAAAAATGTCTGGGTCTGGAAACTTGTGATGCTAGGTGGCGTCTCATGATGAGGCCACAAGTGCTGGCTCAGCATGACAAGTTTCTGAGCTTCTAGGTGTTGCCTATTCTGCATGACAAACTGCGTTTCTGCATCACAGAAAAGTGGAGCTCTTGGGTAGCGTGCATGACAGATTTAAGAGTCATGCCAGACAAGCATGACAAACATGCATTCTTCCAGACCCAGACATTTTTACATTTGATACTTCGGTGCACTTTGCCAAGAAGGTGTTTGAGGACAAAAAGTTAACCCTTCACGCAACGGAAGTAGTACCGTATGGCATCTTCCGAGAGTGGGAGGTCGAGGAGGGTTTGGACGCACTAGTACCCCCCGGCAAGCGGACAAAAAAACTCGAGGAGCCGCTTGCGAAAGCCCAAGAGGTCCGCAAAACTTTGCGGCAGACCGCTCGACTCCCCCCCCTGACCCCCGAGGAAAAGCAAGTGCCTCCCACGGCGGAACTTTTCCAAGCTGGCACAAAGAAGGGCCCCCTGCGGACGAGTTTTGAAGCCGCAAAAAAAATGGTGGAGGACGCGGAGATAACGCAAAGGAAAATACAGCAAAACTATTTCTATTGGGCAAACGAACAGAAGAAGTTTGTCAAAGAAAAGACGGAACGAAATGCAGTGCTTCGCGAAGCGGAAGAACGTGCGGTCTTGCTGGCTGCCGCACGCTATCAAATGCAAAAATGTCTGGGTCTGGAAGATTGGAACTTGTGATGCTAACTTTGGACTCTAGAAAAATCTGCATTGAACCATGACCAGCAAGAGGAGTCTAGTTTGTGCTACCCGGGGAGGGCGTTTGTCATGCGGAGTAGGCATCAGGAAGCCCGCTCAAAATCTGTGATGCGCGGTCGTGCATTACAGACATCCTGGGTCTTGCAAAACATGCATATACAAATCTCAGAATCTTCCAGACCCAGACATTTTTACATTTGATACACACTACGAGATAGCGGAGATCGGGAAACGAGAGACCACATGGGCCGCAGACACCATATCAAATGCAAAAATGTCTGGGTCTGGAAAGTTGCAACTTGTCATGGTAATTCAGAATCATGCAAAAATCTGTGTTGCGTGATTGCCAAAAGCTTTCCACTTTTGGCCTATTCGAGTGGCAGTTTCTCATGCAGGATAGACTTGATAGAACTCTCACAGAATCTGTCATGCTATGTCCTACATACCAGACCTCATGGGTCATGGAAAACCTGCATGACAAGTCTGGCAATCTTCCAGACCCAGACACTTTTGCAATCCAGACACCACCCCGGAGCACCTTTTTGGGCAGTTCGTCGAGGGTTTCAGGAAAGTGCTGCATCTCCAGGCGGAGAGCGGGAGTGCGTTTGCTGCACTTCTTTCCCAATGGACTAGGCCGGCAGCAGAGGGGGGCCCTCCGCGCCCGCGGCTTCCCATATTAACGGATGGTCAAGAACTCGACGTGCTGAGGCCTTTGCGAGTAGTAGAGAGCGACGAGGCCGCGGAAGAAGCCAAAGTTGTGGCGTATCGGTATCGATTTTCCGCATTTCCCGACCAGAAGCAGTATCCTTGTATGAGATGTTAATTCTCATTCTCAACTGTTACATTGTTTCCTGTTATTCACGGTCGGCGATTTTTACTTTTGTTTACAATGCAAAAGCAAAAGCGAGAGCGACAGAGCAATACCAGTACGGGGCAGTTTGCGCGTCCTCTTGCGTTGGCATGATTGGTGGCACGGATGAAAATTTTTGTGCTATTTGGTTCATGCCGCCAAGAACTTGCCATGCGAAGCAGCTTGATCGCGTGGAGGGTGGCCAAGCTCAAGGGATAATTCTGCATGACAAGAAATGTATCAAACGTAAGAGCAGTTAGCAATGAGTAGCAATGCTTGAGAGCCCGCCCATACCTTTTTTGGCAACGCTTTGCCTCCTCCGGAGTTCTCAGGACGCGATCGGGCGATTCACGATGAAGTCAGAGGACGACAAGCTACTCGCACAGGACCAGTCCGCGATAGACACGCTCTATAACCAGTTGAAGGTGGACCCGCGCTATCCAGTGCAAATAAACATGTCTGGGTCCTCCTCTGGAAGTATGCAGCTTGTAATGCTAGCTTTGGACTCTTCATAAAATCTGTATTGCGTGAACAGCAAAAGAGGTCCAATTTTTGCTGAGTACACACACAGGGCATTCCTCATGCGGTATGAGCATTAGAAAGCCATCGCAGAACAACAATTTCTGATGCTTGGGCATGAATCACAGACCTTATGGGTCATACAAATTCTGCATCACAAACTCCAGCATTGTCCCAGACCCAGACATATTTGCATTTGATACGCGCACGGAGGTTCTGAAGACCCTGACGATGGACGTTGTGGCTGAAGAGCTTGTGTTATGAGACGAGTGCACAAGTAGAAGTACTACTTCCCACAATCTCTATTTCATCTTGAGCGGAGGTATCATGTGGTCATCTAGCAACACAAACATAAATGAAGATTTAGATTTGCATGATTTTATGCATTATAAATGAAGATTAGATTAGATTCATTAATTTCTTTTGGGCGACAAATGAAAGGGGGGAGGGGGACGACGAGTTGTGCATTTTCATACGTGCCCGCACTGCTTCTGACCGCACTGCTTCCGGTTCCGAAACTATTACCACGTCCTCTCGCGGCAGATGATGGCACTGGAAGTAGGAGTGCAGCTCTTCCGCTGCGGGAAGCGTCTACCTCGCCCGAACGAGAGGAAGGGCTACGTCGTGTACCCCGAAGCTCCTCCCGTTCTGCTCGTGGGCGTTCGAAAGCGTATCAAAGGGAAAAATCCCCCCACCCCATATCAAAAAGAAGTTTCTGATGCTGGCTTTCAGTACACAAATCAGATTTGTCTTGCAGTAGAGGACTGCAGGTATATGCCATCAAGCCTGAGCGGCGATGTTTTGGCGTAGGCTTCTAGCATGAAAAACGTCGATGGTGTAGGCCCAACAGCATCACAAACCGCCTGCATAATGCGGCGGATTCTCTGGATTTGCTTGCATGCAAGACAGGCAGGATTTGTGGTTACAAATCCGCATCACAGATTTTCAGAAGGATGCGCTTTCAATGTGGGGAGGGGCGATTTTTCCTCACAATAAAGCGAAAAGTCCATCACCATCTCGCGACGCAGCGGAGCCGCATGGTCGCAGCAGCAGCAGGAACGGCTCCTCTCCTTCCAGGTCACCCTCGCGGGGTCGCAAGAAGTGCTGCACCCGCCGGAGGTCTAGGTTGGACGAAACGTCGTGTACACTTTCATAGGATGAAAGTGTAACTGTTTTACATTGTTGTATAAATATAAATACACGAGGAAAGCTTGCCATGGGCGGCCCCATAGCATGCTGCTTCGGATACGCAACACAGTACTTATTTTTGCACGTACAAATATGACCTTCCAGCTTTTTCTCTGGGATAAGTGGCAGTTGGCGACCAAGGAGCCGGTATGTTTTGAAGAGGATTGAAAAAGGAAAACAGCGTAAGTAGGCTGTTAGGAACAACTGCGCGGATCGTGGTGGGCCTACAAGAATGAATTCGAGTTTTTAAATTTGTATTGTTGAGATGTAAAAAGTCAAAGCTTACAGGACTTTCTCCTAGTTGCTGCCATAGAGTATATCATAAACCAGCAGATGCAGAAGCTTTATTATAATGATAAAGCCTCGGCGGGAGGTGATGATTTACGCTTTGTTTGTTCCTTCACAAGTAGTATGTATAGACAAGAAGATGTAAAAAGTAGTAGTAGATGTATAAAATTATCAAAACTGCACCCCTACCCCAACTTGGTACTTCAACGCAACATCTATTTTACAGGAAACAAGATAGCATCGAATTTGAGAAGTACCCACTTCAGGTGATGTTTTACGAGACCTCTGTAGCGAAGCCTCTTTAAAAATTTTTGGCCTGCCTAGTTTACTATAACCCACTTCGTGTGTTTAAAGAGACCTGAGTAGCAAAGCCTTTTGAAAAAAGAACACACTGACAAATCTACTTGAGTTCTAACACCGGCGCACTCCGCGGCCCCGTCGCGTGGTCAAGAATTTACATATTGAAAGTTGTATCTCAGCAGTTGTGCAGCTTTACAGTAGTAGAACACCGCGCTGGGGGTAGGTTTTTGGTACGCTTTTTCGCTACAGTTTTGAGATCTTTTGAACATACAACTAGTTTGGTGAGGTCATTTTCTTTTTTGTTCAGTCGCGGCCGATGGTGGAGGTGCCAGTCTGTCAGAAGGGCACTCCACTCGTCGTCCGCCACTGATTTTGCAGGCCACCAGGGGAGGAGAACAACTACAGTCCACCAATGGAGGGCTACAGCCCACCAATAGACTACAGTCTACGACTGGTGGAGTGCAACTACAGTCCTCACGAATGGACCGTCTAAGACCAAAATTATGAAAGCAAGCCGAGCGCTGATTTTCTTGGATCTTTCTGGTCTGTTGTCGGCGCACGGGAAAAAAAATTGGAAAAAATCTTCTAACGAACCTGTCTCGACGCAGACGGGAACAGGAACAACGTGGTCACATACTATCATTCGATATTATCGTGCGGACGAATTGGAAGATATTTTTTGCTGCAGATATGCAGGCGCGGGTGGCAAAAATTGCAACAAAAAACCTCCAGCTCTCGACTAGGGGCCGCTGCAATTAGGAGCTGCAAAGATAAGACCTGCAGCTCTCGACTTCGTTCGGGGCAGGTGCAAAGCCAAAGCGAAATTGTGTTTTCCTTTCCGTCGTGAAGATGTTGGTCCAACTCCTCGCTTTCGGAAGATCCCCGACTTTTCTTTCTTTATTTTGATGTGGTCGTCGTCGTTCGTACGTGTTTACAGGATTTTTCCGTCGTCGTCTTGCGATCTTCCTTGAGCCTGACATCGTCGCGCTGAGGGCCTGCGTTGAGTTTTTAATACCGTTAGTGAAAGAACGAGCACGCTTGTGTCACGCGCGATGAACTTTTTATTCGAAAGTCAACGAGTTCCGAAGGTCATCTCCCATTCGTTATCTGACACGACGAGAGGTGGTCGTAAGAGTATCTAATTACAAGTGATGAGCAAGGTAGTACTAGTCCGTCGCCACAGTTTTTCTCGTTCTCGTCGACGTCGTCATGGGAAGGTAAATATTATGTGAATTATGTCGTCTGTTGTTTAGTTGCTTGTACTACATCAGGACGATAATCTTTCAAATACATTTTTAATTTTAATATATATACGATTGCCAGGTCGTTGTCGTTGTCGTCTTCGTCGATGATATTATGGCCACACTATGTATAAGTTGAGAATCTACTAGTACTTCCACTACAATTATTTTCATCACATTTATTGGCCGGCTGTACCAGTTTGTTGCAGAAGGAAGGAGAAGTTAGATTTGTTCCATCTTCCGTGGCATTTCAAACATCGAACAATCATGACTCGTCGTATCGTCCTGTGTAAAAACGTACCCCTTCCGCCAGGGTGAATTTGGGTGTGCAAAAACGTACTGTATCGTAGCGTACAGAAGGGTGAATTTGCAGTGAATTTGTATTGCATGACTTGCATTTACTTAAAAGAAAAGTGCGCTACGTATGGACACGAGCCCAAGCATCCCACAGAGCGTGAAGGGCTGCTCGTCGCGTGGTGGCGCTTGCAGCACCGAAAGAGGTGGTCTTGCGGGGGCTCGCCGGGCTGTGTAGTGCGTATGGAACCAAAGAAGGTGGATCGGGTGGCTCTTTCTTACTCTTCTGCGCGTCTGCCTCAGAAGTTCCTCTTTGGAATTGTCAAAAGGGAGGGCGACGCCTGAACACAGGGGCACTAGTTCAACGCGTATGCTCTCACGAGTTGTGGTTGGCTCGGCTTGGACTTGGATATCTGGGAGCAGCCTCGGGTGGAAGGGGAGGCACGATTCGGCCGCGGACGCTAGCTTGCTTCGCCTGCTGTGCTCTGCTCACAACTCCCCACGTGTTTTTTTGCCTCCGGAGCGAGGCCTTTTCGACGTGACCCCCAGGTCAGGAATTCTCTTGGTGAATTTTGGGGCTTTTTGTTTTGGCGACACTTTTTTGAAGCCCCAAAACCCGGAGTTTCTCGTGCGTTAGCGAATTTTGAATAGGCACCTTGGGCCAAAATTCACCCACGGCGTTTTCAAAATTCACCCCAAAATTCACCGGGCCCCCCTTTTCGACCGTGATAAGCAAACTTTAGCGCAGAAAAGTGCTCAAAAAAGTGCACAGGTAGGCCCTGGGGAGTGGGGCCGAGGAGAAAAGACAAGCGCCCTCTGTTGCCCTCAGCCCCTCTATATTCTGCCGAAAAGGCCTGGTGGGTTCACGCGCCTGCCGGATGGAGGCGCCAAAGCTCTCGGCTTGGTCCTTTCACCCTTGCTCTCGCGCCTTCTTGCCTAATTACATGCGCTTCGCAGCACTTTCTTTTTGGCGTCTTTGCCGCGGCTGCTGCAGTGCTCTTATGCGAGCACGGGGAGACGAATACACATGGCCAAAGAACGGCACCCAGGCCATGTCTCGAAGCTGCCCGCCGCATAAGCCTTGACTTCTGCGGTGTGCAGAACCCACTTCCCAGAAGGGCAAGAGGGGCAATGTCCCGGCGGGCTCATCTGCAATTTGGCATGCAAAATTCACTACAAATTCACCACTTCTCATGCTAACGGGTGTTAAAGCTCTAGATCATGACTCGTCGTATCGTCCTGTGTAAAAACGTAGCCATCTTCCCACCAGGCTGAGGCTTGTCATTCAGATTTGCATGCGCAGCAAATGCAAATGTCGTGCTCTCATTGCTTATTTTCCACCTGGCAGCACGACCCACTTTCTAGTAGTCCGTCGAAAACATAATCATCTGGTCCGTTGTGTTTCAGAGTCTGTGTCATGACGCTCGTTTAAGCAGGATAGCAGCTTCAGACTGGGTCTGAGAAGATCATGCGGTTGGATAGTGTAGACAGCGCGAGGACTAGTACAGGGCACAAAGCCAAACTTGTAATGCCAGAGTGCTGTCGAGCAGATGTACTTCTTTTATTTCCGTGTAGTTGAGGCCTATGGGGTAGGTAGGTAGGTAGGTACTCGTTTTTCTACAGGATAATTATCTCCGGGAAGTTGGTTCACGTCCACCACCTGTTGTCTAGCTTTGCTCGCGGTAGTACCTCGGCTAATGGCGAAGATAAAAATGCTGAACCGCCGCCGCCGTCTGGAGCAGCAGGAGCAGGACCACCCAGTGTTTATCAAGCTACGGTTGTGGCTGATGTGTCCACAGCACAGCAAAACGAACGACCTCCCGACGCCGCGCCTCCCACGAACCAACAAGTGGTTGATCCGCACCTGCTATGCATTGCAAAAGTACCGTACTCGTATTGCATTCATGCATTACAAATCTTTTTGTTAAGGTAAATCAGCATTGCAAAATTTATCTCTCATGCTGAGAAATGCATATAATATACGAGTGCGATACTTTTGCAATCCATACCTGCAGAGCCTGGACGAACAGGCACGGCGGGTGCGCTATGGCGTTCTCGAACGTTGCATTCTCAACTGTTACATGAACTTGTGATGCAAGAATGGGAAGAAAAGTGAAAGGGGAAGGTTGCACCTGTAGCATTACAAATTCCGCGCAGATCATCTAGGCGCGGTTTAGCCCTTCGCAAATTTGTCATGCGGAGCAGCTTGATCGTGAGGATCATGCTGCTGCTTTTGCATGGCAAATCGTCCATGTAACAATTGAGAATGTAACGCTTGAGAACGCCATATGCGCACCTACTGTGATGAGGCCGGGGTGCCGAAATACGAAATTCGTGTGATCCACGGGGGGCGTGGACTCCGTCGCTTGACGGATATGTATTGCAAAAGCGTCGTACTCGTATAAATGCATTACAAATTTTCTCAGCATGAAAAATGAAATTTGTAATGCGGGTCTTCCTTTAAGAAAAAGATTTGTAATGCATCATTGCAATACGATACTTTTGCAATGCATAACGGCTAGGTCCGAACAATCCGGGAACGCGCGGCACCGCGGATGGCTCGGCGAAAAACAGTATGCATTGCAAAAGTATCGTATTCGTATAAATGCATTACAAATTCCCTCAGCATGAGAGATCAAATTTGTCATGCGGATTTACCTTAGGGAAAAAATTTGTAATGCATGACTGCAATAATTACTACGAGTACGATACTTTTGCACAGAATAAACAGTTCCGGTTGTTTGACTTGCAGCACAAGATGGTATCAACTGTAAATATGTCTGGGTCTGGAAGGATGCGAACTTGTCATGCTGTTTTTTGACTTTAAAAAGATTTGTGTTGCACGACCAGCGAGAGGGGTGCGCTTTGTGCTACACGGACAGGGCATTTCTCATGCGGAAAGGGCATCAGGAAGGGTTCTAAAAACCTGTGATGCTAGGGCATACATCACAGACAATCATGGGTCATGAGAAATATGCATGACAAATCTTGCATTCTTCCAGACCCAGACATTTTTGCAGTTGATAGATGGCCCCAGTAAACGATAACATTTTGTCCGACGTGGCGGACAGCCTCAAGGACCGGGTCCGGAAGTCTCGCTTTGATTACTTTCTGAACATGAAGTATCGCAAGAAAAAACTGTTTCACTGTAAACTTGTGATGCAGAAAGTGAAACACCAAAGTGTCTCTCTTGCTACACTTGCAAGACATTGGATTTCCAAGCGTGTTTTCCCCTGGGGAGCGCGCATGGCAAATATTCTCTGTCATGTGTAGCAAACTTGTGATGCAGATCTTGCAAAATCATCACAGTGAAGCAGTTTTTTCCTGTGATATGAAGCGCAAGAATACCGCCGAAGACTACGAAGAGCAGCAGCTGAGCACGCCGAGTTTCCAGCTGCAGAACTTTCCAGGCGATGAGGACCTCAGCTATTGTAAGAAAAAATCCCCCCTGCGGCCCATATCAAAAAGGTGCGCCACAGAAAATTTGTGATGCTGATTTGTGACCACAAATCTTTGTGTCTTGCAACAAGGCAGTTCTACAGTCTCCGCCGCATTATGCGGGCGCTTTGTAGTGTTGCCTTGGCTACAGAAAGACATCTGTGATGCCGAGCGCCCACGTCAGAATGTCGGCACTCAGGCACGGCAGCCGCCTGCAGTCCTCTACTGCAAGACAGCTCTGATTTGTATACGTAAAAAATCCAGCATGAGAAGCTTCGTTTTGCTATGGGGACGAGGGGAGATTTTTTCTTTTGGTATCAGCTTCGCGCGGTTTTCTCCGCAGTCCGAGGCGCTCGCTACGGTGGCCGACCGAAAAATCCACATTCGCGGCCTGAACGAGGCCGTGGGTGACGATAGCGGAACTGATCTACAAGGGGGAAGTAGTGACGTACATGCTTTGGGGAACATATGGATTGTAAAAATGTCTGGGTCTGGAATGTTGGAACTTGTAATGCTAGCTTTCCATACCGAGAAAATCTGTATTGCATATACCAACAAAAGTCGCAGCCTCTTTTGTCATGCAAAAACGCAGTTTCTCATGCGGATTGCCTATGAGAAAGCGTTTTGGGAAGTTGTCATGCCGGACTGCATTCGGAAGTGTTTTCATCATGCACATTTTAGCATCACAAGTTTCCAGACCCAGACATTTTTGCATTTGATAGAACAGCCCGATTGACGAAACCACCGGGTATCTGCCGTTTTATCCTGTGCAAAAGTATCGTACTCGTACTAATTGCGTTTATGCATCACAAATCTTTTTCTTAAGGTAAATCCGCATTACAAATTTAATTTGTAATGCTAAACCAATTTGTAATGCAATTTGTACTAGTACGATACTTTTGCACAGGATACATTTCCCTGCGAACCGACACGGGAGAAATTTGGGTTATGACAGTGCGCAACTCGACGTTCCCCTACATCCCCTCATTTCTATAGCATGGTCGGCAATACAAGGTTCAGCAAGAATGCCAGTTTTGCATGACAAATTCGCACTGGAGGAGTATAGTGCAGCTAAGCTATTTTGGCTAGCAGAACTTGTCATGCAAATAGTGCCAAGAGGCACAGACTGGATTTGGGATTTTGCATGACAAATGAAAATGAGGGGGACGTAGAGGGAGAGTTGTGCACTCTGATATGGGTACTTTCACAGCTACAACCCCTTCACGGTGGCTTCGCAGGGCAAGAAGGCCTACATCTCGAATATGAACTGCAAAAGAATCGTACTCGTAGTAATTGCAGTCATGTGAACCAGTACACGAAGGGCACCCAGTACGCGAAGGGTACCTACAACATACGAAAGGACCAGAATACATACGAAAGAGGAGAGGAGCACCGAAATCCGCTATACAAAAAAGCAGTTTTTGTATGTACTGCCGGACGCATACAGATACAGCGGCGTTGTATGGTCCAAGAAAAGCGAGGAGAAAGCTGGTGGTGAGTGTGGCAGAGCAGCAAATTGCTACGCAAAGCAGGCCACAATCCACCGCGCGCGAAAAGATCGCTCCGCGGAACAACAGAAGAGCGCAAAGGGAGGCTGGCGGAGAGCGCACTGCGCTCAAGGAGCGACACAAGCGGAGAAAAAGGGCGCTAAACCAAAAAAACTAGCGGCGCGCGCGCGGTGAGGACCTATTGCGGATCGATATTTTGTTAGCAGGCGGCGGGGGCACGCTTGCAGGCGGCGCTTCGAAAACATACAAGGGCCGAGCTTGTTTCGTGTGCGCGCTTTGGTAGCTAGCAGAGTTCTCTCGCTCCTTAGCATTCTTGCTGCAGAGTCTACTGAAAGTGGAGAAGCCCGCGGCGTAGCTCTTTTTTCAATGTTTTTCACTCAGTGGCTGTTTTGTTTTGGCTACGCAGCCACGTATTGCGGTCGGACAAAACCAGGGCAATATAAAACGAGGGCGCAGGGGCATCGTAGGACCAGTTGCGTACGGGGCCCCCAGTAGTTACTGGGGGCCCCGTACTTGACGGCCGGGCCAGTGCTGGAAGGGTCCGGCGGGACCAGAAGGGGCCACACAAAATGGCCATTTTATATGCACTGGCGATTTGTATTCGGCGTTTGTTCTAGGACAGGAAGGGGCAGGGCCCTTCGTGTACTGGCATACAAATATATTATGGGGGTATCAGTAATTACTGTTTCACATGCATTACAAATCTTTTTCTTAAGGTAAATCCGCATGACAAATTTTATTTCTCATGCTGGGGAAATTTGTATATGCATTTATACGAGTGCGATAATTTTACAGCGCATATCGAAAGGCAACCTGCAATCCTACCGGTGCCGACTCGCAAAACTTGGTACCGTGTGGAACACCCGTATTACAATGAAAAATGCCACCTCCCCATATCAAAACGGAAATCTGTGATGCAGATTTGTGGTCACAAATCAGGTTTGTGATGCTAGAAGGGGAAAGATGCGGACTGTAGTGCTGCTTAGCGTGGGAGAGCGTTGCAGCTCCAGGATGACAGGAGGCAACTGGAAGTGGGAAACAGCACGACGGATTAACTGCAATTTATGCCGCAGCTTCGTCTCTTGGCCTTCTAGCAATACAAGTCGATTTGTGTACTCAAATACAGCATCACAAATTCGCGCATCTTCCGTTTCCGATATGGGGTGAGGGCCTTTTTCACTATGATAGCCCGGCTGACGGCCTTTGAGAAAGGAAGACAGGGGAGGCCATGGGACGCAAAGTTGCAAATCGAAGAGCAAGGGGTCAATCCGGAGTACTGGCAAAAATTTACCGAGGGAAATTGCTCCATGAAAAACGGTATCTTGCGCAAAAGTATCGTACTCGTATTGCAATCATGCATAAGTATAGATATCTTTTTCTTAAAGATAAAGGTAAATCAGCACTACAAATTTTGTTATGGTTTCTCATGCTGAGCAGGAAATTTGTAATGCATTTATACGACGAGTGCGATACTTTTGCAATGCATAAACGGCAAGGAGAATACCGACACTCTTTTGACGAATGCAGCGAACAAAAAAATATCAAATGCAAAAATGTCTGGGTCTGGAAGGTGGTAACTTGTGATGCTGTCTTTGGATTCCAAAAAAATCTGTATTGCATGACTAGCAAAAAGAGTCCAGTTTGTGCTACACGGGGAGGGCATTTCTCATGCGGAAAAAGCATCAGGAAGCCTTCTAAAAATCTGGGATGCTGGGGCATGCATTACAGGCGTCATTGGTCATGCAAAATATGCATGACAAACCTGGCAAGCTTCCAGACCCAGACATTTTTGCATTTGATAAAAAACCCAGGTGTTCGATCACGAGTTGCGAACACACACGAAATATCAAATGCAAAAATGTCTCGGTCTGGAAACTTGTGATGCTGCGTTGGATGTAGTGAATGCTCTGCAATGCACAGGTAAGCATGAGAAATATCTGCGCTTTTTTGTGTTGCGTTTTTCGCATGCCAAACTGCGTTTTTGCATGACAGGCAAAAGGGTCTCTTCTTGGCCACGCATCACAAACTTTTTGGTCATGCCAGACAAGCAGGACAAATCTCGCAATCTTCCAGACCCAGACATTTTTGCATTTGATACCAAAAACCAAGAGCCGCCACTGCATGCGGCCATGCCCTTCCGGTGCTACCCGCTCGCAACCATGAACCCCGCAGCTTTCGACAAGGAAAGATTTTTTCTGTGAACAGGGAGGTACTATAAGTAACATCTCTCAACATCATCCTCTGAGATTTGGTTTAATACTCCTCTACTCCGCAAAAAACTTTTGCAGAGGATGAAGATGATGTATGACGTTGAACAGCAGCATGTGGAAGAATGATTCTACTTCGAACAGTAGACGAGGATAAGTCCTCGTGCTTGAGTGGTCAACTGCTCTCGCGCCGTTCGTCCTGCGGCTGCGGTTCTGCTGCTGCGATCCATGATCGTCGACCTCCAGGGTTACTTATTTTTCGCCCCTGTATCTACCTTGTTCGGCTCTTGGTCGTGGCAACGTCGCGGCACGAAGTTGTTCTGATCGTACATACCTCCAGTAAACAAGTAACCTAGAAGCAGCACGGAGACATGCATTTTTTTCTCACAGGGAAGATCATGTGGTTGCGTTTTTTTCTTTGTCTTCTTGTACAAACTTTTTACGGATACTGTTGTGTCCATATTACATTGTAGCAGGCCCCGACGACGTTCTTGAAATTACTTATTACATTTTTTTTTCTCCTGCTTGTGCTAGTGCTTCTCGTGTTTTCACTTCTGGTAGTTCTGGTCGTCGGTCGTTTTTCGGTCGTATTAAGTAAACCTACTAAAAAACAAGTGCTTGTAAAGATGGTCTTTTTTTGTCTTTAATTCCGCAAAAGAATGAATAGCAGAGCACAATCAACTGCAACGTAGTTGTCGGAGACCCGATGCCACCACTTTAGAAGATGAACCAAACTCGTCACGACCTTCTTCTTGTGTTGCGAGAAAATTATAAATCATGGAAACAAGAAGCGCGATGCTGCACGAGGAAGATGTGCTGCTCGACTACGGGTATCAAACCTTCAGTCCTGCTAAAGACGAGCACAGCACTACGAACAACACGAGGATATTAAGCAGCACTGCGAATACGAAATATGAGTATAACTTTCATGATCCGAACCACCTTGTTTCGCATCAGAGGGGCGGTTTTAATACCACTACGCGACATAATGCGATGAACGCCTACCATGGAGGTGGTTCATCTTCGTCGTCCTCTTCTTTCGCGGTTACTGACTATCCAAGAAAAAAAGATTTTAGCTGTAACTTTCATCTTCGAGGAACAGCATTACAAATCTGTGTGGCATGATGAGAGCAAATAAACCTGTCATGCGCAGATAGTGCTGGAGATCGCAGCAGCTGAATGGACCCTACAACGCATTCCAAGCATGACAGACGCAATCACCTTGCACGTTGCGCATTACAAAGTTAGACTAGCAATGTTTTGTTTTCTTGGATACTGACAAGCTGAACATCAGTACCGAGTATGTGGAAATTGGATTGGAAATCGTATTATGAGTCGCAAAAAGTAAAAGTATCGTAGTCGTACTACTAGTAGAAATTTTTGCATTGCAAATTTTCTAATTTCTCCAGAAGGAGACGAGCTGAAATTTGTATCGCTGTCTGAGCTAAAACTAAATCTAAAAGAGAACGTTTGTCATGCAAGGTCGCACAAAAATCAGTATGTACGAGTGCGCTACAACTTTTCTTGCAAGGAATACGTGTTGTGGGCCAGCTCCTGGGGCATCGTGGACTGCGTTGTGGTATGCTCTGCAAAAGTATCGTACTCGTATAAATGCATTACAAATTTTCATCTCAGCATGAGAAATGAAATTTGTAATGCTGATTTACGTTAAGAAAAAAGGTTTGTAATGCATAATTTGCAATACATCAAGTTGATAACTTTTGCACAGGATATGTGGATCACTTCTCCAGCGCCTCGCTGGGCGCAGTAGCTGATCCGGCCAGAAGTTCAGCTAGCAGCACGACGACCGACAGCACCTCCATTCTGCTTCAAGAAAGGACGATGAACTACATTCCGGTAGTAGAAGAGGAGCTGCCAGGAGGAGAACAACTAGATCTGGCCGGCGCACAACTACAGTTACAACAAAAAACGCAGGAGCTGCCTGGAGACCTCGTTAGTAATATTTCACCTACTTCTTCCACACCCGCTTCAGCCACGAAAACAAACATCCCCAACGAAAATAATCTTCTTCCCCATGTTTTACTGTATCAGCAAAATTTGAAAAAGTACCAACTTCGCTTCCTCGGGTATTTCACTGTGTTACTACTCTTCCTCGCGTTGTGGTGTTGGGGGAAGATGAAAAGCAGAAAATCATCCACGTCTTCGGGAACTACAAGCATGGGAGGCGGACGGCGCGGTCAGGGGATGATCAACCACGGTGGCGTGGGACAAGAACTGTCGCGCGGGATGATAAACACCAGTGGTACAGCAAATGCTGGCCATCTTCTTGGCCTGCCCAACGTCGTAGCTACGAAGAAGAATCAAATATGGAACTTTTTCCTCTCCGTTCTCTTCGTCAGCTCCTCTTGGGGCTGTTTTGACACGCTGGTATTATTTTAAGTAGAACTTGCGCTACAAATAGAACAAGCTCAACCAATTAGTTCAAAATGTACGCAAAATAGTATTTCAAAGACTTCTCGGGTCAAGGACGATAGAGATTAAGATTGTTCATCCCGCATCAGAATTTATGTTATAAGATACTCATTCTGTATAATTAAAAATCAATCCACAGGTCGCCATTCTTGCCGGTTGCGTGGAGGACCCGCTGGCGACACTGCGCTGGTACCTCTTCGCGGCAGTCTTGGCGAGTGTGGGAATCTGTGTGCATCACAGCCGGCACCCAGACGTCATTTTCAACCGGATTGGGGCGCAGATCGAATACAGATGAGGTGAAGAACAAGAAGATCAAACTTCAAGAGGAAATAAGATTAAGATACGAATCAACTACAGAACAGGACGAACTCGTCGTCAAGGAAGCTCCTCTACTTCTGGGCACATGCACATCCACGATCAAAGAGCAGGGAATCCACCTGCGTAGAAGTGCTGCCAGGCGGTGAAATAGATGGATCTTCTACGACACGAGAAAGCGCATTTCAACGTCGGAGACGAAGTAGATCTCCTTCTCAACCAGTTTACGACTCGCACAACAACTTCCACACTCTCTACAACGAACTCAGGCGACTTGTTTAGACAGAGAATGAGAATAAACTAGCTACAACTTCTCTAAGCTGCGGACGTTCTTCTCCTCCAGCATGATAGAAGTACTAGATCATAAGCGGCTTTTTACGCTCGGAGGTACTGTATTTCACATGCGCATACGAGCCGGTCGTGCAGCCGGACAGTTGTTGTAGTAAGTACTACGACCCGCATTGCGGAGGTTTGTGCATACCTAGTACTTCGTAAGTTTGTCGACGCCGGTGCGGGAGCGTGATAAAAAGCAGTCGGAGACAGCACGTTAACCCTAAGCCCTAAACTACTTCCCTCCCCGCCCACAAAAAAAAAGATTTTTATAATAACATCATGCGTTCAAGTTCATGTTCATCCTCGTCAACCGCGACGTTTCGGACAGACGACGTCCACCACGGTCTAGAAAACCATTCCGCCACCATACCGGGGCTTTTCGTCGTCAGAAATGTGTTTGGTTCAGCAACTACATCCGGGAGAAAGAGGAAAAACATCGTTGAAAGTAATACGCCCTCATCTTCCGGTTCTCGTGCACCAGAAAATAAACAAGAAGAGCTGGAACAAGCAGGGGTAGGAACAAAAACAGCAGCATCTTCTTGTAATTCCACAGCTTTGAATGCTGCTTTGCGAGAGTGCCGGAAGCTGCTCCTGGAGACCGAGAATTCAGATGCGTCGTTGTGGAGAGACAGTGAAGCGAACCAATGTGCTGATGTTCTCGAAAACAGGCACGACATTTTTGTGAGGGACCACTGCGACAAAAAGGAGACGACCTCGCTCGTTTCCAGTAGGACATCAGCAACAGAGGCCCCCGACTGCACTGCGTCAACCGATAATTATATGAAAACCAGCTGCAAAAACGAAAAGAACCAGCAGTACATGCATTTTGGCACGCTGCCACCCTGGGTCACGCACGGGTTGATAGAAAACGGATTGATACGAAAAATCGAAGAATTTACGAACGCCACTTTTTCCAGCGAGGCTACGCCTATGCATTACAAATCAGATTATTATCGTACTCGTATAGATGCATTACAAATTTCCTCAGCATGAGAAATCAAATTTGTTATGCGAATGAGCCTTAAGATAAAAATTTGTAATGCATGACTGCAAGAATACGAGTACGATACTTTTGCACAGGATAACGCCCTGGGAGGAGCTGCTGACAGAGTTTTTCGACGGTGAAGAGAAAGTGGAAAGGTTCAACTCGATGATTGTCAACCAGTACCACCCGACAAAGGCTCAGATCCAGCACCTCGGAGGTGGCGCAGGAGAGCCTAGTGAAGATGGTTGTCATCATCTGGCGTCATCATCTTCCTCTGCTTCTTTTTCTCGGCAAGATTTGAACCACACGGGTCTACTTCGTAGTACAACTTGTGGTCGAGGACAAGTTCTCGTGGAGCAGCTTTGTGAAAATGCGGGAACTCGTAGTACACGAAGAGGTGGAGCAGGACGAGAAGAAGAAGACCGGTACGCCATTCGGCCACACGTGGACCTTTTGAAGTTTGGTCCCTGCGTATGAGAGTGGACAAGCACGACTCCCCCGCTTCCTCATTTGATGAATCATGCATCTGCACTAGAAGTTAGTCCAATGCATTGACTGTAGTACCATCGCGCGGGCTTGGTCCTCGGCAACTTGTCATGCAAACCCGGCCGAGATGAACAGAACAGAACAATAACTAACATGAAGCAACCGCTGCATGATTTTTCGGTCGTGTTTGCCTCACAATTAAACAGGGAGAGTCGTGCGCAACTCTCATACTGTGTCGTCGGCTTCAACATTTTAGATGACGAAGTAAATGGCAGTGTGCTACGGTTCCACGAGATTCTTCCGCGACGCCTGGAATCTGCCGCTGCTGTCGCATCGGGAATTAGTAGTTCTTGTACCAGCGACGGTTGTTGTACCAGTGCCGATCCTACTGTCGTGTGCGACGAAAAAGAAAATTATGCTAGTAGTTCCAACAGTCATGCTGCTACTGGTGAAGAGAACAATGGACCGCCGCTCCTGCAGTCCTGCCAAGTGCTTCCTGGAGAGGAGCAAAACCTGGTAGAACAGGGGCGCATTGGAAGCATACTACTGGACGTTTTTCTCAAGCCAGGAGACTGCTACATCCTCACGCGGGAAGCCAGATACGCATGCGCGCACTCCATTTTGCCGGTTATGGGTGAGAGAATCTCCGTAACCGTGCGGGCATGTTCTTGACAGCCTTGCTTTTATTGCTTCTCCTGCTAGCACGGACGGAAATTGAGTAGTAAGAACCCAGGTTATTTTCGTTTTGATACGGGAAAGAAAAGACTAAGACAGATCGTCCCGCCGTGCAGTTGCATGGATCATGTAGTATGAAGACGGGCCTCCATCTGACTCCCGCTGGTGAGGCGGACTGCTGTGTTCTCTGCGCCCTATTTGAAGATTCTCATACAAAAAAATCGGTCAACGAAGTTGGAATTCAATTTATCAACACGGAAGAGTAATGGTGTAAGCAGCCTGAAGCTGAAGTGCTGCTTCACATAGTATGTAAAGAGAGTAACACCTAGCACCAAAACAGTACTCAATCTCTGACCGGCGTCTGTGAACAGTTGGAGTTGACGTAGCTACCAATCGACAAAGCACTTCGGTTTAGGTTTGAACAAGCCAATGGACCTTTTCGAGCACTGGAAGTTGTACGTGATTACAAGTCTGCAATTTTCGCAGCTCGGTTGCAGTCCAGGAGAGAGCGGATGTATTGCTCAACATGTTGTGCCCTTGGTATACAGTAGGAACATGTCTCTTCATCTCGGTCGTGCCATGAAAATAATGCAATGCGGCTTTCGGTGCAGCTTGACGGCAAGTGATAGTAGAGGTGTAGAAGTATCATGACAACTGTGTGTAAGTAGTGCTTTGCTCTGTTGCTGTAGTGTCTTGTCAAAATCATCCATCTCATCAGCGGGGCTCTTGCGTTCTTCAAGAAGGGCTAAAATGTTTATCTCGAACCCGATAAAAAAAAGATTGTACGACCCCCAACGGTAGAGTTTCGATTCCTTTTACAGCTGAAAGATTGCTGTAAAAATGGACGATATATCAATATCTTTTGAGTAGCACTACCTAACTAGATCGCAAAAGCTTCACCTCTTTCGGTTTTAGAAATTTACTTGCAGAAAGTAAAAAGCTAATAACGTACAACTTCTTTATCATCTGAATCGACTAAAAATTTTTTACAACACATTTAACAAAATCAAAATCCGCCTATACTACAGCTTTGACTTTATTGTAAAACTACACTTCTTCAAAAACAAAAACAGCAACATGTCTGGAACAACTTATAGTAGCTATTTTTCAAAGAGGATTATGTACTACTTTCCGCTCTTCCTCTTGATTTTTGTCACTTTTCTCTCCTGTTTGTCGTTGTGGCAAGTTCTGGGTGGCTCGGTGGTTGCTACAGCACCGGAAAATACTGCGGACCACAGTGCGGCGACGGGAGCTCTGAACAACATTTTTGTGGATGAAAGTACAACGAGAATAAAGCATGAACATGAAGCTTCCGCGCCGCTATGAAAGCCTCAGGTTGGAAATCCTCAAACTGGAAATAATTTGTAATGCAAAAAAACGACGCCAGTTGAAGCGCCATTTGTACTTGGCGCATGACAAATTTCCCGGACACTTAGAGCATGTCTGTCATGCAGGTTAAGGCAAAGGAGTGCTCTTCTGTCGTGCTAATCAGCACCTCAATTCTTCGCCCCTAGCAGGACAATAGTCGGCCTCCATTGCGTTCTCTGCAATACAGTTTTTTTGGTGTAGCATTTCATGCATCACAAATCATTTCCACTTTGAGGATTTCCATTCTGAGGCTTCCATAGCCGCGGTCCGCAGAGGCCCGCCGGTTTTTGTGGGGCAACATTGACTGGAGTTCCTGGTGGGGGGGAGCAAGCGCAAGCACCAAACCATCTTCTTCGTCGGATGAACAAGAGAAAAAAGAAAACGAGAAAGACTCGTCCTCCGACTGGTGGAACTGGGATTGGAGTAGGGAAAAGGATGATAACGCCAAATACGGTGATGAGGATCAGAAATTATCCTGGGACGATTTTCACGCAGGTACAAGTTCATCTCTCGAAAACAAAGCCAAGGACTGGGCCGAGGATGTCGCGAAGGACACGCTGAAAGGTCATGCGGACAATTTGAAATCGACCGTGGAGGAGAAGAAAAAAGACGTGAAGTCGACTATCGAAACCCACGTGGAAAACGCTAAGTCGAGTTTGAAGGAGCATTATGTTGACTCAGCGAATAAATCGAATGTCAAGACCCAGCTGCAAGAAAAGGAAAAGCTGCACGGGAGCGAAGGAAAGGATAACAAGGGAGGTCAAGGAGAGAAAGAGAACACGAAGCCGAAGGAAAACAATACTCCCACGACCTCCGCTAATGTGTCCACCCGAACTTCGTCAAATTGGAACGAAGACGGGCCCTACGCCGGGCAGGGGTACAATCCCCCAGCAGACGTGCGGCAGAACAGCCTCTGCGTGGTTACCGCTTGTCAGGAATACGAGGCGGGAAGATGGGACTCCGATTGCTGCTCGCACCCCAGTTCTGCTTTTTGCGCGCCCGGACACCGGTACGAGGTCGGGGCGGAGGGATGTGGGTGGGGGTTGACAATGGGGCAGAGGTCCACGTGCTGTGTTATGGACAGTGCTTTTATGCAATACAAATTTTCTATTTATTCCCGTACACGTACAGCGAGTATGCACCGAGCATGACAAGTTTTTAGCTACTTCTTAGAAGCCGACACTTGTGATGCTAAATAAACGATACCCAGAGGACCCACAGAGGATTTTTTTCTTCCAAGAATACGAATTTGTAGTTGTACGTGGAGTGTGGAAAGAAAATCCCTTTTACCATCGTGATAGCTTTTCCAAACGGAGACACGGGGAGGACGACGAGAGATCAATCCTCAACGTGGGCCTCGACGACTGATAAAGGTACCGGCAATATGAACTGCAAAAGTATCGTACTCGTACAAATGCATGACAAATTCCCTCAGCATGAGAGATAAAATTTGTAATGCGGGTTTACCTTGAGAAAAAAATTTGTAATGCATGATCGCAATACGAGTGCGATACTTTTGCACAGGATAGGCAAAGGAAGTGAGCAACCTTCTGCAACTCCTGGAACTTCTAACGACCCAAACAGTCCGGCCGAGAACTTTTCAAACAAAGGCACTGGTAAAGGAAGTGCTCCTTCACCTTCTCAGCCAACAAGTAGTGGCAGTGCCACTTCTGGCACTCCACCTTCCGCGTCGTCGTCGTGTAAATGGGCGTACGGGACAACATCCACACCCGCACCGACCACGACGAATTCCATCGGTGTTGTCCGTATCATCGGCGACAGCTGTCTGGACGGACAGGGCGTGCAGCAGGGTCTGGCGGAAACGCTTGAAACCACCGTGGCGAACTGCGCCCGAGGCGGCGTATGCACGGCAAAAGTATACGTGTTTGTATAAATGCATTAGAAATTTCTTCAGCATGAGAAATAGAGTTTGTAATGCGAATTTACGTCAACAAGCAGACTTGTAATGCATGGCTGCAATTACTACGAGTGCGATACTTCTGCAGTTCATACGGCGCGACGCTGGGCGACATTTACCATCGGCAAACCCCCTGCTCCGCGGACCCGAACTGTCCGACCTGGAGCATTGTGGGCGGTGGGCGAAACGGAGTGGGGAATAATTATAACATGGACGCTGTCACGGGAACCACGACTACATCCAAGCTCGCGGCCATGAGGCAGATCGTGGATCGGGAAGTCCATAGCGGTAGGAAAGTGATCCTCTTCCTCTACCCCCCTGATAACGCGACTGTCGATCCGGATTCCCCCGTGAACTCGTTTCAGGATGAGTTTAAAGCGAATCTCGTCGACAATCAAATATGAGAGTGCGCAACTCCCCCTCCCCCTCATTTGTCATGCAAAATTCCAAATCCACCCTTCGCCTGTTGGCACTGTTTGCATGACAAGCAAGTACATTATATCTTGCCTCACTTTTTAAGAGGGGTTTTTTCGTAGTTGGGACTGTGCCATAGTAGATCCTTTACCGCTTTTTTACTTTTCTTTTATCCCTTGGCGCTGGTGGGTCTGCCGGCAAAATTATCCCTACTCAGATAGCTACAAAGCTCATCCCGCAGCCGTCCCAGGAGCTTTTGTAGCTGTCTCTCGGTAGAGATCGCTTTGTCCGTGCTTATTCCGCTCAGAGTTTGCTGGGTAGGTGGTTACCGTTTGTAGCTTTTATAAAGAAATGGGACGCCCTGCCCTTAGCCTTCCAACATGACAGACTCCGGAATCCAAAACAGCACTGCAGTCCCCTAGGAATTTGTCATGCAAAAGCTGCATCTTTGCCAGTGCTTGTGTTGCTGTTCATGCAACACAAATGAGGGGGAGGGGGAGTTGTGCACTCTCATATCAAAGCGTGTTCCTTTACGACCCGCGGGAAGACGTCCGATTCGCCTTCAACGACCCGGCCAGCCGACAGTACCTATGCATGGCAGAAGTGTCTCGGTCTGGAAGGTTGCAACATGTCATGCTATGTCTGGACTGTGAGAAAATCCTGTGTTGCATGGTTACCAAAAGTTGTCTATATATTTTTGACCACTCAGCGAGGAAGTTTCTCATGCGGGCTAGGCATGAGAAAGCTCATCTCACAGAATCTGTCATGCTATGTCCTGCACGCCAGACCTCATGGGTCATGGGAAACCTGCGTGACAAGTCTCCCAATCTCCCAGACCCGGACATATTTGCATTTGATAGTACCGCGCGGCGGATAACTCGCACCCGAGCGAACTAGCGAGGTTGGAGATGGGCCGTGATGTGGGGAAAATGATTCGGAAATTGATGGATACTTCGGGTGGAATTGTGGGCGGTGGCGAGGGTACTCCGTACGTGCCGCCAACTGGAGGAGCTCCTGCACTGGACGCAGCCAACCCGAGCACCGAGAAAGGCACGGGGAAGGGAGCTGATACGCAGATGCCCTCCAATACCGGCGGGAATGACATGCCACCAGCGGGTTCTGACGAGACAAATAAAGGCACGGGGAAGGGCGGTGACACGCAGATGATGCCACCCAGCACTGGTGGGAGTATGCCCCCTGCTACAGGCTCTGACCAATCTGACAAGGGCACCGGGAAGGGAGGTGACATGCAGATGCCGCCTAGCACCGGTGGAAATTACATGTCACCAGCAGGAAGTTCTACTGACCAGACAAACAAGGGCACTGGAAAAGGCGACACGCAGATGCCACCCAGCACCGGTGCTGGGAATGATTTGATGCCCCCAACAACCGGCTCCAATGATGGCCCTACAACTGACAAGGGCACGGGGAAAGGCGAAAGCCCTAGTAGCCCGCCCACCACTGGAACCATGCCGGGCACGGGTTCTGGTGACGCAAGCAAGGGAACGGGCAAAGGGGTACTTACTTATTTATTTTTCAACTACTTTGTCATGCCTGCTGCTGCTACGGCTTTGCAAAACGAAACTTTCCGACTCTGTCATGTATGTTGATACAACTTGGCAAAAGAGAAATCGAAGATCTAAAACCCAACCATCATTCACAATCAACAGTCCGCCCCCGGAGCAGGCGGACCCGGCGGCTCTTCCCCCGCGACCACTTGCACCAATCGTCCCTGCGCCGCCCCGCTTCTCGGTGACATTGCTTTCACAACCAGGAATGGAGTCGTGAATAACCAAGTTGTCCACCCGGCCGGGGAAAATATCTACGGCCCCTTTGAGGCCGGGTTCGGCGCGCAGCAGAATTTCATCCTGGAGCAGCTCGGTTGCGCAAACGGGAACGACGGGCATGTGGATGGGGGAATCGACACGCATATGGATTGCAAAAGTATCGTACTAGTACAAATAGCATTACAAATTAACTCAGCATTACAAATGAAATTTGTAATGCTGTTTGACCTTGGGAGCGAGATTTGTCATGCATTGCAAAGCAATTACTACAAGTGCGATACTTTTGCAGTTCATAACGCACTTGGCGGAGCAATTAGTTGCATTTCAATGCAACATTGACTTGCCCCGGTACGACCACAGTACAACAAATTCTGCCGGCGAGTACATTTCTCTTCTCGACGATATGGCGTTCTCAAACGTTACATTCTGAATTGTTACACGTTTTGTCATGCAGATTTACAATCAGAATCGACACGATGAAGCTGCTTCGCATGACAAATTCTCGAAGAGCCAAACAGGCTGGGAATCTGTGCCAAATCTGTCATGCAAGACACGCAAGGCCACCCCTTTCACTTTTGCCATTCCTGCATCACAAACTCATGTAACAGCTGAGAGTGTAACAGTTGAGAGCGCCATAGACGAGTGCGGCGGACACACGCGCGAATACCACTTCCACGAGAGACTCAGCTGCTTGTACGAGTCGGGGTTTGGAACCAGTGGGGTCTACCATTCGGTAGCAATCGGTGCCGAGGCTGGTACTAGTTCCTCTGCTGGTGATGGTACAACTTCTAGTAGAAAGCAACTGTACGGCAAATTCGAAAACACAGAACAGGGTTTGTTACCGAACCTCGACGCCTGCAACGGTATGCACTGCAAATATGTCTGGGTCTGAAAACTTGTGATGCTAAAATGTGGATGATGGAAACACTTTCGAATGCAGCCCAGCATGACAACTTTCCAGAGCGCTTTCTCATAGGCAGTCCGCATGAGAAACTGCGTACAAAAGAGGCCGCGACTCTTGTTGGTTATGCAGTACAGATTTCCTAGCTATGAAAAGCTAGCATTACAAATTCCAACTTTCCAGACCCAGACATATTTGCATTTGATAAACGGGCATTTCGGCACCACCCCGGATAGCAACAACGAAGTCGTTTATCATTATCACGTGACGGAGCGTCCGCCTTTCACGATTGATATGACAGTGCACAACTCGTCTCCCTCCCCCCCATTTGTCATGCAAAACCCCAAATCCAAGTGCTTCCCTTTGGCACTGTTTGCATGACAGATTCGTCCAGAAGCCCAAACAGTACTACTTACACGAGGCGCGTCGCAAATTTGTCATGCACAGGCTCCACGTGTGCTGGTGTTTGTATTGCTGTTCATGCAATACAAATGAGGGGGAGGGGGAGTTGTGCAATCTCATAACTGGCTGCTACGGCCCGGAATACGGCACGGAGACCCTCGCAACCACGGGGGAAATCATCCAAGTCGAGAAGCTTGTGACGCTATGCATTGCAAATATGTCTGGTTCTGGAAACTTGTCATGCTGGGTGGCGTATCATGAGGAGGCCACAATTACTGGCTCAGCATGACAAGTTTCTGAGCTCCTTCTAGGTGTTGCCTATTCTGCATGACAAACTGCGTCTCTACTGCATAACAGAAAAGTGGGGCTCTTGGGCAATGTGCGTGACAGATTTAAGAGTCATGCCAGACAAGCATGACGAACGTGCATTCTTCCAGACCCAGACATATTTGCACTTGATAGACGCTGGAAAAGTGTCGCAGCTTGTACAGTGGGTGCGGGTCGACTCCGGTGACGCTGACGGTTCGAAATGCGGCTGGGTATCAAATGCAAATATGTCATCTGGCTCTGGAATGTTGCAGGACTTGTCATGCAGGTTTTCCATGACCCATCAGGTCTGGAATGCGAGACCCAGCATGACAGATTCTCTGAGGTCTCTATCATGCCTTTCCTGCACGAGAAACTCCCTCTCAACTTGGTCAAAAGCGGACAGCTTTTGGCACTCACGCAGCACAGATTTTTGCATCATTCAGATTTAGCATGACAAGTTTTAATCTTCCAGACCCAGACATTTGCAATGCATACTGGGACTGCGGAGCGGATTCCTTACCGGAAGTGGTGTCCGTGTTACGACCAGAACGGATCGAACGTTGGGAATGCAGAGTTGAAAGTCTTTGCTGGAGCTGACGTGACGCAGATGAAAAGTGTTGCAGCAGTGCCCGGCGCTCCGATTTATGCGACACTGCCGCCGGCACCTGCAACGACTGCTGTTCCCCCAGCAACGACTGCTGTTCCCCCAGCGGCGCCTCCGGTCGCCACAGCAGCGCCACCAGTCGCCACAGCGGCACCACCAGTCGCCACAGCAGCGCCTCCGATCGTGGTAACGACAGCCGCTCCACCCTCCCCACCGATTCTGCCGCCGCCGTCCATTAAGGGCTTCGTCACTGTCGCCGGGAATAACAAGTGGGGCGGGGTGCATCCGAGTATGTGCATGCGGGCGGCGTTCGGAGGGGACGTCACGACTAACTCCCACGAGCTGATTGCCGACAAAGCGAATGTGCGGTGTTGCTCGGTCGATGAGAAAGGCAAGATCAAGATGGACAAGTATGGTGGGACTAGACACGGAAGGGACGTCTGCGAAGATTTGAAAGACATGCCGTTTGAAAAAGCCCGGCACCACTGCGTTTCGCACGGCTTCCGGCTCTGCACACAGGAGGAACTGGAGGAAAACCGAGCCGCCGGCACCGGCTGTTTGTTCGACCGGACCCGCGTCTGGTCCTTATGCATTGCAGATATGTCTGGGCCTGGAAGAGTGCAAACTTGTGATGCGCATTTCACAACACATAAAAATCTCTCATGCATAGGCAGCAAAACCAAAAGAAGTTACCCACTTTCTGTCACGAAAGTCGGGCATTTGTCATGCGGATTCGGCATTGCGGAGGCTTGTCGAAACCTGTGATGCGAGAGCTTCCATGCCAGCCCTCCTGTGTCATGCAAAAGCAGCATGACTCTTACAGACCCAGACGACATATTTGCAATTCATAGTCCTCGACTCAGTGCGATTTGTCCAAGGACTGCGGTTGCGACGTGACCAGCGACACCCAGCCGGTTTGCGGCAAAAATGGACAGACGTTCAAAAACCGGTGTCTCGCGATGTGCAAGCAGTATCCAGTGCAAAAGTATCGTACTAGTATAAATCGCATTACAAATCAGCTCAGCATTACAAATCAAACCTGTAATGCTGTTTTACCTCAGGAGAGAGATTTGTCATGCATAACAGCAATTACTACGAGTGCGATACTTTTGCAATTCATAAGCAAGTCGAGGTGGCGAGCCTCGGGCCCTGTGCGTTCGCCGGGGAGCGGGTTGTCACCGTGGTCGGGATATCAAATGCAAAAATGTCTGCGTCTGTGAGGATGCGAACTTGTAATGCTGCACCTGGATTCTACAAAAATCTGTGTTGCGTGAACAGCAAAAGAGGTCCAATTTTTGCCACTGCGAGAGGGCATTTCTCATGCGGTATACGCATCAGGAAGCCCTCACAAAATCTGTGATGCTAGGGCATGCACCACAGACATCTGGACCCATGCTAAATGTGCATGACAAACCTTGCCTCCTTCCAGACCCAGACATATTTGCATCTGATAGGGGAATAAAAAGTTCAACGAACTAATCCCCTCGTATTGCACCGTCGCGCAGGAGAAGGCTAATGTCCGTTGCTGCAGCAAGGACGGGAGCGGAAAGATCAAGATGGGGGAGTACGGCGGGGTGAGCCAGGGACGGGATGTCTGCGATGATTTGAAAGACATGACATTCCCCGAGGCGGAGCAACACTGCGAGGCACACGGGTTCCGGCTCTGTAAGCAAGATGAGCTTGAGTCGAACCGTGCGGCGGGCACGGGGTGCATGTTTGATGTCACCCGAGTTTGGTCCAAGACCAAGTGCGGCGGACCGGAAGAGTGCTACTGTTCGTTGGATGAAACAGAGTACGGCCCGGTCTGCGGGTCGGACAACAACACGGACAAAAACGAGTGTTTGGCAAAGTGTAAAAATGCCAAAGTGCAGCATCTCGGGTCTTGCTCCGCTAGTCTGCCGAAATTAGTCACCTTGGCCGGCAACAAGCGGTGGAGCAACAGAAACCCGAAAATGTGCGCCGCCGCGGACGCGAAAGCGAACATTCGGTGCTGCGGGGAAAAGAAAATCACCATGGACAAGTATGGCGGGACTAAGAAGGGCAGGGATGTCTGCGATGATTATGAACTGCAAAAGTATCGTACCTACTAGTATAAATCGCATGACAAATAATTTCCTCAGCATGAGAAATTAAGTTTGTGATGCGGGTTTACGTAAAGAAAACAATTTGTAATGCATGTCTGCGATTACTACTAGTACGATACTTTTGCAATGCATAACGATCTGAAGCAAGCGACGTTTTTCGAAGCCGAGAAGCATTGTACTGATCACGGGTTCCGACTCTGCTCCGAGGAAGAATTGGAAACGAACCGTGCGGCAGGAACCGGGTGCCTTTTTGACCGGACGAGGGTATGGTCGAGCAGTACCTGTGACAGTACCGAAGATCCGCCGGTGGCTACTACTTCTCTTCCGCCGCCCCCAGTAACGACCAAAGAACCCCCGGCGCTGTGTCACTGCACAAAAGAGTACAACCCTGTGTGTGGACTTGACGGCACCACCTACGGCAACCCGTGCATGGCAACGTGTGCCAACGCAGAGATCGCTTACGAAGGGGAATGTAAGGACGACGACGAGGAGCCGATCTTCACGGGCCCGCCGCCTTGTTACTGCACGGAGGAATATGCACCCGTTTGCGGCCACGATGGGAAGACGTACGGTAACTCCTGCAAGGCGGACGGCTGCGGATATGGTCCGGGGGTGGATTTTGTTGGGGAATGCGAAGATGAAAATAACCAAAATAACAACCTCCCCCCACCCTCCTGGTCGAAGATGCTGCTCGGCGCGAGAGCGCACCTCTCTTCCACGCTCGCGCACTACGAGGCGCAGGCGTGCTTCGACGGGAGACGGACGACACTGGATCCGCGAGAGCCGAATTCGGTTTGGGACAAAGCGGCTATGCCGGAAAACGCCCCGAACATCCGGAATTGGGTCCACGACGTTTTCCCGAACGTCGCGCACTACGAATCGGGGCTGCCGTGTCGGTATGCACTGCAAAAACATCGTACTCGTACTAAAATGGCGTTTATGCATTACAAATTTTTTTCTTAAGGCAAATCCGCATTACAAAATTAATTTGTAATGCTACGTCAATTTGTCATGCAATTTGTGCTAGTACAAGTACGACTACGACACTTTTGCAGTTCATACTCCTTCCGGTTGGGGCCGAAACACCTACATCTTCGCGGAGTACCCCCAAAGAATCGAGGTGACAAACTTCGAAGTGTATCCCTTTATCGAACGGCCGTACCGGTTAGTCGCGCCGGGGCAGCACCCGATGTGCGACCCGCGACCGAAGATGTTGGAGGTTTCTTCCGGGAGTAGTACAGAAGTAGTTCCGGGATTGGGAACAACTTCTACTCCCCCCCTCCGTTTCGGCACCGAGAACCTGCCGAGAGAGTGTCAGTGCGAGATTGGGAAGGACCCGTGCGGAGCGTTAGTTGGCGTCTCCGACCGCGTTCCTTGCAACCACCAGAATCCTATCGCAGGAAACAAGTGCTACAGTTACACATTTTGTTGCAGGCCGAGCAAGACAGACCAGCTCTGTCATGCCGCATATGCATAGGAGTCTTGTTTCATAGGTGTTTTCCTGTAGGATTCCTGCATTGCAAGTTTTCTATCTCATGCAGAGAAATTTGTGTTGCTGAATTGACAACAAATGTGTAACTGAAACACTTTTTTCTTGCGATAAATCCTGACGGCTGCAGAGTATCCAACAAGGATGTGACAATTTGCGGGAAAATCGATGTTGTGGATGTGCAGAAATCGCTGTGGGAGTGGGAAACATTACCAGATGGGACGAAAACTTTAAAAAGACGACGGTGGCCGAAGGGGATTCCGGTCAAGTGTGACAAAAATGTCAAGGGGAGATTTGCGTTTCTTTTACTCCCCTCTGGGGAGGTGGAGCGGATGCAGTCTTACCCCGGGCCGACGGGGTTGCGGATTCTGTCCATGACAGAATTGTCGGTTTATGGGCGGTTTTTGAACACGACAAGCACGACGACTTTGGCACCTGTTACGACGACGACTTTAGCGCCGACGACAACGACGCCGGAACCGACGACCACAACACTCGTGCCTACCACTACAACACTGGCGCCTACCACCACGACAACACCCCCGCCAACCACAACCCTGACAAGTACAACCACGCTGACCAGCACGACGCAAACTTTCACCACGACAAGCACGGTGACGGAAACTAGTACGTCCACGGTGACGACGACTTCTACGGTGACGGAAACGACGACTTCTACGGTCACGCAAACTACAACCAGTACTGTGACGGAAACAACAACGAGTACCGTGACGCAGACAACAACTTTGCCTGTCACGTACACCACAACGGTGACTTCAACGAGCACACAGACCACAACCAGCACCCAGACGACCACCGTGACACAAACGACAACTTCAACCGTGACGCAGACTACGACGGTGACCACAACTACTCCGGAGCCAACTACGACGACAGTAAAGCCGACGACTACGACTCTTCAGCCGACTACCACAACAGCTGAGCCACCGACGAGCACGATAGTTCCTGAGGAAACGACGGCGAAGCCAGTTGTGACTAGTAGTACAAGTACTGCTGCGCCGACTTCTACTACGACTTTGGCGCCGACTTCTACTACGACTTTGGCGCCGACGACGACGACGCTGGCGCCGACGACGACGACGTTGACCAGCACCACAACTATCACGACGACGATCACCTTCACCACTACCAGTACGATGACGCAGACCACCACTTCCACGGTAACGGAGACTACGACCGCTACGGTGACGCAGACCACCACTTCTACGGCCACGCAAACGACGACAATTACGCAGACAACCACTACGAGAGTGCACAACTTTCCCTCCCTCTCATTTGCGTTGCATGAACAGCAACACAAGTGCTGGCAAAGATGCAGCTTTTGCATGACAAGTTCCTAGAGGACTGTAGTGCTGTTTTGGATTCATCCCGAATCTGTCATGCAAGCAGTGCTAACAGGCAAAGGGTGGATTTGGACTTTTGCATGACAAATGAGCGGGAGGGGGAGTTGTGCACATTCATAACCACGTCTACCGTGACTCAAACGACAACGTCGACAATGACGCAAACTACAACTAGCACGGCTACGCAAACCACAACCAGCACGGCTACCCAGACCACAACCAGCACAGTGACTCAGACCACAACCAGCACAGCAACTCAGACCACAACCAGTACAATGACGCAAACGACGACTAGCACAGTGACTCAGACCACGACTAGTACGGTTACCCAAACCACGACCCAGACCACAACGCAGACCACAACGCAGACCACAACTCAAACCACAACGCAAACCACGACCCAAACCACCACCACCACGGTTTTGGTCCTGCCTTTCGCGCCCCCGGATACAGAGGAGGTCTTTGACGAGGAGGTGCAGCAGGTTTCTGGTTCTGCGACAGTGGGTATGGCGTTACCGGCCGGGACGAGTGGGGAGGATCTCTTAAACAACCAAGAAGTGGTCACCTCCTTTCAGCAGACCTTCGCGGATCAGTACTCTGTTCCCGCTGATAACGTTGTGGTCACCGGATTTCAGGTCAACGGAGTTCTTGTCAGACGCGGTCGTGCCCGGGTTCTCATGCAGGACCAGCGGAAGCTGCAAGAAGCTCCTCAACAAAGCACCTCCACATCCGCCGAAGTAACCTGTAATTACGACATTCAGGTGCAGGACGCGCAAGACATCGAGCGGATCCAGGAGAAGGCGCAGTTAATTCAGCCGGAGCAGTTGAAACAAACTCTCACTACCTCGATCGCGGCGCACGTGAAATCGTTGGAGCTGGTGATTTATGAACTGCAAAAATGTCTGGGTCTCGAAGGATGTGAACTTGTGATGCGCATTTCACAACACAGACAAATCTCTCACGCCTAGGTAGCAAAAGATGTCCATTTCCTGTCACCAAAGTGGGGGATTTGTCATGCGGATTAGCAATGCGGAAGCTTCTCGGAATCTGTGATACTGGGGCTTCCATGATAGACATCCTGCGTCATGCAAAAACAGCATGACTCGTCTTCCAGACCGAGACGTTTTTGCATTTGATATGATTAATGAGGTCAAGAAGCTGGTCAGCTTGTTGAACTGCAACACGGTGATTGCGAACGGGCAGTGTGTGGAGCAGATGCAGCAAAACTTTTGTGTCCACCAGTGTCAAGTCCACGAGGCTTTGAAGAACGCGATGGTGGGTATGCAAAGCAAAAGTATCTATCGTGCAACTGGTAATTTGCATTATACAATTTTTTTCAGAAGGAAAAACAAAAAGTGAGTTTGTAATGCTGAATTAGATTGTAGGAGCGAGACCATGTTGTCTGTCATGCTGTGCCACAATTCCTACGAGTGCGATACTTTTGCAGTGGATAGTGGGCTTACAAGGGCTGGCCGACGTTTTGGACGATCAGGAGGACAATTCAGACGATGAACCTGAAGAGGACATCAGCGATGAAGAGGAGGGTGCAGACGGGGATGAAAGCATCCCGACCGCCACCACGGCCTTGAAGATCAAGGAGCGAGCGGATGGAGAGAAGGTGTCTACTTCCTCTGCCGGGGGTTCTGGTGACGACGGCACGCAGTTTATCTTTTACATCGCTCTGGGCGCGGGGATTCCGTTTACTTGCATTTTTTTGTACTTGCTGCAGAAAAAGTGCGAGAAGAACAAGAAGAAATCTCTCGCTTCGAAGATGGACATGTACGAGAAGCAAAGCAACACCAGTTCCACCGCAACGGGGACCAATAATCGCAATGGAACAAATGTAGACGATTTGATCGAGGTCCAGTCCATCTCTACCGGTGTTGACAGCAACTTTGTCGTCGGCCAGCCGCTGGCAGGCGAGACCACCCAGAACGCGACGACCGCGATGCAAGAAAAGTCGAATTCCGCGACATTGTATGCATTGCAAATACGGCTGGGTCTGGAAGAATGCAAGTTTGTCATGCTTGTGTCACATGACTCGTAAATCTGTAATGCATGAGCAGGAAAATAAAAGGCTCTCTCATCTGTTATGCAAATATGCAGTTTGTCATGCGGAAAGCGAAACACACAGGAGCCCAAAAACTTGTCATGCGTGGCTGCATATTGCAATGCGCCCACCATTCAAAAAGTAGCATCACGAGTTTCCAGACCCAGAAATATTTGCATTTGATACATTGGTGATCCCGACCGGCTACGTGAAGGAGGGGCAGGAGAAGTATGACAAAACGCAAGTGATGAAGTTTGAGACGAAGCAAAACAAAATGAAGATGAAGACGAAAAAATCTTCGAGTAACAATGATAATCGTATGAATTTCGAGGAGGAGTTTAACTTTGACGACTTTGTCATCCCGGATGAGGAGGAGGAACTTGGTCGTGGGAACCAGCATCACAAAAATGGTACTACTGCTGCTCAGCAGCATAACAGTAACAGTAACCTCTCCACGAGCGAACAAATTAACCCAGGTCAGGCCATCAATGTGGAACTCACCCCGTAACAAATGTGAAAATGTCTGGGTCTGGAAGAATGCAACTTGTGATGCTAAATCAGAAGCATGCAAAAATCTGTGTTGCATGATTACCGAAAGTCGTCCAGTTGTGACCAAGTCGGGAGGGCGTTTCTCATGCAGGATAGACATGAGAGAGATCGCTCAGATTCTGTCATGCTAGGTCCTGCATTACAGACTTCATGGGTCATGGAAAAGCTGCATGACAAATCGCGCACTCTTCCAGACCCAGACACTTTTGCATTTGAGACCCCGCCCAAAGTGCCGAAAGGTGCTCGCTTGGCCCGGAAGGTGGAGGAAGAGGACGATGGTGGAGCTGCCAAGTATCAAATGAAAAAATGTCTGGGTCTGGAAGGTGGCAACTTGTCATGGTAAATCTGAATCATGTAAAAATCTGTGTTGCATGATTACCAAAAGCTGTCCACTTTTGCGAAGTTGATTGGAGTTTCTCATGCAGGAATTGCATGGCAGAGACCTCCTCGCGGAGTCTGTCATGCTAAGTGCCGCATTCCAGACCTCATGGGTCATCGAAAATCTGCATGACAAGTTATACACTTTTCCAGACCCAGACACTTTTGCACTTGATACGAAGGTGCACATGCCGATCCCCGGGATGCGGAAATCGTCTGGGAGGCTGTCGAAGCCCAATGTAGCTCCTTCCGATGAACAGCAGGCTCCTACTTCGCAGACTTCTCAAAGTCCGAAGAAGAAGTCCCAAAAGATTGCGGACCCCCTCGGGCCCTACATGGGCACTGAGGAAATTCTGGCCCCGCAAGACGGGGTCGGGGAGGGAAGCGGAAATCATTTTCATGCAGGAGACCACGCGCCGATGTCGCCGGGGGCGTTGCGGCGGATGAAACAAGCCGCTGCTGCTGGTACAACTGGACATCATGGGGTTCAGCCTCAATACGCTGATGTGGAAAATAAATCCAACACCAGCTACACGGTGAATTACACCGCCAGAGAATCGATGCTGGCGCCGGAGAGCGAGGCCCCCTCTACCGGTCGAACTTCCCACGGGTCGTTGACTTCGAGAAGCTCGTTGTCCTCGATCACCAGCCGCACGAACAACCTAGACGAACAGGTGGAGACGCCGCGGCAGCGGATGGCGAGCAACCGGATTCCGCAACCCGGAGGTCGTGGGTTCAGACCGGCCGAGCGGGAAAACAGCTTTGGGGAGAACAATCAGCCGACTATGGTGAACGTTGGCGGCGAATTATGGAACGAAAGAACTGTGTTGGTGTAGGTCTTTATTGGAGCGATAGCATGACAAATTTGCAGCTCCGCATGACAGAGAACAAAGTTTGTCATGCGCAGCTACTAGTACGGGAAAAAGACATCAACAGAGGACTTCTTCATGGGTGTCTGGCATGACAAGTGTATACTGTTTTGCATTTTTTGCATCACAGACTGTGACTGACACACACACAGTTTTTTTCTTGCATACGAATCGGATAATCCCGCTTCGTGGCAGTGGTCCACGCCGCCGCACAGTGGGGAGATGGAATTTGTATGCATTGCAAATGTATCGTACTAAGTGCAAATAGCATCACAAATTTGATACCCAGAAGAAAAAATGGAATTTGTGATGCTGAATCATCTCGGAAACCAGATCTCTCATGCTGTGCTGCAATTACTAGTACGAGTGCGATACAACTTTTGCAATGCAGCATAGTTTGCTGGGACGAGAAACAATCCGCCCTCCTCCGCTCGGTCCATTCGCTCGGTTTCCTCCTCCGCGTCGCGTTTCATATGAAATGCAAAACAAAGTATCGCATTAGTGGTAATCGCATTACAAATTTGCTCTGCGTGACAAATGGAATTTGTAATGCTGCTTTTTGTTGAGAAAGAGACTTGTCATGCATGATTGCGATTACTACGAGTGCGATACGTTTGCGCAGGATATTTCAGCACGGACAGCGATGACACCTCGTATCCTGTGCAAAAGCATCGCACTCGTACGTAGTAATTGCAATCATCCATCACAAATCTCCATCCCAAGGCAAAACAGCATGACAAATTCCTTTTGTCATGCCGAGCTAATTTGTATTGCAATTACTACTAGAACTAGTACGATACTTTTGCAGTGCATACTTCGACGCCGTTTACGATGAATGCGGCTGGCGGGAACAAGGGAAAGAAGTTTGAAACGATCGCGGAGGAGCAGGAAGTGTAAAAAGTTTAAGAGAATGATAATCGAAGCGGAACCTTCTATGTAATATCTCGAGGACTACGTCACAAATTCTAAGGCGAAAATAAGAATGTCTAGTACTGCATACTCGATTTACATCAAAATGAAAAAAGTACGACAAGCTCTACTGAGGAAGCGTGTAAAGCATAGGATGGGATGCAAAAACCTAAATATGCTAGACCATAGGCGATGGTCGTGTATAACATAAAAATTGGAAATCTCATGTACGATGTACCTTAGCTCTACAACTTGTACGAAGAAGACTACTTAGTTGGAGGATATACCTATTTGCAGTACACCAGAACTACAACTACTTTGACAATGCGGCCAATCTTCAGGCCTTGTTATTATCTAAGAAACGATATTACCTACGACCACAACTTGAAATTGCTTTTGCCACTTACTTTTACAAAGTCCCGAGCACAGCACTCTATACCAGCTTCGGCGTGGTTGCGGCCAGATGGAAGGGACGGGCGGAGAAACATGCAGTTCAAGTAAGAAGGGCAGGGCGATAAGTTTACAAATTCTCTCGAAGTATTCATAAGCTACCCGCTCCCTACGTAAAACTTGCGAATAAACAAATTTTGTGTCACTTACAGAAAAAAACTTGAATTAGCAACCGCGTGTAGAAGCGAAAAGACAATCTACAGATACAAGCGACACGCGATTTGCTTTTGTCTAAAGCTGTAAAAGTAGAAGATTCACTATCACTGAGAACAAACCTAAGCTTCAACCTTCTGTGTAGTTCCTACTTACAACCGCCAGCGGGTCTGTAGTTGCGGACCACGCCTTCTGAAGAGAAGCATGAGGATTCTGAGACGAGTCCTTTTTGCCGGTGGGGGTGAGGGACTGACAGTTTGGTCGTTGACAACGCCGTCGTATCAAATTGCATGGTAAAACATGTTTCATCTTCGAGCGGTGAGTCTGAAATCCGCGTCTTCATGTGCACATAAATTGCTTTGCTGCTGATTCGGTGAAGAAGACGACATTGGCCTCGTGCCCTCAGAATATTTTACCAATGCACGACTGGAAGGGTGATAGTTGAATAGAAAGCTCAATATAAATATGATTAAACGAAAGCTCTTACACCGAAACGGCATACTTACGTTTGCCCATTGACGCATATCCGTTTGGTGTTCGCTTTTATGCAAGGCCTTGCATCTGAGTTTGCCTTCCGAGGATCACGAGGCGGTGGAGCGGGAGAGAACGAGCAAAAGCTTCTGTGTGTGTGAGTCGAAGATGAGACCAAGAGAAGTGCAGTACTAGCAGCCATGTCTCCCCGTTCATCATCTGAAGTGGAGTGTAGTCCGAGGCCTTGAGCAAGTTGAGCTGGACGGGCGAACACTAGCCCTGGAGTGTTGGGCACGAGAAATGTAGGCTGCAACCTGTACTAGACGAGTGAGAGAGAATGGCTCTGAGCACGACCAGCAGGGGAACAAGCTATGGGCGTGACAATATGCCTTCCACCAAAGCAAGTGCAAGGAAGCGCCCCGCATTGAGGGCACAACCTTCGCGGCGGGGCCGGGGGAGGGTGGCGGCCGATTTATGGCCGATTTATGCTGCGTGAAGCGCCGACGGCGTCGGAGAATGCCCCAGCGCCGCGCTATTGACCGGGCGCGCGGGCCGGCGATATTTATATATGCTCCTGTGACGGCTTGCCCACATCGACATCGCTGAGAATCAGGTGGACGTGGAAGGCAGCGGGCCAACGCCGTGCCGCAGCCCCCCAGGCACTGCCCGCGCGACAGCTGGAGAAGGATGCCAAGGCGATCGGTGGCCCGCGCGCCGGATTTTGTGGAGGCGTGGGCCTCCGCCGCCCCCTCCGCGTTTTTGCTTCTGCGCCGCGCCCTGCGCTGCCGGCCAGCCGGAGCCAGCGGGCGCGCGGGCGCCCCCAGGCTTGGGCGCCCACAAGATTCCCCGCCAAGTGGCGGCACTGCGGCCCAGCTAGGGCCAGCGGCTTCGCCCCCCAGGCATGTGGGTGGCCAGCGACGTGCGCCCGCCAATAGGCGAGCCGCCTCGGTCCACCTGCCGGCCCCGACCGGGAATTTTAGTTGCGTGTGGGCGTGGCAGAGTTGTCACATGGCCGTCTAATGTGATTGCCGTAACAATGTCAAAGTACCTACGGCTACGCCGAGCGCCCCCGGATCGCGTCCAGGTGCGCCAGGACTTGCGTTTGCGGGTTCGGCAGCCAATCAAAAATATCGAGCGCCCTGGCGGCGGCAGGGTTGGGCCAGCGTGCAGATTGAAGAAGCAACCAGCCCTAGTAGGAGAGATTCCAACAAGTCGGAAGACTGTATTTCGTGCCACCGCCGCGCGGTCTGGGCTACTCAGTTCCCACTGCTGTGAAATCGCCATGACCACCACCACATGTTGTGAAATGCAGAAACTCGGCCTTGACGTTGATGTGAAGATCGGTAAGAGTGTCTGCTTGGCAGCGATTCCGTATTTTTGGAGAGATCATGTTGTAATAAAGACATTTGGATTTGCCCTGTGCCTATAGCCTGACTCGGACTTGTTCCAGATCCCGATCTTTCTTCTCTGTGCAATCAATTTTCTACGTAGCAGGCGGGCTCTTGTACATGAGATCGTCTAGTACTTGCACATCGGTCATCATCATGAAAACATTGTTTGTCCATCTCGAGGTTGAAGGCTGAAGGAGAATTATCTCGATCACAACGGTATCCGTGCCAGTGCCTACGGCAGCCCCCTATTCACAAGTTATGGAAACGGAAAGCAGATTGGCTTCAGGAAATTAAGTATAAAAGAGTTTTACGTCGCACCTCGCTGTTGCTGACCAAGCGTCTGTATGTAGAGTCGTAGTTTTTTTTCTTTTTGGCTTTTTTCAAGCAATGCTTGTACTCTAAGCACCTGCACCGCCTTTTTGTTTTTGTTCTTGCCCCCTGTACTAGCCAGAAAGCAATACCTCTTGAAAAAACTCTTCATTCTTCACCAGCGCAACTAGTTCTTCATACCGTTACCGTCTGCTTACCTGGAATCCAATACTCGATTATCTTTTGCACCCTCTCGTCCAGATCTCGAAGATGTCCGCTCCCGAACAGGAAATCCAAAAAGTCCGCCAAGCAGCCGAAGACTACGCTTTCGGCTGGTACTTGAAACAACCAGAGAGGATCGGCAACGCCCTGCACGACAAGCTGGTGAAGCGAACTCTTGAGCAGCCGAACGACCAACTGAAGGAGATCACTAAGCAGGATTTGGTTCGGTTAACCGAAGAAAAAGAGGGAATCGACGCGGAGGATATGCAGCAGTGCGACATTTATCAAATGCAAAAATGTCTGGGTTTGGAAGATTTCTAGATTTGTCATGCATATTTTCCATGAGCCATGACGTCTGTGATGCATGCCGTAGCATCACAGATTTTTAGAGGGCTTTGTGATACGTCTACCGCATGAGAAATGCCCTCTCCCCGTAGGAGAAACTGGAGTCCTCTTGCTGGTCATGCAATACAATTTTTTTTTTAGAATCCAAATACAGCATCACAAATTTAGAATCTTCCAGACCCAGACATTTTTGCATTGGATAACATTAAGGTGGATTTCGTTGGCGGGCCGGGAAACGGTTGCGCGATGTTGGAATTGGAAATGAAGCATTGGTTTGACTTCATGCAGCTGGTGAAAATGGAAAACGGAGAGTGGAAAATTGTGAACGTGCTGTGGATATCAAATGCAAAAATGTCTAGGTCTGGAAGGATCCGAGCTTGTGATGCGAGTTGCGGATCGTACGTAGAAAGATCTGTGTTGCATGACTGGCAAAAGGTGCTCCCTTCTGGCCATGCTGACAGGGTAATACTAAATAGGCATCACCATCACGAAGGGGCTGCAGAACCTGTGATGCTAGGCCACGCATTCCAGACTTCCGGGAGCTTGGAAAAACTGCATGACAAATCCCGGAATCTTCCAGACCCAGACATTTTTGCAATGCATAGTGGAAGGCGAAGTAAGGAGGGCCGGAAGTAGATCGTTTGGCCTTGTTTTAGCCGAGATGATGATATATTTTCGCAGAGAGATGGAAATAGTAAATATATAAAGTCAAGTCCATCATCAAACCACTTTGATTTTTTTTTTGATTTTTACCGTGCCATTTTTCGTAACAGCTGGAAAACGAAACGCGAAAGCCGTGTGCAGCACGTAGAACCAAAACCAGCTTGAGATTGAAAACGAAGGACGAGTTTTCACATACAGCCCAAGTCATTCCGTGGGCGAGTTTGAAGAATCTCGATCTCGAACATGAGAAGGACATGATGAGATCGCGGTATAATTCAAAGCAGTGCGTGGCGCTTGTGCATACGCTCAGGCCACCGCTTCGTCGTGGTTGTACTTGAATCTGTTCTTCCTTCTACAAAAATGTTGTCGCCGCGACAGCTATTTGCATCTCGACCGGGACCGGGTGTTCCTCTAACCTTCGTGCGGGTTTATGTCCGTTCGTTGTGAAGCGTGTCGTCTTCACCGTATAGAGCCATACATTTGGCGCGTCGCGTGCGCAGTTTCCAGCGCGCAGCAATGCGGCGCGCACCTGCTCCGCCCGGCTCGGGCGGGTGCACGCGCGCCGGCCCAGTCCGTCGCACGTTGCCAGGCGCCTGGCTCGCTTTGGCCTTCAAGGCCGCTGCGGCCCTTGCCCCCCTGCCCCCCGCCGGGCGCATTTGTTATTGCCAGGCCCGGCAAAGCCTATCGGCGCTGGCCGCCTACAAGATGCGGCACGCACTCCGGCGGCCGTATGAAAAGGAGGAAGCAGGAGGCTCCTCGCCTCGAGCGTGCGCCCTTTGGGGGCAGGCAGCTCGCACCTGCCGAAGCGGAGACGCTGCTGCGTCTCGATGCACTATCCGCCAAAGCTTATGGGCTTAGCTTTGTCAAGTGGCGCCAGCGTTTTGGCGAGAGGATCGGCGTCGCGTATGGCAGGCGCGCCCATCCATGAATGACCCGGCCCGTTGCTTGCCAAGGTTGGCAGGGTGCGCAGCTGGCCAGCGGGCTGCTCGAGCCGGGGCAGGGGGGGCAGGACCCCACCGAGTTCCTGACCAAAGAGCCGGCGGCCGCCCGCGGACCGAGGTTGGTAGAACCGGCGTTGACATTTCTATCGTCGCTGAGGCTTTCAACGTGTGGGAGCTTGGGTCTTACTCTCTCGTCTGCCCAGCCCGAGTTGCGCCCTTCTTCAATCGGTTTCCGGTCAAATTGGAAGGCAAGGCGGGCGCCTTTCTTGTTTTCGCCCTGCCCCGCAGGGGTTCTGCCTGCCTGTCGTTCAGCTTGTTGCCTCGCCCCCTTCGGTAGCAACTAGGCCGGGCGCCCCTGTTCCGGCCCTGTTTGTTACAGGTGTGCACACTGCCTCGCGGCACGCCGGGGTGGGGCCGGGCCCCCTCCCTCGGCGAATCTAGCTCCCCATGCAAGGGGCCCGGACTCGTTTGCTCGCTTGGCCTTGGAAGTGGGGGCCACCCAGCCGCGTGCGCAGGCGCAGGCAGCGAAGGTTGGGGCCGGCCCCGTCTACCCTGCGGCCCGTCTTCCATGGCGCCACATTCTATTTGTTGGCAGCCTGCCGCCGGCCCTGTCGGCAGACTGGCTGCCTGGCTGTCACTGTGGGTGTGTGGGCACGCGGCCACGAATATGAGAAAAAGTGTGGGCGTTGCATCCCGGCTGCCGATGTTTGCACCTGATGCCTTACCCGCAAAACGAAGCTGGGCCCTCTCGCAGAGTTACTTACCTTCATGTGCGTGCGCGGGCGCGCGGTGGCGGGCGTGGCCCGCCCGTGCCCTTTTTTGTATCTATGTTCTTCCCGGCTGCCGATGTTTGCACCTGGATGCAGCTCTCTCTCTGCTGCGTGTTTATTTGTCATTGCGCTCTTGCTCTTTGCCGGAGTCCGGTGTAGTTACAAAGTAGCGCCTTTCCCCGCTAGCTCGCGTTCAGTTTCGCAGAAAAAGAAATCAGTCGAGGACCAGCACACATGAGCAAAGAGAGTAAGCCCGCTGACTAAAAAGATGCACTGCAAAAAGGACTTCAGAGACAGATTTGATCACCTCCAACCATGCCTCGCCCACCATTGCTGCAACTGTGGAAACAGTTTTGCTGGACCTGCCGCCAATTGCCCGACAACGTACGGCGACGGGAAATTAGGATTGCTAGAGGGTATATGCACTGCAAAAGTGTCGCACTTACTAGTATAAATCGCAATACAAATTTTTCCAGAAAGATAGATGGAATTTGTAATGCTGATTATGCTAAGAAACAAGATTTGTCATGCGTGATTGCAATTAGTACGAGTGCGATACTTTTGCACAGGATAGGGCATTTGAAAAACCTAGACGAACCAAAACGGGTCCCGGCAATACGCTACCAGCTGAGAAATATGGAGCAGGTTGTCCAAATGATCAAGTACAGAAGCATCAAAAGGAGGTATGATTTGTAAAAACGAACAAGAAACTGGAACTGTGCCTGTTTTATTGCATCAGGATTCACAAGATTCTATCGCAGAATGGATGTTGGCTTCGGTGGGCCGATTGAAAAGCTTTGTCGGCGTTCAAGGGTCTGCTATTATGCAGATGAAGGGAGAGCCAGAACGTTCCAAGAAGGTTTGTTCAGTCTTGTTTTCCGCATTTTTCGAAAACCAGGCTCAACATTTACCATCCATCGTTGTAAACATTGCGCATGCGAGCTCATGAGGCGTGCATTCGCTTGTCGTCGTTTGTGAGAGTGACATTTAGTCGATGTTTGTGCCCGGTTGTAACGAGAGACACAGGGCTCGTCTAGCTGCAGCTCTTCCATTTCGTCGTGTCACTACAACTACCAACTAAATTCGTACCATTCTAATTTCCGCACCTCGTAATTTTTCGATTTCTTCATGATGTTCATGTTTCCTTGGACTGAATTCATTGTATTTGTATATTGTTCACAATAAAACCAGATCGTAAAAATCGTATAAAAGCGAGAGAGGGTGGTGCGAAACCATGACACCAGCCTCTTTCGCGGTTGAAGCAAGAAGTCAAAGAAATCTAACGAGATAGAAGTCCGACACGAAAACCTCCGCGCAACTACAGCATGGCCGCTGCGAAAGTCTGGATGGAACCCACCTCCAGGCCGAGCCGGCCGTTGAGCGCTCTACCGGTCCGGGGCGGGACGCCTTTGACAGGCGGGTACGGAATATGGATTGCAAAAATGTCTGGGTCTGGAAGAAAGCAACTTGTGATGCTATTTTTGGAATCTAAAAAAATCTGTATTGCATGAGCAGAAAGAGGCGTCCAGTTTTTGCTCCGGGGAGAGAGCATTTGTCATGCGTGATAGGCATCAAGATACCCGCAAAAAATTTGTGATGCTGGTGCATACATCGCAGACATCACGGGTCATGCAAAATGTGCATGACAAACCTTGCAATCTTCCAGACCCAGACATTTTTGCATTTGATACGGAAACTGGGGCGTGCCGAGGTACTCACTTTTCTTGCTCATATGATGTGTTTCCGCATGACAAAGTCGCTGCTCATCGCAAAATGAAAATTTCCTTCCTAGTATCCTCTACCGAAGGCCGCGAAATTTGTTTTAAAATCCCACACACAGCACGCACCCCTCCGGCCCGACCGGGATAGGCGGCGGGGCAGTGAGTTCCTCTTCCGGGAAGAATCACTCCAACCCCAACTCCCAGCAGTTCCCGACGAACAAACCCAATAGCACGGCAAACCAGCTTATCAAATGCAAAAATGTCTGGGTCTGGAAACTTGTGATGCAAGCCCGTGAACAGTAACTTAACTTTTCTGTAATGCACCGCCAAGCATGACAAGTTTTTTCGTGCTCTTGTGCTGCGTATTTCGCATGAGAAATAACTGCGCTTTTGCATGACAGCCAAGAGGGCCCCTTGGTGGCCACGCAATACAGAGTGCAGAATCATGCCAGACTAGCATGACAAATCTTGCAATCTTCCAGACCCAGACACTTTTGCATTTGATACAGCTGAAACAGCGACCTAAATCCGCTTTGACTCGCCCAGGCCGGCACATGAAGAGATCAGGGTCGGCGCACGGAAACACAACTTTGGATACACTTATGGGAGTGTCAGGATCGAAATCGACAAAGTCGAAAAATTTGTAATGCATAAAATGTAGGGCCCATAAGGCCTGTGTTGGAGAGGAGGGAAATGAGACCGATTGCAAGCCTGTTTAGCCCTAAACATTTACTGCCAGAGTAGCATGACAGGCGCAGTCTTGTTTGCCTAAACAGCATGACAGACTGGGTTTTGGTGCTCCCAAAATTTGTCATGCGCCACTTGGAAACTGAGTCCCCAACTGGTATCGATTTTATGCGTCACAAATTATTTCGATTTTGTTGATTTCGATCCTGACGCTTCCATAACACTGCTTTTCGACGGACTCTTCGCACCCCACCAGTATGCGAAACACGGCGGTGGTGGAACAACAGCTGCAAACGGAACCCATCACAACTCCGGCGGTGCGAACGGTTTTATCTCCGCGTCGGCGAATAACATAGCAGCGGTGAAAATGAACCCATATGGATACCAGTTAGGGAAAACAGCCGGGGGGAATAATTACTCAAATCTGGACAAGAGAAAAAACCCGATCCGTGGCGGCATAAAGAACCGAGCGGTCAGTCCTGCGGGGTCTACCGGGAGCGGCGCTGGGGGGATCATAAGAGAGAACAGCAATACAGGCGGGATAAACAACAACGGGTCTAGAGAACAAAAAAAGCGCACTTCCGCAGAGCACTTTCTCGCGACCATGAATATTCCCGGAAATCCGCATAGCAAGCCGGGGAGTAGAGCCGGATCGAAGCCCAACGCCGGAATGATAACGACGCAGCAGCAGAACCAAGCGAATGTACAGTCGGATCTGACGAAGACTTTACAGACAATCAAACAGCAGATAGAGCGGGAGAAGATGCGGTTAGCCGCGCCAAACAAGTTCAACAAATACGACACAAGGATGAACTGGCAGCAGACGCCGACGAGCGGAGCGTCTGGTGGGATGAAACAGCGCCCGCAGACTGCCGGTATGTACCGGACGAGGACGTCTGGTAGTGGTGGCTCCAACACAAACGTCATCTCCCCCGGCGCCTCCAAGCAAAACAACAATAACTCCAGCGACCGAATGCTAAGGGTATCAAATGCAAATATGTCTGGGTCTGGAAGAATGCAAGTTTGTCATGCTTGTCTGGAATGAGTGTTAAATCTGTGATGCATGAGCAGGAAAAGGACCTCTTGTCTGTCATGCAAAAACGCAGTTTGTCATGCGAAAAACGAAACACACAGCAGCGCAAAAACTACTTGTCATGCTGGGCTGCATATTTTAGTGCGCCCACAATTCGTAGATTTGCATCACAAGTTTCCAGACCCAGACATTTTTGCATTTGATAAGGGGAGCTGAACGACCACACAGCTGCAGCTCCGAAACAACGGCAGCGACCAACGACCGCGCATGTGGACCGGCTGAGAACGGTTGCGGCGAGCGACCCGCGGTTAAATCTTCACAACCGGGCAGGAGCTTTGGGGAACAACCACACGAGACCAACCTCCGCGCACCCCGCGTCTGCCGCCCATCACGCGGCACACGACCTGCAGTATGTGTTGCATCACGAGCGGCCGAAGTCGGCGTCGGCGGCCTCGAGTAGTCGGCAGGTCAAGGCGGACATGGTGGATAGAAGCGGGAAGACAATACCTTCGACGTTGCTGGAGGGGGGAAGCTATGTGACCGGGAAAACGATTGGACAGGGGGCTTACGCGGTATAAGGAAGTGGTGGTTTTGAATTTGCATTTGGCTTTTTGTGATGCGAGAACTGCATAAGAAGCGGTGTTTGTCATGCACCATTCCGTACACATTAATATCAAACAGTCCGTCCGCGTCTGCACCCACCACCCCTCGGAGAAGAACTACGCGGTGAAAATTTTCGACAAGACCCGGTCGCACTGGGAAAACCGGAAGAAACTGGTTTACCGAGAGGTGAAATTGATGGAAAAGATCTGCCGGGATAATGAGCACATTTGCAAATTTCTCGAATACGTGGACTGTTCCAATTTTCTGCACTTGTTCCAGGAGCTCGTCAACGGGGGGAATTTGCGACAAGAGCTCAACAAAAAGCAACTACGGAGAATAAGCGAGGGGACGGTATGATAAATAGCTATTTGAATGATGTCAACAGGCATTTCTGACAAACCGCATTTCGGCTGTCATGCGGAGTTGGCAAATAAAATTGAGAACATGAATTTTGTGTACTACCAGGTCCGCAACTACTTTTGGCAAATCTGCGACGGGATAGAATACCTCCATCACAACCTCGTGGTCCACCGGGATATAAAATTGGAAAACCTTCTGCTCCACCACAACTCCTATGCATTGCAAAAGTATCGTGCTCGTACTAATCGCAGTCATGCAATGCAAGTTTGTTTCTCAAGCCAAATCCGCATTACAAATTTCATTTTTCACTTTGAGCAAACTTGTCCTGCGGTTTATACAACTAGTGCGATGCTTTTGCATTGCATAACTCCCACGGCGTGACGATAAAAATCGTTGATTTTGGCTTCGCGGTGAAGCTCCAGACGCCGACGCAGAAGCTGAAAGTCTTCTGCGGGACGCCCAGTTACATGTCGCCCGAAATCGTAGCCGGAAAGGAGTTATGCACTGCAAATATGTCTGGGTCTGGAAGAATCCACGACTTGTCATGCAGGTTTCCCTTGACCCAGGAGGTCTGCAATGCACGCCGTAGCATCACAAGTTTTACAAGAGCTTTGCAATGCCCAGTCTGCATGAGAAATCCCAGTCAACAGAGGTTGCTAAAAATGAACAGCTTTTGCATCTCATGCATGACAGATTTATGTGTGATTGGCAGGGAGCATCACAAACCTGAACCATTCCAGACCCAGACATATTTGCATTTGATGGGAGTACAGCGGGTTCCAGAGCGACGTGTGGGCGCTGGGTGTGGTACTTCTTGTTGTTCACAACTTTCTCTTCGTAGAATGTAATATGCGAAGTGCGTTAACTCGAAAACTCGATTGCATGATCACCACGACCACGCATGACAAACAGGAGCTGTCATGCATAATTGCAATATAAAAGGTTCTCTATGTGCTCCTCTGCGGCCGCTTCCCGTTTAAGGCGAACCAGGAACACGAGCTTTACCACAAAATCCGGCGGGGGCAGTTCTCCCTAGCGGATAACCACGTATCTTCCACTGCAAAAAGAGTGATCAAGGGCATCCTCCGCGTAGACGGCAACCTCCGACCGGTGGTGTCGCAAGTGGTCAACCACGCGTGGGTGTTGTCCGGATCCACCGCGGCTATGGCGGGGCGGCACTCAGAACACGCACAGCAGGAGAGGTCGTCGCAGAATATCAGCACGTCATCGTCGAAAGAGATAGATTTGGGCATTATCGCAGACAACAGCACGCACAGCAACGGAGTAGTTGCTGGCACCACGGGAGGGGGTTTTACAGAAGGGATAACTTTGAGTAGACCCAGCAGTGCGGCCGGAGGAGCAAGCACATCGGGAGCTGGGCCGGGGAGGGTATCTTTCACAAGAGTCTGAATTTTGTTTTGCGGAGTTACCTAATATGAAGTTTCATCGTCATTCTGTCATGCATGCTTGCAATTCTAACTTGTGTATGCTGTAATAAGTCCACGAACTACAACTTCTCCAGGTCGACAGTGCCAGTTTTGTCGGTGTCGCTCCGGACACTATCGAGGGCGAAACACCCCGGCACTACACAAATAGCCTGTCAAACAGCCAAACGGGGGTCTACGCAGCCACGACGCTCGATAAGCTATCCACCGGGGAGTAGGAGGAGGGAGACGCCCTGTTCGACTGCTAAGCAAGCGGGAAGCTGCTTCTGGTCCTGCTGCAGAACCGGAAACGAGAAATCAAAACTTTTTAGAAAAATCGCAATCTAATACCATATCAAAACCGAAGTCATCTGTTAATGTTACTAGAGTTACCAAGCTTAATATCCAGTTTCAATGTTACTAGAATTTTTCGCAAAAATACAATCTGCTACTCAACAGCTAAGGCCGCACGGCAATGGCTCGTTGTAGCAAGTAATCATCCTTCAGAACTTTCTGATTCTGACCAGAACTTTTTACTCTTCATTACTTCCTTTTGTGGTGCTGGTTGCAAGTAGAGCGATGAATTAGTGATTCATTCAGACGTAGATCATGACAGTAGCAACTGTATCTTGAAGTTTGGCCTATGAATATTTGCTACAGGGAGCGGGTGGACGAAGGGAACAAACGGTTAATACAGCGCCAGCACCATGCCACTTTTAGAGACCACAGTTTTACGACCAGAAAGAAAAGCACGATATTAAGCTTCAGCAACCAGGCAGTCGTCTGGAACCACGAAATTTATGTCGACCTCCTGCGCTCGCTGCGCCAGGGGGTAGATGAAAATAGAAGATGAAATAGAACTCCAGTATAGCTCGGCCAGCTATAATTCTTGGGGTAAATAAGATTTCATCGTGAACAACCCAAAACTTTATGATCTGTAGGACACGCTGCACACGAGAACTTCAACTTTGAAGTCTCGTCTATCGAAATAAGAAATCTTCAAAAATGAACATGTACTTACTTTCTTCACAAGAAACTATCAACTCCCACGACGTTCCTCATGTATTATTTTGACCTTTATCCTCAAGCCCATTTTATTCTCTCGAAAAAACGCTATCATGGGCAGACCTCGGCAGAAGTAGCTAGTTATGAAAAGAGTTTTCTTCTCTACTTGTCATAGGTGGGGAGATAGAAATTTCGTATGAACTACTACCAAAAAATGAACAATGCTACTGATGAAAGAACCGTAAGATGTCAATTCAAAACGAGGTCGGAAATATTGCTAGGAATTGCTACTGGCATGGGCGGCAGGAGTGCTAGTAGCTACCTGCGCTGTTTTCTGCTCGTGCATTCTTGCAAACTTTTGATGCATTTTTCTACCTGTTCCAACCGATCCGGAGCAATTTACTTACGAGAAACCGCAAGAACAAAGCGAGTCCGGCTGCGTGTATCGATCCCTGTATTTCACGCGATCTAAAGCAAGATCCATGCTATCGTGCGTGGTTGTTTTTTCTCCCGATTTTCAGAGGATCTCCATCTCCATCTCCTTCATATAGGATCCTTTTCGTGTTACCAACATGTCTCAGCGACAACTAAAAGAAGTAGAGTCCTAATTAAACAACATCTGAACGTTTTTTAGAGCGGGTCGAATACCTTCAGCTTGATTGAGAGATATTACCTGTACATACTTCATAGGTCACTCATCAAGTAGTCCATCAAGTTCGAGTGTAGCTAGTTCATCGGCCGGAGTCTTTTTGTTTCCCATTCCCCCTATTTGCAAAGGCCCAAACTTTTCACACAGAAGGGGTTCTGCGAAAGATATACGAAAACTTTGCCAAATTATGTCGTCCAAAAAGTGGGACTTCAAGCTGGAGTCCAGCTCGAACGTGCTGGTTGCGCAAGAGAAATCCACCGCGCTGGACAAGATCGACCCAAGTCTGGGCTGGAAAGCGGATGACAGCACAATATCAACGGTAACGGGCCAACCAAAGAAGGCAGCGGTGGACAAAACGTTTTTAGATAGGAAAGCCTGGGAAGCGGTCATGCAGCCATGTCAAGCGGTATATTGATGGTTTGATTCTTCTTATTGCATGCGCGTGCATTTTTACAGATCGAGTCCTGATGGTGCAATGACGTGCATGGCAAATGAAAATGATCTGATACATCTACTAACCCTCACAGGTTTTCATGAACATGTTCATGCTCTGGATGATGGGCAGCAACCCGGGGATTTTCGGAATTATGATGCTCGCGTACGCGTACAGCAGCGGTATCGCGCAGTTGAAAAACGTCAACAACGTCTTCCTGCCCTTCTCCCAGCAGGGCGTAGACTGCAGTTTCCAGAAAATTGCTTACGTCGTGATCTGCGTCGCGGTGCTTGGGTACTTGACGTATAGTGCCAGTGGGATGGGTTTATTGCCGACGCAGACGGGGGACTGGATCTCGAAAATCCCCTACGTGCCGATACAGGAGCGGATCATTTAACTGTAGTGCAAGAAGAGCAAAAACGCTTTCGATGTACTTTGGCGACAACAAACCGCACCGTAATGAAAACGACATTTCCACCACGGCAAAAAATATGACCTTTATTACTCCACGACGGAGATGGGGTGCTAGAGATCATCAGACCTCTCCATTCCAACGGGTCTTGTTTCATCGTTGCTGATATTGCAGCGTCTGAAAAGGACTTGTGTTTGTCTTTGATCATCTCGACGAGAAAGTAGATCCATTGCTATCTGGTTCTTTGTTCCACGAAAAAGATCCTATTCATGATGAGTAGGCACCCGCACCTGATGCAGCTTCACCCGCTCTTCATGCGCACACGCAGCACATCAGATTTTCAATGAGTACATTGCCTAGTACTACCCGCGAGATCTCCTTGATATTTTTGTCGATCCAATAGTCAGCTCGCAAGGATCTCTACCATGATGCCCAATATCGTCTCTAGCTCTGCACGGAACCGAAGTAGATCACCTTTTCGACGACGCTTGTTTGATTTAAGTTTTTATCTTGTCTTCTTTCGCGGAAGCTTTTGCCATGTTGCGCTAGGGTAGACTAGATCTTAGTCTTACTTTTGGTGTCTTCGCAGCTTACCTTAGCTCATATCGTGTAGAGCAGTAACGAGCTTGTTCAGTCTGACCGATCGACTAGAAGATCTACGAAGCTATCCAACCTAAAAAATATTTCGCTGTTGACGACTAGTAGATCTATCAGTGTTGCCGCATTCATTGCGTATAATAGCCATTGCGCATGTAGTTCAAATACCTTTAGATCCATACACGTAACTCAACAATTATTTTCTTCGCGCACCTTGTGTTGCAAATTCCTTTCCCAAATAAACAACAGCGGTAAAGGAATTTCTTGGTTGAGAGTTTCTCTCAAGTTGTCAAGAAATTCGATCTATTATTCTAGATCACTAGACTAAGTCGTTGCTAGCTACAACAGCACGGCTTCAGGAGTCAGTAGTTGTTTTAACGAACAGGTTCGATAGTTTGTTCTTACCCTACAACTTATTCGCACAATAATTCATTTTCAGTTTTTCACTAGATTTCTGTACCCAAAATCCAATAAAATGTCGCAACAAGAGATGAACAAAATTAAGCAGGAGATTGTCTCCAACCCGGGATCGCCTCTGGAGGAGGAAAAGTCCAGTCCGGCGGAGGAAAAGAAGAACAGCAGTTCGCAAAAAAGCGACAAAAACACCCCATCGAAGTCCGAGCCCAGCCCGGCAAAATCGGATAGGTCGGCCGGAAGTGAAGATGTGCACGCTCAGGGAGAGGATGGTATACATTATTTTCACTTGAAGATGTTCTTGGTCTCCTATTCTAAGTTCTATTTGATAGCACCCTGAAGATGATGACCCTGTGCAGCACCGCTCTTCACATTCGCATGATGTTCTTGACAAAACAGTTTTCAAATTCGCCAAAAAATCTCCAGTCGCGGCCCTGAACGAGGAAGCGGAGGATGGAGAGGAACAGCAACCTGAGCTGATGGAAGACTTATCCTGTGCAAAAGCATCGTACTCGTATTGCAATCATGCATTACAAATCTTTTTGCTGAGGTAGATCCGCATTACAAATTTTATTTCTCATGCTGAGGAAATTTGTAATGCATTCATACGAGTGCGATACTTTTGCAGTTCATAAGATTCCGAGGATGACGATGACGAAGACATGGACGACGAAATTCCGGCCGACAGCGGCATTGCCGCGCTGATGCAGCAGCACGACAAGTTCAAGACCGCCAAGGAAGACAAGACCTATCCTGTGCAAAAGTATCGTACTCGTAGTAATCGCAGTCATGCTTTACAAATCTCCATCCCAAGGCAAATCAGCATGACAAATTGCATTTCTCATGCTCTTGCGCTAATTTGTCATGCGATTCATACTAGTACGATACTTTTGCAATGCATAAGACCATGAAGAATACGAAACTAATGTCAGAGAACAAATCTAAGCCCGCGAAGATGGGCGGGGGAGATCTACTTGACGATGGCTACATGATATGGATTGCAAATTATATGTCTGGGTCTGGAAACTTGTAATGCTAAAAGTGAATGATAGACGCACTGCAATTATACGCAGCTACGCATGACAAATTTTTTGGCTGACATGTCTTACGTATTCCGCATGTCAAAGTGCGTTTTTGCATGACAGGCAAGAGGGCCTTTTCGTGCCTATGCAACACAGATTCGCGTGTCATGCCAGACAAGCATGACAAACTTGTATTCTTCCAGACCCAGACGTATTTGCATTTGATACATGAGCCACCTGTACAACGCGAATGGCGAGATGATGCACGATCCGAAGGACAAGATGTCCTTCGCGGACGAGTATCCTGTGCAAAAGTATCGTACTCGTAATGCAGCATTACAAATTTTTTTCCGAAGCCAAATCCGCATGACAAATCCTATCTTTCATGCTGAGGAAATTTGTAATGCATTTATATATACGAAAGCGATACTTTTGCAATGCATAACGAAGACAGGCCAGAATTTAACTCCCCCTACGAGAAGTTTGACGGGAGTCCGTTTGACGATTTCAAGAACAAGGACGTGGGCGGGATCTACGACAAGAGCAGTGGGAAGAAGGACAAGATATGGATTGCAAAAATCTTTGAGTCTGGAAGATTGTAATTGTCATGCTAAATCTGAATCATGCAGAAATCTTTTTTGCATGAGTGCCAAGCTGTCCATTTTCGACGAACTTTGGAGGGAGTTTCTCATGCAGGAAAGGTATGGCAGAGACGTCACAGACTCTGTCATGCTAGGTCCCGCATTCCAGACCTCGCAAGTCATGGAAAACCTGCATGACAAGTCTTGCATTCTTCCAGACCCAGACATTTTTGCATTTGATACAAGATTATGTTGGACGATTTGGAGCACTTTATGACCGGGAAGAAAAAGAAGGGGAAGAAGGGAAAGGTAGAAAGAGAAGAACTGCAGCTACATATATTGATTCTTCAGCATGACAGACTAGGTAGAGCTCAGCTAGACAAAACCAAAAGACCAACACATGTGTAGTTCAGCTAGACAAAAGAGAGACCAACACATGTGTAGTTCTTTCTCATGCAGCTGCACGACAGATCTTGTTTCAGTGTCCATACGAAGATACGCGCATGACAAATCGAAATCCGGACCTAGAATACGTGTGCAAAAAAAAATGCGTGAAAATCGAAATCAATCACAGAAAGCCGCCACGGTCGGATTCGGCGTGAAAAAATCGGGTAAGAAAAAAGGCGCCACTACCCGAGAGTCCTGGTCCAGCTACATCCACAAGGTTTTGAAAACGGTGCACGGCGAGAACTGCGGTATGAGCTCCAAGGGAATGGACATCGTTGATTGCTTTGCGCACGACATTTTCGAGCGGTTGGTGGACGAAGCGACGCGACTCATGCGGTTGAACAGCCGAAACACCATGACCAGCAGGGAAATGCAGACCGCGTGCCGATTGATCTTGCCAGGTATAGGATTAAGTTTAGAATATCATGTTGTAGTATGAGTGACTGCATTACAGAAATGATATAGTCATGCTCGTTCTTGCTACACAAGTTGTAGTCCTTTTGCAGCTACTACACACGTTGCACTGATAGAAACATGTTGTTTGTCATGCATAATTTATCCCCATCTTACAACTATCAGGTCAACTGGCACAGCACGCGATTCAGGACGGCACCCAGGCGGTGCGCAATTACGACGAAGCGTGTGGCAAGGTCCGAGACGACGATATTTTCCGAAATAACGAGGACGGTGGGCAGTCGGTGGCGTCTTCTAGAATGATGGGCGAGGATGATACGGACGACGAGGACAGCGAGGGGGATGATGACGATATGGCAGAGAAGTTTAACAAGCAGAAGCGGAAGGCGGCGGGAGATGACAAGTATGCATTGCAAAAGTATCGTACTCGTATAAATGCATTACAAGTTTCCTTAGCATGAGGAATGAAATTTGTAATGCGGATTTGACTCAACAAAAAGATTTGTAATGCATGATTGCAATACGAATACGATACTTTTGCACAGGATAACAAGATGAAGCTGCCGAAGAACATGGACGAGGATATGATGATATGCATTGCAAATATGTCTGGGTCTGGAAAGCCTGGGATTTGTGATGCCAACTTTCGATGATACAAAAACCTGTATTGCATGAGCAGCAAACGGCACTGAGATTGTTGCCACCTCCCGAAGAGGGCATTTCTAATGCAGGATAGGCACGGGGAAAGAACCTTCGTAAAAGCTGTGATGCTAGAGCATGCATCACAGACATCGCGGGTCATGCACTACTTGCCTGACAAATTCCCCCAATCTTCCAGACCCAGACATATTTGCACTCCATAGATGATGTTTATGGACAAAACGGACAAGAGCATGGCAAACAAGGAATCTTTTTTTGACGATACCAAATGGAAATATGTCTGGGTCTGGAAAGTTGGAACTTGTAATGCTGGTCTTGCATTTTTCCTGTGAAATCTGTATTGCATGACCAAGATGAACAAAAGTGGTAGCCTCTCATGTCATACAAACACGCAGTTTCTCATGCGGAGTTCGTACGGGAAAGCGTTCTGCAAACTGGTCATGCTTTCCTGCAAAAGGAAGTGTTTTCCTCTTGCGCATTTTAGCATCACAAATTTCCAGACCCAGACAAATTTGCATTTGATAGACGAGGCGGCCATGAAGAAGGAGAAAATTATGGCGCAGTACCATACGGACCAGATGGGAGATATGATGGGAATGGAAAAAATGGAAATGCCGCAGTAAAAATAACAGTTGGAGGTGGGTTCTTGAAACGCGCGGCGGGGGCGGATATTGAAAAAAAGCGAGGGAGACTAAAGCGAAAAGAGGACAGGAGTAGCGCAGCCGCAGGAACAAGAAGCAGTGTCAAAAAATAAAGAGTTTCACGTTCTTTTCTAAACCAAAAATCATATCGTTTTCATCGTACATCTTCTAAATCCTATTACAAATCTCAATGATTTATTTCCGTATCTTGTTATACAATCCTATGTCTCATTCTCTTCTAAACAACAATTCTTGAAATTAAAAAGCAGCTTCACCAATGTCCGTAATTGTGTCATAGTCATCCTCTAGGCGTCCAAAGTAGACAAGTTTCGCATTTTTCATCGTCTTTCATTGACCGCCCGAAAGCCGAGGCGTTTTCCCGTCCGGAGCAGGAGCAGAGACAGTCTGAAGTTTATGTCGTTCTCAGGAAAAACAGCATGCTGTTTTGAAAACTACTTCTATTATTTCATATCAAAATTCATGATTTCCATCTTCAGACCAACTTGCCACTTTGCCTTCGCTACTTTCTTCTCCAACAAATGCGCAAGAAATTCTTGCGTGTTGACATTATCGAAGCTTCTTGTCTTCTGCATGCCCTGGAAGCAAATCACTTGCAAGGCGAAGTAAGTCCTCGAGAACCGTCGAAGCCACTGACAGCTCCAGCAGAAAGCGAGAGGTGATCTGGTTTCTTTCACCAGTATGATAACGCACTGCAGATGAAAAACCAACGAGGCTAAGCAAATGGCGTCGGCCAAAATCTGAAGACTACGGAATTAAAATGAAATGTTGATGACACCAGCCGTCGGAAGTGCTTCGAGCGGTCATGTGGAGTTCTTTAACAGCCGATTGTAATTATCCTGTTCGACTGCTCACAGCTTGCTTCAACGCTTCTCGCCGTAAATGCGTAGCTCAGATGGTGCGTGTTTGTTTTGGTCTTGAAGAAAGTTAAAGATCAGGTGCCCTGCAGCGATCGGATCCTTCGATAGTTGTCGCAGAACGTACAAGAATTTACTTTATCTGACTGTATGAGTTGTAGATGTAGGTGTAGCTACACGTCGTACATCTTAGCAGGAGTTTGTTCACATCCGTGTGTCAAAATCTTTACCGCCGGCGCGTGCTGAAGAACCGACAGTGATTGAAGTGACGGCTTTTACTTTTTTGTCCGAATCAAAAACCGAAATCATGGCGTCCCTCTGCACCTATGTTCTCCTGTTCGGAGTGTCTCTGGCTCTGATTCTGGTTTGCCCCTTTACCAAGACGGAGGAGTCCTTCAACATGCAGGCCATGTACGACTTGTATTACCGAGGGGACGAACTACATAGATACGATCACAAGCTCTTCCAGGGAGTGGTGCCCCGCACCTTTCTCGGCCCGAAATTTGTCCAGGTGTTTCTCTTCCGACCGATGTATCAAAGAAAAAAAGTTCGCCACGATCACTCATGCGCATTTTCGCAATACGAAATTTTCTGTCATGCGTAAAAATGCATCACGGCCACACTTCATAAGGGATTTCCCTAGTGTTTCTGCAATACAAGGACTACAAGCTGTGACGCTAAAAAAATTTGTAATGCAAAACCTGCAAGGTATAGGTAATGACAAACTTTTTTCTCTCCATACAATGGAGTATGTCTTTAGTGACGCTGGTGAAGACCTCAGCGATGCATTTTCCAGTACCTCCTCCGCGGGCACAGCTCCTGGAAAGACTATGGACAGCCACTTTAACAGCAAAATCTCCGGCTTTTCTCTTCTGCTCTCAATCCGCTGCTTCCTCGGTCTCTGCAGCTTGCTCGTGTTTCTCCATCTGGGGCGGAGCTTAGATCGAATTTTAAGGCGGGTGAAGAGCGTTCTGAAAACAACAGCACCCACGGGCGCGGGAGGGAAGCCGTTGCAAATTACCGATACAACCGGAAATAAACTGAGGAACAGCTCAACGACGTCCACAGCAGCTGCAGGTGATCTCAACAAAAGGGAAAGAAACGACAAGACACCTGTCGTCTCAACTCCGGTGAAGACGATCTTTTTTTTATTTCTGCTAACCCAATTTCACCTCATGTTTTACTCCAGCCGGTCGCTGCCAAACACTTTCGCGATGCAACTGTGCGGCTTGGCACTGAGCTACTGGATCCGGAAACACTGCTTCAAGACTGTGTTTTTGGTCACGTTAACCGCCGTCTGTTTCCGCTGCGAGATGGCGTCGATTTGGCTCGCTTTGTTCTTCGACAGTGCGATCAAAACCAGCTCGAGTAACAAGAAAACCCCGCGGACTTACAAGCGGAAATTTTGGTTCGCGACGGTAATTGGGGTTTTAATGGCGTTACCATTGACAGTGTTCGTCGACAGCTTCTATTGGCGGAAAACGGAATACAGTTTGGATCTGTGTCGAGTGGAGATCGATGCAGGGGCGACGAGTACTGGTGCAAGCACAACTACCTCCTCCGCTGGAGGTGCATCTTCTGCGTCCTCTCCCTTCTACACGATCTCTGCGATGAAACGGAATCTGAAACACACCACGACTAGTCTTGCGTTAAAAGTCCGGAAAGCGGCGTGCGATACGAATCATCCGTATTTCCATAAACACACGCTGTTTGGGCGGACCATCCGGAACTTCACCTGGCCGGAATTTTTCGTGTTTTGGTTATGAATGTGCATAACTCCCCCTCATTTGTCATGCAAAACACAAAATCCAGGCTGTGCCTCTTGGCACTGTTTATTGCATGACAAACTCCGGAAGCGGCCCAAATAGCACTGCAATTCTGTTCAAATTTGTCATGCAAAACCTGAATTCTCGCCGGCGCTTGTATGGCCGTTCATGCTATAGCTATACAAATAAGGGGGTGGAGTTGTGCACGCTCATATTGGTTCAACGGGTACGAGAACCGCAGTGGGGAGTACGGGGTGAACTCAAAGCACTGGTACTTCACCAGCGCGCTACCGAAGGCTTTGGGGGCTTTGTTATTGGTTCTGATTGTGGAAATCAACATTCTGATGGTGGTGAGTCAGCGGAACGCCAGCAAGAAGAACCAACAAAGTTCTTTGGAAGGCAAGAAAGCTGCTCTGTCTGCTGGTGCCGAGAGTGGAGGACAAGCGGGTGCTAGTACAACTTCCGGCAGCAAAACGACGAGTAACTCAATCCAGAAAGTGGACACGACTAGCGCAGGAGCATCCGTTGCACCAAGCCCAGTGCACTTCTACATCTTTCTCTTCCGTCTCTGCTGTATCTGGATTCTGACGCCGACTGTTGTGTTGTCCATCCTCCCGCATAAAGAGCTCCGCTTCATTTTCGTCCCCATCCTGGCCTCTGTCGCAGTGTTAGCCGCCCTAGCCGCGGTAAGGAGAGAATCGTGCGCGATAAGCAGTACAACTACTCCTGGAAGTAGATCCTCTTCTTTCCTCAGCCAGAAATTTTTCTACGACTCCTTTCTTCTCTATGGGAGTGTCAGGATTGAAATCGACAGACTTGAAATAACTTGTAATGCATAAAATCGATACCAGTTGGAAGCCCAATTTCCAAGCGGCGCATGACAAATTTTCGGAGCACTGGAATCCAATTTGTCATGCTGTTTGGGCACAGAAGAATGCTTTTGTCATGCTCCTTTAGCAACTCTATCCCAAACCCTAAATAGGCTATACAATACAATCTGCCGCACTTGCCACCCCGGCAAGACAGGCACTTCATGCCTTGCATTTTATGCATGACAAATCATTTCAACTTTGTGGATTTCAAACCTGACGCATCCATATTCTCGTTATCGTAGCGATCCAAGCGGGCATGTTCTACGGGCGGCTAATCGTATCAAATGTAAAAATGTCTGGGTCTGGAAGGTTGCAACTTGTGATGCTGTCTTTGGAAGGTAAAAAAAAATCTGTATTGCATGACCAACAAGAGGGGTGCAGTTTGTGCTACGCGGAGTGGGCGCTTCTCATGCGGAATACGCATCAGAAGGCCCTTCAAAAATCTGTGATTCTCGGCCATGCATTACAGGCATCATGGGTTATGCAAAATATGCATGACAAACCCGGCAATCTTCCAGACCCAGACATTTTCACACTTGACAAATCGCTTCGATCTACAATTACCCCGCCGGCTGGGTTTTGCAGGAGATGCTGACAAACAGGTTTGCGGTAAACGTGCAAAATGTAGCCGCCCCCGGGCCCGTCGCGCTGCCCAGACAAGGAGCGACGGCGACGATGTCGGCGGAAGAGCCGACGCGATCCCTGCCGTTTTTGTCCCTGGACATGTTTTGGTTCGTGCAAAACCTGGAAACGACGCTGAGTTTGGTTTTTCCGTTTTTGCCGGATTTGGTCAGACACGTGGAAACAAATTTCATCCCCGATCGAGACTACTTCAATGCAGTTATGGCTTTGAGTTTGGACTACGGCGAGCAGATATTTCACCGACTCAGCTGGGGAAAAACCAGTAAGACGGAAGCAGAGAAAGCAAGGGAAGTAGCTACAGCTACAGGGGAGAAATCTGCTGCCTCTTCTGGAAGGGACGGAAAACCAAGAAAAGAAACTATTGATTGGAAAGTGCAGGTGACGGAATTTACGGAGAATCTACTGTACGGGCCGAAAAGCAACAAGGGAAAGAAGAAAAGTGGCGCAGAACAAGATAAACCGGCAAAAAGCGTGAAAATCGACTTCCGCACGCTGGAAGAAATGTTAGTGATGGCGGACTATGCATTGCAAAGGTATCGTACTCGTACTAATCGCATTTATGCATTGAATTTTTTTTTGCCAAGTTAAATCCGCATTACAAATTGCATTTCTCATTCTGAGGAAATTTGGCATGCGATTTGTACTAGTACGGAGGTACTTTTTCAGTGCATACGGACGCAGCTGCAACCTCCACCACGACAGCACTACCGGAAGAAAAAAACCGCACGACAAACTCGACCGAGCTTGATGAAAACATAACCACAGCTGGAAAAAAGAAGCCAACCGATAAAAATATCATTACCGAAGACGTGCTCCGCCACTCTCTCCACCTCCACCGGTGGCTCTCCACGGCGAAGAAATTTCTTGCCTCGAAAGTAAACCGAAAACTTTTCAAAACCACTTTGAATAAAGACAGTAGTTTGCAGCAGGTCTCCATTACGCAACTGCTCGTCAGCCCTTTTTTCTTCAAAACCGAGTTCAACGACGAAGCGCTTTTGAAGAACAAAGACCGGCTGAAATTCTTCGATTTCGAGAAGGGGACGGAGCAGGTTTTCCGCCGGTTGGAAAAATTACTTTCTCTCCACTCCACGACGTTTTCCCGGACCGATTTGCAGGACACGGATGAATATGCATGGCAAAAGTATCGTACTCGTAATAATCGCATTCATGCATTGCAAATATCTTTCTCGAGTTAGATCCGCATTACAAATTTCATTTCTCATGCTGAGGAAATTTGTCATGCGATTTATACTAGTACGATGCTTTTGCAGTGCTGGCACTGCATAATGAAAGTGCAGTGACTGTCCTTGCCCCGAATCGCATCCCGTTGCACTTACATCTCGACCGTCTTGCGGTGAATTCCGGCATCACCCAGTACATCACTCGGAGTTTCTATCGCAAGAAAAAAACTGTGTAACTGTAACTTTGTGTTGCAGAAAATGCAAAACTGTTACGCTTGTCATGCTGGACATGCGTCAGAGGCTATTTTCGTACGTGTTTATTTCAAGTACAAGTTTACGCAACATGACAGGTTGTTTCATGCAGAGCAAACTTGTGATGCTATTCCTCCAAGAAGCACAATTACACAGTTTTTTTCTTGCATAGTTTCGCCGCCGTCACGAAGGAGGTTTTGCCGATTATGCATTGCAAAAGTATCGTACTAGCATATAGTCGCAGGACAAATTGAAATTTCCTCCGCGTGAGAAATAAAATTTGTAATGCGGATTTACCTTGAGAATGAGAGTTGTAATGCGTGAATGCGATTAGTACGAGTACGATACTTTTGCACAGGATACCGATGGAGCGGAAGCAAAAGTCGAACTTGCCGGACATCATAATCGGGGAGTACGACGCGACGGCGAACACGGAAAGCCAGAAAAGCTTCGAGAAATTGCTGGAAAAGGGGAAGTATGAGGTCGTAGACGTGCACTACCAGTTTGCGCGGATGCGGTATAAGGAACTTGTGGTGGAGTTGGTGCCGACGTTGTACACGTTCGTGAAGGGGCTTGAGGAGTAAAACGAATATAAAACTGCCGTAAAGTAGGGGGTTCGTGAAGAACTTCATTTAATCAACTTATCCGCTGTACAACTGGTAAAGAACTACATACCACGTTCAGCTCCTTCCAAGAACATTTGCTGACTGGAGCGCTTGCCAAAAGACCATAAGTTCAAGAACATTTAATTCGCGCGTGCGTCACACTTGAGGTGTAAGTGCATGCATTTTCAAAGTCAGATGCTGTCAAGACGCCCCTGGCGTGAGGTAAATCGCTAGTACCTCGAGGAGGCAGAACGCCAGGTGTGCCTCCTGTGATTGGTACACGCACCACCAGCTGTGTTTATTGCGTCATTTTTTGTGGCTCCAAACATGGCGATCATGCACGCATGCACCGAGGAGCTTCGCGAGCAAGAGAGAATTTGTCGTGTCTGTGGCGTTTCGGGTCGTTTTCAACGTCTTTTTACGAAACAAGTCGAAGTTGCGATCTATGCAGTAGAGTCGTCGCACTCGTGTGAGAGAGTCGATGACGCTGTTTGCTTGCTTGCTTGCAAATCTATTCTTTGTCTTTCGTTGCACCAAATTTCCTTGTCGTGCTCGGTTTATGGTTGTTTCAACATCCTTCACATTCACAAACAGAAAATTTAACTGATCGGAGATTTAGAGCAGTGACTCGTGACTGCAAACAAGTTTTAGTGAAGAAGAGCTTAGTACTCCTGTACCTCCTCGAAGAGTCCAGGAGATCGAAGTAGTTCCTTTTTCTATTTTATCTGTTGAATGCACAAACGTATTCATGACTCTTCGATGTTCATGTATCAGAAACTTTGCTAATTTGCGAGGAATAACAAAGAAAAATGCAGCAGTGCGTGCTGTTAATGTTTACACTTCTGAACGTAAACGTAAACTACGCCTGAATCAAGTACAAGAAGAGCCGACCACGGGCGGAACCAGGACAAGTGTGGTAAACCGAAATCCGCAATAGTATGTAGTGAGGTCACCGAACGGTTCTAACCAGGGAGTTTTTTTGACACCCAGACAGCAAAACGGCCGTCAGTTTTCAAGCGGCCGGAAGCGTTTTTTGACATAAAAAATTTCCAATTATCAAGCGGGCGGGGCTTTGAAGTCAAACAAGCCCGGTCGAAAACTATCGATTCGCACTTGATAAAACGACGCAGGGGAGCCGGCAAAAGGGGCGCCCTTCTGAGGCGCCCGCCGCCTTGATTTCTGGCGGTTTGGGCCGCCAAAAAAGGGGCGCGCAAAAAACTCGCCCAAAATCAGAACAGCGAAACAGCATGGCACGGCCGCGATTTCGGAGCATTTTGGGCGGCCGCGAAAGCGGCCGCCTTTTCGCCGGTTTCAGAGCCTGGGAGGCTTTGCAAAAAGCGCCGGCGAGAAAAATAAAGACGCAAAAAAGAAAAAGCGCGCCAGACGCGCAGAGCCAATCCGCATGCTACGGGCCCGATTTTTCGTCGCTTTTTGGACGCCCCCCGTGGCGCCCGGATCGGCCCCATAGCATGGGGACTGGCTTTCGGAAAGGAATTTCGGAAATTTGCCAAAATTTGCGACGCTTACCAAGCGGCCGCCATACCGTGCGGCCTAACGTTACTCACGGCGGTATGGCGAGCCCAGAAAAAGCAAAGCCGCGGCCAAGGCGACGGCCGGCAAGAAAACGCCCACGACCTCACTACCCCCGCCCCGGCGGCTATATTTGGTACAGGAAAAATAACGTGCAGCTTTTGATCTCCTCCGCCTTTTCTTGCCTCCGGGTTTAGGCGAAATACCACTCTTCAGGGACCAGCAGCACAATAAAATCTGAACCACGACGAGGTCACAAAAAGGAGGCAAGCCTACCTGTAGCTGTACACGGCGTGCTGGTCTTCAAGAACCCAGTAGCAGTAGGAGCGGCGCCGTAGGAGACCAACCTCATTTCTTCGTAGGAGCAGCTCATAAGTAGCAGTCGGGTGCTGTCTTGCTGCCTAACAGTTGTCACTGCTGCTTCTTCACCAGAGCAAGAAACAAAAACCGACCATGACGATGTCCCAGCGCACGACGAAGCTGACCGTGCTGTCCCAGTGCGAATCCGCACCGAGAATATCGATAAAAGGAAGATTATCACACCAAAAAGTGTTAACGTTAACGGAATTTGGCATGCAGGAATGCACGAGAAATGATGCCCAAATTTGTATTGCATAGCATGCACAATAGCGAAAATTTAACACGCATGAGTGCAATGCCCCAAAACCGTTCACGTTAGAACTTTTTTGCTTGATAAAGATGGAAGGACAGCAAGAAAGACGCGGAAGGACCGGGGCCAGGAGCGTACTATTTGTGACTATTGGAAGATGAACGTATCTTGCAAAACATAAGTAAACACATCATATGCCTTTTACCTGAAATGCAAATGTCTACGGTAAGATGCGACATTTTTTTCTGTAATGGTCATGGTCAAGAAACACAGCAAACAGAAATACAAATCCCGCAATGACAAAACTAAAACTATCAGGTACACCCCCCAGCCCGAGAAAATAAAATACCCCTCAAAGTCCGCACAAATCCAAGGCCGGTACTCCACACGCAGCAACACGCTCGGGCCAGGTCCCGGACAGTACTACCAGGGTGACAAGACCCTCGGTGGCAGCCAATTCAGCTTCGGATCGTCGAAACGGCTCTCCGGGAGACTGCACCATCAATCACCTGGTCCGGGGAGCTACGCAGTAAAGGGTCTGAGCAAGGGACCAAGTGTCAAACTGGGGGAGAGAGGACGTACGTGTGTTGATTCGTGATTATGTGTAGGAATGTGTATGTGAATTTGTGTTGCAGTGTGTGGTGCATGATCTGCATGACGACAGCAGGTGCTTTATAGGCTGCCTAGTGTACTAACAAGTACCATGGCATCAAAGCATAAACACTATCAGGCTCTTCTCTCGGAACTGTCGGCGGCCCAGGTCCGGGTACTTACATACCAACGGTGGCGAACAACCAGATCTTCGAGTCAGCACCGCAAGTTGGGTTTGGCACGTCGGTGAGATCATTGGTGAACAAAATGAAATCCCCGGGGCCAGGACAGTATTAATTTGATGAGTTGTTTTGATTTTTCGCGTGAAGGATTTTTGCTTCGGAAGAACAAGAATGTTTTCGCATGCACGACGACGAACTTATATGGAATGGCAGTCGTCGGTGTTGTCGCACTCGCACTACTAACTTCTTTTGCAATTATACAAATTTTCCGTAAAAAAACATTGAAATTCTCAGCTACGGCAAGAACATCGGTTTCGAGTCCACCGCACCGAAATACAGCATGAAAGCCCGATACGACAAGAAGTCTACGGGGATAAGTTTGACGCCCGGCCTATGAACTGCAAAAGTATCGTACTCGTATAAATGCATGACAAATTCCCTCAGCATGAGGAATGAAATTTGTAATGCGGATTTACCTTGAGGAAAAAACTTGTAATGCATGAGTGCAATTACTACGACTACGATACTTTTGCACAGGATACGGCCCTGGGACAACATTAGGGACGATATCGAGCTTTGGATAGAGCAAGAACGATATCCAGCTTCGGGATATTGCCGTGCTGCACTCTTTTTCTTGCTGTTGCTCTTGCCGGTCGTGTCCTCAAACTAGGAAGTAGAATCCGAACAAAATGAACACAACTGAGCTGTCGTGCAGCGATTCATCATGTACTTTAGATGCAGCTTTTTCAAATGCGCGCTTGATATGCTGGAAATTGTAAAAACCCAACACGTAGTTGCAAGTACTAGGAACGGACTGTAACTGCATTTTCTGGTGCGTATATGCTAGAAATGAGAGCAGGTGGACAGCATCTTCGCAGACGATGAAATCTAGTACCTCTAATCTGAACAATTGATGAGGCGGCCGCGCCAGAAGTAGATTGTCTTCGCGCCGCAACGTAAGATAGAGAAGCACGTTCCGCTAGAAGATCACCTCTGTTTCTCATTCCAAACCACGGTGGTAGGTGTTCTGCATCGGAAATTGAACTTTGTCAACAAGATCAAGAAAAAAGTGAAATACCAAAACGCTTCATCGGTCAGAGCCAGCTGTTGTACAATTGCAAAGCGAAAAATCACAAAAGGATCCCTTATTTCTCTGCGCGAAAGGAAATCTACTTTTGTCAGATCAAATTCAAAGCGGTGGAGAATGTCTTGTTGCAAGCTGGAATTTGGTTCAGGATCTCTTCGTCGTAACGAAATGAGCCAGGACCTAGATTTTGGAGGTAGTTGTCCCTTGTGCAGCTTTTAGTTGCGAACACCAGAACTAACAGCAAGATAAACAGCGAGCACCCGCCGATAAAGTTTTCTCATATCGTACCTTCTGCGACAAATTCGATTAGTCAAAAAAGTTGTTCTACCCAGCACCTGTAAACCATTCCATACTTAGTTTGTTTCCTGACTAGATTATACCTCACCCAACATCAAAATGATCGAGATTATCCTGAACGACCGAATCGGGAAGAAAATTCGGGTAAAGTGCAACCCCGACGACACCATTGGCGACATCAAGAAGCTGGTCGCCGCACAGTCCGGTGTCAGGCCAGAGAAGATCAGGCTGCAAAAGTGGTACCAGATCTACAAGGACCACATCACGCTCCAGGACTACGAAATCAAGGACGGCATGGGCATTGAGTTGTATTACAACTAGATCGACGACATCTTCATCGAGGGCTGTTATGATTTCTGCACTTCAAGCGACGAAGTTGTACCTTTGATGTAGTTGTATGAATATCACTCAGCATACGCACGGATATCAGGAGCCCGAGCCGGCGATTTGATTGCGTCGATTAAAACCTTCGCTTAATATCGGCATGTAGCAACTACGAACATAGCGAACAAATCAAGAAAAAGCGCTATCAGCGTTTTCTTGTCCAGCGAGAAACCATGGACGGAATTGGAATTCCATTCTATCTAATTTGCGTTTGTAGTAAGCCCAACAAACTCGCAGTGATGTGTTCAAGTGTAGTTGGCAAACGCCTATTTTCGAATGAGCCAAATCGTGCTAATGATCGTTATCGTCAATAATTTTTTTTCATTCTTGGCACGGTTTTCAATGTGCTTTTCTCATGATATAGATCTTCAAAGCGGGGCTTAGTTTTTTTTCAATCGTTCTCGTTTCGCAAAAATCGCAGCTATCGTTGTGTTGTGTTTTAGAAGGTTAGAGGACTCGACAGAGAGAGCAACACCGAGGGAATAGTGCGGGATGGATTATCGTTTCGGTTCTTCTACCTTTTTTTTTTCTCAGGTTTGGAAGATGCGGATTTATGAAGCTACCACTGCTTACAAAAACAAAGTTTTACCGCCTGGCTTCGCAGTATAGAAAGGAGTTCAAGTTGTGCAAGATTCAGTCAGGATACGAATGTGACCCTGGGTCACCTCGTGTCTTGTTCACTGCAGTCACTTATCTTCGCATCAAAACTTTCTGCTCATACGATTACGATTCAAATAAGCACACCTATTTTCCATTCCTGTGCAAAACGGAACTTGTATTAAAACACAATGCCATCTTCGCCTGCGAGACCGCGGGCCGTGGCCGCCACTAGTTCTGCAGCAGCATTGCTAGCAGCTCCGAAGCAATTCAAATTTGAAGAGTTTTCCGCGGAACAAGATCAGCAACTCGGTAAGAAGCGAGCAAAGAAACAACATAGAGAGCAGCAGCTTCCGAAGCAGCAGGCGAAAAAGCAAGAATCGCTGCTGCCGGCGGAGGACGAAGATTTATTTGATGCGGGTCGAGAAGGTAAACTAAATGTCGAACAACAAGAAGAACTTCTCTCCGATTTCGACGACGACGAGTGCTCTTCTGATGCTTCTGATGAAGACTCCTCCTCTTCCTCTTCCGCCGCGGCCAAAAATCCCGTGCTGGACCAGTGGTTTTCCGAGGAAAATCCGTCCTTCGGGGGCAAGCGGGATTTTGTGCCAGGCGACAGTAATAAGGAGGAAGTAGTTTTCGAAATCTCCGACCCCACCGCAGCGGAGGAACTTCTGAACATCACAAGTAGGCACGAATACAGGAAAGTCGGGGAAGCAGGAAGCAGTAGTAGTAGTAGTGGCGACAGGAAGGACAAGAAAACCGAAAACAAGAACGACTGGGCGAATCACAAGCTGATCACGGGGAAAAAGAACATCAAAATGTCGGCAAGGGTCTTCATATCAAATGAAAAAGTGTCGTACAACTCGTACTAATCGTGATCATGACAGAACTGGTTTCTGAAGCAATATATTGAAGACCGTAACAAATTCCATTTGTCATGCTGCGATAGTGTGTAAAAATGTAGTGTACTACGTGCAATTAGTGGTACGATAGTACTTTTGCAATGCATACTTCAATCAGCTGCTCGAACACCAGATCCAAGCGACAACCTGGATGCTTGCGCTGTTGCAAGAGAATCAGGGCGGCATCCTCGCCGACGAGATGGGTATGGGCAAGACCGCATCTATTTGCGGTTACCTCCACGCCCTCCGACAGTCCAACATCCACAGCAAACACGTGCTAATCCTCGCCCCGAAATCCGTGCTGCCGATTTGGCTGGACCACGCGAAGTGGCTGCTGCCCGAGTGGAAAACGGTTGTCGAAGCGGCGGATACCGACCAAATTCAGACCAAGAAAACGCGGGACCGGGTCGCGGAGATCACGCGGTCGGTGTCGGGGGGAATTTTGATCGCCAGCTACGACCAGCTGGTCCGCAACTCGCCGCTCTTCAAGTACATCGCGTACGATTCTGCTTTGGACGACAACGTGATGAACCAGCACAACCAGACGGAGTTCCGCAACGCGAGCGCGTTCAACAAATTGGAAACCGTGGAGGACAAGGCGTTTCACAACCAGCCGAAGGTGGTGGTGGAAGTGGAGGAGGGCGGGGAGGAAAACGAGGAGCAGGGTGGGACGATCGGCGGGAGGTTGGTCATGCGGAAGAAGAATGAGCAGAAGATGAAGAAGCGGAAGCTTGTCACGCGGAAGGAGTGGGATTTGGTGGTATGATGGATTTGTCGTAGAAGTTTACGGCTTTGTCGTCCTGATAGTGATGCAACATGCATCCAATGGGATTGGATTCATGCATAATTTGTTGCAGCAATTGATGTTCATCGTTAAGATGTTGATGATGCTATGTGAAACTTTTTCTTCTACGTCGTCATCGGCAAACAAAACATGCCTTCTAAACTCCACCAGGTACTCGACGAGGGGCACGTGCTGAAGAACCCGCGCACCGCCAAACACTCCGCCGTCGCCTCCATCAAGGCAAAACAGAGAATAATGTGCTCTGGCACCCCTCTGCAGAACAAACTCACCGAACTGCATTCGCTCTTGTCTCTCGTGACCGAGGGCGCCGTGGTCGGCAGCCAAGCTGATTTTAATCGGCGCTTCCGTAAGCCGATGGAGAAGGGCTCGCTAGCGGACTCGACGGAGGAAGAGATCGAGGCGAAAACCAAGGCGGCCAAGCGGTTCAAGGAGGAGTTTTATGGCGTAGTCAAATGTTACATTCTCAACTGGTACTTACATGATTTGTCATGCAAAAACACTATCACTCTTAACGCTATCAAGCCTTCTCCGCATGACAACTTCTCGACGCGCTAGATAGCATTATAATAAATATGCTCCAAACCTGTAATGCAAAAGGCGCAACGTTTTCCCTTTCACTTTTGCCATTCTTGCATTACAAATTTTATGTAACAGTTGAGAATGTCACGTTTGAGAGAGCCATAAGTTTCTGAAGTCGTTTGTGATGCGGCGCAAGAAGGACAGCATCGAGAAGGACATTCCAACGGGGTTTGTCAAGCGCGAGTTGGAGTACAAGGCCGGCAAGGACCTGCTGGAGGGACACTTGTCGCAAGAGGATCCACAACTTCATGGAGGTGGTGCCGGTGGAAAGCTGAATGCTGATGCAACCTCTGGCGCTTCTGCTTCCGCGACCTCCTCTTCCTCTGCCGCGGTGAATTCAGTTGTCAAGATGAAAGTGGAAGTTCCGTCCTTGGATGCGAAAAAGACCGAGGTAGTTCTTTTGCTTGAAGGTTTTGGTATATTCCGAGCAACATTTTGATGATGGGACGATGCCATGCATGATGCAGCTAGTACTTCTACTGCGTGACGTCCTTGATGTATGTCTGGTGTGTGGTTGCAATGAAAAACAAGATGTTTTACTCATAGTTTTTTACTCATCACAACTTGTCGAGATCCTCGTGTGGTGCCCGGTGGTCAAGGACTCCATTCAGGAGAAGATGTACAAAAAAGCTCTCAATACCCGGGATATGCGGCGGCTGTTGCGGGAATTGCAACAACAGGGGGAGTTTGGGGAGAACTGGAAGAACGGAAACGCATTGGCGCAGATTGCTAAGCTGAAGCTGCTCTCCAACCACGCAGTGCTGGGACTGAGGAAGCGCGACCAGGTGCAACTTAGATAGGACTTTTCTTCTTACAGGCTGGCGCGGTCGCCTTCCTGTTATTTGTCGCACAGTCAGCAGTAGACGCTGGGTGAGGATGTTTTGCGGAGTTGCAAAGTAAAATGCCGTTACTTGCCAAAACACTTACTCAGAAATGGAACACGGAACTGGGCCCGGATGACGAACTCGACGAGGATAAGCTGGATCAATCCCCAGAGGGCATTGTCGAGTCCAGCAGCAAGTTTCAGGTGATTCTCCATCTGGTCCAACAGTGGCGGAAAAACCGCGAGAAGTTCGTTATCTTCTCGAGCTCAACACAGATGTTAAACTTGCTGGAATACGCCATTTTCGAGCCCCGGAACTACAACGTCCTGCGCCTCGACGGCAGTACAACATCGCGGGAACGGAAGGACGCGATCCGGAGTTTCCAGGACGAGAAGACGAATCGGTTGATCAACGGAATGCTGCTGTCTACGCGCGCGATGGGTCAGGGGGTGACCCTTACTGCTGCCTCGAAGTGTATTATCGTCGACCCGGACTGGAACCCGACGGCGGATGAACAGGCGATGGATCGCATTCACAGAATCGGACAAGACCAGGACGTCGAAGTCTTCCGGTTGTTCACCAAGAGTTTCATCGAGGAGCACATGTGGTGTTTGCAAACCATGAAACGGATCATCACCAAGTCCGCCTTCGAAAGTGAGGAACAAAAAAGGTATATTTGTGGTGCCTTGCTGGGAGAAAGAGAATTGTAATGAGGTTAGATGCAGCCGGTTCATCTGGGTAATCAGAATGTCAGGCTCCTCTTGTCATGCGTGATAGAAAACCGTTACCGTAAAAATTGAAAAACGCTATCAGGTTAATCGCCCAGGCGGATCTGAAGAAGTGCTTCACACTCGGCCGGGAACCAGCCGCCCACACCTACTGCGAACTGCTGGCGAAAGACGACGGAGTCGCGAAGTCGTTCGCAACGGCGAAAAAATCCGACGAGACCAGCCTGCTGAAGAAGTGTCTGCTCAGCAACGGGAACACGGTGCTGGACGTGATCAAAAATTCTCCGGACGACGTGGACTTTGGCGACTTGGAAGAGGACGGCAGTGACGAAGAGGAGAGTGAGGACGAGGACAGCTTTTTGCAGCAGGGGGCGAAGAAAAGGAGGATCGGGATGTAGAGGCATAGACGAGCTGTACGTTGTTTCCGGAAAGGCTAGAGTGGTTGCGACTTAAACTACACAAAAAATTCGCGAAGTGCAGTGCACCTCGACCTCCCTCGTAGCAGATCTCTTATCGTTTCGCAACATCAACATCCTGATGTCCCTGGAACTGAAATTAAGCGCTTAGCACGTTTATTGTAGCTTGTCCATCTGGGAGGTCTGAGAACTGTGCTTTGTTTATGTAACTCAATCAATTCGATCACTCTGATCCGCTTTTCCACGACGGGCGACTCTGGTTTACCAGGCCATTTCGGTGTCATCAATGAATCTCGAAAGAACTTGATTTGTCAAAAAAAATTTTCATCGTGAAGGTCTCCTTGTAAAACTGCTTCCAGAAAAAAACGGTTCCCCAGCATCCAGACTTGTATTGTAGCAGTAGCAGAGCAAATTATTTACTTAGATTTACTGAAAGTATTGTAAAAGAAGCAGAGCTGCAAGTTAAAAAAGCTTTCGAGAACTACTCCATTCTGAACTACTTGATGACCTCTTCATGTAAGATTTTAGCTTTGATCTCTTTGTTATCCCACCCTGTCTCGCTTTCGAAACGATGAATGTACTAGAAACAAACCACAGAGAAAAACAGTCCCTTCCGGTGGCGCGAAATTCTCAACGTCGATTTCACTCTTACAGGCAATTAAATTTTCCGGGGTTCCTTTGTTCGCCAAAGACGAAGATGGTCGACGATCATTGACATAGCATTTCCGTGCGAGGTCAAAAGCTGGCTGATGTTTAAATCTGTTCTTTTCCAGCGTCAGAGTTTGTCTTCAGAAATGAAAAGGCCGAGTGATTCATAACAGTATTTTCCGGGAGGTCGTAAAAATACCCTGCCTCCTTGAGCGTGATGGATTTGCGTGTGCTCTATGATGCTGAGTAGATAAAAAAAAAATATTGTGAGCGGATCACTGAGAAGTTGGAGCAGCTACATGTACGTGACGTTGCAGCACGGTGTAGTGGCGCTTTGAGATTGAGAAATGAATCATAAGCATCAACGATTATTACACTAACGCATGGTAGCCAATTAATTTTACGTAGCTATAATGAATCTGGTTGTCAAGAAGAAGAACAAGATGGGGCCGGGCGTTCGCGACTCCGTAGCGTTGTTGCTGGCAGCATGTCCTGGATTTTCTGCCGCCGGCGCGCGCACGGTGGGGGTCGGGCCCTGAGGGCGGGCGCCGCCCGGCGTTCGGCCTTTCGTTTTCGTTTGCTTGGTTCTTGTCCGTCGAGCTGCACTCCGCGGGCCTTGCTTGGTCCTACCCGTCGACGCGGCACACAGGCGAAGCTTCGGAGGAGCATGCGGCGGGCGGCCGGGTCCTAGATGGTGCAGCCAGCCTTGGAAGCGGGTGCGTTCGCAATGCTGGCCGACGCTTCAGCGCAGGTTCGGAAAATTCACTGAATGCGCGACCCATAGACGCAATGCCCTTAAAAACTCTGCTGCGCAGGCGCCCTCCGTGCAGCCGTCTAGCACTTCGGGGAGCTTGGGAAAAAAGTGCGCCGGCACCTATCAGAACGCGCAGGGCGGAGGGGCTCCCTCAGGCTCGAGCCCCACCGCCCTCAACAACGTGTCGCATCTGCCGAGCTTTGTGAAGTATGGGGGGCCCTATGGGAACATGCAAAGCGGAAGGTCGTCCAGCTCGACCGCCTTCCAGAACCTGGCCAATTCGGCCGTGGGGCCTGCGTCCAGCTCCAGCAGGCTGGGGCGCGCTGTGGCAGCCAGTTCGGCGATCTGGATGGATCTTTGACAGCAGAACAAGGGCGCGCGCCGCTTCAATCACGCGCCCGCGTGGCGCCCCCCCCCCCTCCGGGCGAGAGAGTTGCGCGCCCCGCCGCGCGCATTGGCTTGGTTAGCTTTGACCTAGGGGGCCGGCCCTCGTTTCGGGTTGGCCGGCTCGCTGGTTTGGCAGAGGCAGCGCTGCCGCTGTCCGAAGGTGCTTGCAGCCACTGCCGCCCCCCTCTTGATTTGGTTCCCAGCCTGACGCCCGCTACCATGGCCCCGGCCCGCGCGAGGCGTTTGGGCTCAGTCTGCGTGCCTGCCGCGCCCGCGGGGGCGGACGGGGGCAGTCGGACCGACGCGCCGTCTGGTGCAGCAATGTATGTCGCAATGGGGGGCGTGGATCCTGCGATAGTACCGACCCGCAGCGCCGGCCGCACGCGGCAGTGCAACTGCGTACCCGTTTGGCGTAGGCAGGGCATGGCGACACTATCGCCAGGCGTGATTTGGGCCTTGTCCACTCTCGGCCGAGCCTGTCTGTTTGCAGTCCGATTTGAAAGTCTAGTGTCCCGCCGAGCCTGTCTGTTTGCAGTCCGATTGGGTCGCCGGACGGCGATTGCGATGTTCTTGCACGAGTAACGAAATCACGAGCACACGTCGTAATGAGTGCCTGAGGACGAGGTTGTGTGGAGCGACGGCGACAACTCACTGTCCGACTTTGTATTCTCCCTGCGGTTCTTGCGAGTGCGACGTCGCCAGGCAATATCACGTATAAAGTGTTTCATTATAACGCAGTGGGTATTTCGTTTTCTACGCGCTCATCGTCATCCGGCGCAAGTCTGCTCTAAATTTTTGAAAGACACCAGAAATGGTCGACCTTCTCACCGCCACCGGCGCGGTGGTGGGTTCCACCCTGCTGGGCGGCGCGGGGTCCCTGTGGGAATACAACCAGGGCATCTGGCAGTTCGACAAGGCGCAGCGGCAGAACCAGGTCCACCAGCTGCAGAACATGCGGTGCACGCAGGCCGGTATGTTCCGCGAAGACATCCGAGATCTCTTCGGTTTAACCATCGCGAAAATGGACAGCTACTTGACCGTGAACACACTGCAATATGCCTTGCAAAAGTATCATCCTAGTAGAAACGCGCATGACGAATTTGCTCAGCATGACAAATGGAAACTGTCATGCAGATTTAGCTTGGAAAGGAGATTTGTCTTGCATGATTGCGATTCACACGAGTGCGATGCTTTTGCAATGGATATACAACTCGGGTTCGCGATCAACCTCTTCTACGACAACGAGTTGTTCAAAGTCGCCCCTTATGTATTGCAAAAATGTCTGGGTCTGGAAGAATGCAACTTGTGATGCTATTTTTGGAATCCAAAAAAGTCTGTATTGCATGAGCAGCAAGAGTTTTTTTGCTCCGCGGAGAGGGGATTTCTCATGCGGGATAGGCATCAAGATGCCCGCAAAGAATTTGTGATGCTGGGGCATACATCACAGACGTCACGGGTCATGCAAAATGTGCATGACAAACCTTGCCATCTCTCAGACCCAGACATTTTTGCATTTCATACCCCGACCTGGATTTTCGCCCTTTACGCCCTGTCCGTCGGAGCGTCGGTTTTGTTCTTCGTGCTCTCTATGTGGTACTCGGTTTACGCCTCGATTGCCGCCCAGTCCTGCACGGTCCGGTGCTTGACGCAAGCGCTCCGCGTTCCGATTCCCCGGGTGGAAGAGTACGCGCACGCGCGGGCGTATGCGACAGACTACGAATCCGAGGTGGCGACGGCGTTTCGGCTGCCGTTTCTGCAGAAGCACCGGGCGGGGAGGAGGAAGCCGCTGTTGCATATCCAGGAAAAAACACCCATCCCCATCCAATTTTTCGTGCAAAACATGCACCATAAAATCCACTACTTGCCATGCAAATAATGGATGGGGATGGGTGTTTTTTCCTGGATATTGCAGGTCTTCACAGATATGGTGTTTGGAGGGGGAAAAGATCAAGATGGTGAAAGTCAAAACGGAAGTAGTAAAGCTACGAATTCCACCCAGCAGCACGTCAAAACCGGAGACGGAACATCAAATGGTAAAAATGGAAAAAATAGTACCATGACAAGTAGATTTAAAAACCTCTTGTCGCCAAAATCTACCCGTTCTACTTCAAAACCACCGGCAGAGGGGGACCGGTTTGTCCTTCAGTCCCAACTCTCCATACCCCAACTGTGCGCTTCGGACGCGGGGTTCGCACGGGCGGTGGAAGTGGACAAAGAGATTCTGGGACAAGAGGAAAGTGAGGATGACGACGATAGAGATTCTGACGCCGACCTCCTCGAAGACTCGCCGGTGTCGTCCCCAAATGACCAAAATCGACGTCCCGATCATCTCACGAAAGACGAAGACGGCGGCCCGGCAAAGATCGCAGTGAGTGAAAGGCCGTTTCAACAGCAAGGGATGGTGAACAATAAAGCGACAAGATTCGAGACCACCGAGGGTCATGACAACTCTTCAGATATTAACCACCAGAAGATGAAGACCAAATCTCTACAACTTCGCCGGAGCAACACGACCAAGCGAATCCAGAATCGGAATAATAGTAATTTCCACTTTCACTACTTCGACGAGTTCCAAGACCGGTGGCGCGGCTTCGACACGTTAGCGCGAATCTTGATGGGGATGGGAACGTATATCCAATGCAAAAGCAAGCATCGTACAACTCGTACTAATTGCAGTGCAGCATGACAGATCTAGCTTCTTAGCTAGTTTAGCATATACAAATTGATTCACCTTTTCCTTCTGTGAAAATTGAAATTCGTATATGCTATTTCTACTAGTACTAGCTAGGTAGTACAATGCTTTTCCAATGCATAACGTATCACTTACTACAATCAACCGTGTACTACGCGTTAGGTTGGGTGGTTTTCTACAAAAACGAGTATTTGGGCGGATTGATCTACATGGTGTTGCTTACCACGGTGCAATACTTGTTAACGAAGCTGGAACTGTATTTGAGAAAGTGGGAGGAAGTGAAAATGTTTCTGCTCATCGTCGTTCCACCGGCCTTGAGTTTCCTCATCGTCATTCTCGCCCACAACGACAATGCGGCGAACAGCACCAATAGTAACCGGGACAGCAAGGAAATTTCCGATGCGGAAAAGTATCTAACCCCGCTCGTGTTTCTCGCACATTTGATGTACTACAAGGAGCTACTGTGGCTGTCTCCCGCGTTCGGATCGCCCTCGACGAACAATTTTATCAACTGCAAATAAAGTATCGTACGTAGTAGTAATTGCAATACAAATTATCTCAGCGTGACAAATGGAATTTGTCATGCTGTTTTGCCTTGGGATGGGGATTTGTAATGCATAACTGCAATTAGTACGAGTGCGATACTTTTTGCACAGGATAAATTTCCGCGCGACGCAATTCACGGAATTTCTGACCAGCTCGGCGTCGACGTTAGTGAAGGAAAAACAGACCACTTTGGATTTGTTTGATAAAAGCGAGGAGATGCTGTTACACGAGATTGTTGAGGAAGATCCGGACGAGATGACGGCTTCTAAACAAGGTGGACGCAGCAAGAGCCCGCTCACAATGGGCGGGCTGGGAAGCCGCGGTCATTCTGGGTCCTCTGAGGTGCTCGGTGACGGAACAATTGCGGGTGGGAATACAAGTGGTATTGGCAGTAGTTCTAGAAACTTTGTTGACCAGCAGGCTGTGGGCCTCCACGGTGAAAACAGTAGAGCAAAGGGAGTTACCTTCCAGGAGGAGTCCTCCGGGACAAAAGGTCCCGCAGGGCGAGCTGCATCTGCCACTGCTTCATCCGGAAGATCTTCTGTCACTGCAAGAAGTTCCACAGAGCTCTTTCCCGGGCAAGAGGAACTCGAGCTGCGACTCGCATCCCTGCTCCAACTCTTCAATAGCGAATATGTGACGGCGCAGCTCGACGAAATTCGCTTGTCAGTCGTGGAGCAAGTGACCGACTCGTTCGCGAAGGCGCAGCAACTCTTGAACACAGTGGAACGGTTGAGGGAAAGCCGGAAGAAAAATAAAGCCGTAGTTGCAACTTTATTTACTACAACAGCCGGGATCTTCGGGAACAAGAACAACACTTCTAAAGCCAAAAAGCTAAAAATCGAGAAGAACCGGGCCTACGTCGAGCTTTTCTACTACTCCGACCGGGGAATCCCCTTGCCGTACTACGTGAATATCCCGTGCAAAAGTATCGTACTCGTACTAATCGCATTCATGCATTACAAATGTCTTTCTCAAGTTCAATACGCATATACAAATTTTATTTCTCATGCTGAGGCAATTTGTATTGCGATTTATACAAGTGCGATACTTTTGCACCGCATAGTGAATCCAGTGTTACAACAAACCACCTGGGACAAACCCTTGGACTACAAGCCACCCAATTTGTTCACTTTGCAGCGCGCCGGGAATTTCTTTGCCAAGGCGGTCAGGAACGGGATGGAAAAGGAGGAGGTTATTTTGAGTACAACTACTCATGTCCGTGATCAAGATCATGCGGGGGACCCCCACGACGACGGCATCAATAGCGCTGAAGCTGGACCACACCATAGCGAAGCCGAAGAGGGCGGCACCGGAGCAGGAGGTAGTGCGGTATCCTGTGCAAAAGTATCGTACTCGTATTGCAATCATGCACTACAAATCTTGTTCTTAAGGTAAATTAGCATTTACAAATTTTATTTCTCATGCTGAGGAAATTTGTAATGCATTTATACGAGTGCGTACTTTTGCAATGCATATGCGGAATACAGGAACAACAACACTGCCGGCGGTACTACAAACGTGGCTGGTACAAGTACAACCACGAGAGAAGATTTGCTAGACGATGTGAACACGACTGAGCGGAATGTAGTACTCGCTGCAGACGCTGTGAACATCCAAATCACGACCGCTCAAGAAGAACATCGGACGACTTCTTCCACCGTTAAAAATCAGGGCGAAAAAACGTTGACGAAAGCCAAATCCCGATCCATCGTGCGATTCGGCAGCTCTGTTTTCGACGGGACAAACCACTACCTTCACGACGACATGTATGGAACTGCCAGAATCGAAATCGTCAAAATCGAAATGATTTGTGATGCATAAAATCGATACGAGTTGGAGCCTCAGTTTCCAAGTGGCGCATGACAAATTTCGGGAGCACCAAAATCCACTCTGTCGCGCTGTTTGGGCAAAGAAGACTGCTCCTGTCATGCTACTCTGGCAGCACATCGTCTTCCCCGAAGCAGGCTTAGAATCGGTCTCATTTGCCTGCGCCCCAGCACAGACCTTGCGCGCCCTACATTTTATGCATATGCAAGTTTTTCGATTTTGTCGATTTCGATCCTGACACTCCCATAACATGTACGACGGTGCGAGCGCGGACGCCTATTTGTATAGCAACACTTCCCAAGCAGCTTTTACGATCGAGGGTCGGCACACGATGAGTGATAGTTTTGACTACAACGCGGAGGGTGAAGATAATGGTCCTCATGATCATGATGCAAGAGCTGCAAAAATCATGTCGCCGAACAAACTGATCAAGCACCATATGGCAGTGCACAACTCCCCTTCCCCCTCATTTGAATAGCATGAACGGCAATACAAGCATCAGCAAGACTGCCGGATTTGCATCGCAAATTTGCACTGGAGTGTAGTTCTGTTTGGGCTCCTACCAGAATTTGTCATGCATAATATTGACAGGAGGGAAAGCGTGGATTTGGTATTCTGCATGAGAAATGAGAACGAAGGGGTGTTGTGCACTGTCATACACCATCTAACCGAGATAGAAGACACGATCCGCACCGTGACGCAGGAAGACGATCCTGAGATGAACGACTCAATTCTGAAGGGAAAACCAAACAACACAAGCACAACTGGAGGCAGCAGATCCGTACAACAAAATCGACGCAAACTGGCACAGCAACCCAGTTACATCGTCCGGACTTCTTCTGGCGCGAAGGTTTCCCATACACCACCACTGCCGCGGACCGCGACGGCGACGAGCTTGCCGAACGCAGTGCCGGAAACGTTCGGGCGGTATTTACCGAAGGTGGTCACGACGCAACAGAACAAATTCGACCAGGACTTGCCAACAAGAATTTTCCGGATTGGCACCGGAAGTGTTTTCTTTCTCTCTTTCGTCTGCTTCGTGTGGAGTATCCTCGTGTTGTTCGATTTCTTGAAGGTGGGAGGCAGTGTATCCCGTGGAAATACTGTTTGTTCACTGTGATGGTTTTCTTGCAAGTTTTGCATCACAAGTCTGTTCTACTTCCTACATCACAGGAATAGACCAAGTTTGCCATGCGAGATTCCTAAGGTGAAACACGCCTACAAATGCATTATCGTGCATGTGTAGCAAGACAAACACTTTTGCGATGCACTTTATGCACTACAAGTTCTCAGTGAAGCAGTTTTTTCTCGTGATGCAGCGGGAAGCCGACACTGATCCACAACGGCACGACGCACCAGAGGGATATGTCGTCGGCGAGTCGGTATGCACTGCAAATTGTATTACAAAGCATTGCAAATGAAATTTGTAATGCTGTTTTACGTGAGGAAGGATATTTGTCTTGCATAACAGCAATTACTACGAGTGCGATACTTTTGCAGTGGATAGTCGGGTAATTCGACGTCGGGTCAGGAGGTTGGAGGGGGAGGATGTGGATTGGGGAATGGAGAGTGGTGATGTCGATGTAGCAGAAGAAATTGCATCACGAACTACAACTGCCGCTGGAAGCAATTCGAATTATGAAAGAGGGCATTTCTCTGACTCTGGGAGAAGCGGGAACAAGCTTAGGTTCAAGATTGAGCACCTCGCGGCGCAATTTTGCGACCACCGGAGAAGTATGCTAAGCGCGACAGAAACATCAGGTGGTTCGGAGACAATGCAGGTTGAACACCAGCAGTTCCAGCAGGCCAACGAAAAGCATCCCCCGACTTCGAAGAAGAGAACAAGTGAGCAACTAGTAGTCGTACCACCACGACAAACTCAAATGTGCACAGCAAAGCAAATTCGGAAATACACGCGGCATCTACAGGAGGAGGCTGAGGTGGTGGAGGATGGGTTTCTGGATTTGCAGGAAATTCAGCGCTATTTGGAAACTAGAAAGGAATCTTTATCGCACGATCATCTATTTGAAGAATCGGCCACAGATGCTGGTTCTCGAGAAAAAATCGATCTACGAAGAGAGCTTCAGGATATAATACTTCTTGCCGCGAAGCACAAGGAGGTCCAAGAACCAGCCGATAACTCATCCAGTGAAATGAATTTAGGGCGTCCACTTACGGCCGACGAAAAAGAACGATCTCGACATTGAACAAACTTAGCTTGATGGTAAAACAGCTCCGCCTCCGTCAGTTCTAGGTGCCAGACGAACTATGTTGATCTGGCCACACGGCAGAGCCAGAGGTGTTTTTACTTTGCGTTCTCTTAAATGTCTTGACGATCAAATGAGGAACAGAAGAAAACGAACTAGTTGCGTTCTAGGATGAAGATTTGGATTCGATCGTGTCTAAAGTTCCAGATAAAAATCGTTGTCAAGCGAGATCAGCTTCAGCCATCGTCTGCTCCCTTCATTTTTGGTGGTGGAACTACAACAACAAAAACAAATTGAAATGTGATTTTGAAGGACAGATGAACAATGCTAAAGGTCCTCGCCCTTTGTCGCAGCAGGAGATCTGATCTAGTTCTTACAATGACAAGACTGAAGAAAGATCCGCCCTGTTGAAGGTCTCTCTCGACGGGGGGCCAGGAGATCTTTTGCGCAATCAGTCGTCTATCTTGCCCCGCGACGTTCACTTCTGAAGGAGTGTTTCATATGATTATGAGGAAACTCAAGCTACAACGACTCTAGTTTACCCTTACGAAAACAATTCGCGGCAATTGAAGATGCACCCTCGCAGGCTTAAACTCGTATACTTAGCGGAAAGTTACCAATGACAACTTTTTCGGCGACGACATTTGAAAACTACGAGCAGAAAAAGTGAATTGTGAGATAAGCTTCATCTCCTTGTCTATCACTGCATCACACGACACGCTACTTCTACTCATCTCCATCCCACTTTAGTAGAGTTACATCCCTCGACCGCCGGAACAAAAATGCCGCAAGCCCAAGACGTTTTCTTTGCCGGCCGGTCCGACAAGAAGAAGCCGATGCAGAAGCAAGCCTGCCATGCAGAAACAGCTACAGAAGTGGACGAAGCTACGACTCAACAAACCGACAAGGGCATCAACGCGACAGAGCAAGTGGATGAACCAAAAGCGAAAGTCCCCACAACTTCCATCTTCGGATCATCTGGCACCAGCAAAAAGAACACGACAACATCATCTTCAGAACGAGCTGACGAGAAGCCAGGAAACGAACTCAACAACGTAGGCGCGGGGCTATTGAAATTAGCAGCAGAATTTAACAACGGTGAAGATAGCAGCAGCGAGGACGAAGAAGATCCCGACGGCGAAGATGATAGTGAGGAAGAGGATGTTGACGACTCAGAAGAAGAAGACTGCTCCGACGACGATGAAGAAGAAGAAGAAGACAACGTGGAGGAGCTTCTGAAACAGCTTACCAACGACGAGAAGAAGCAACAGGGGCAGGACCTGCTGAAGCAGAAAGATTTCGAAAATGCTTTGGTTTTCCTCGAGGACATGGAAGAAAGTGCGCAAAGCGTTTTGGTGTTGTTGCAGATTTTGTCTTGCTACTTCGGTATCGAGGAGCAGGCGAAAAAAGATGAGGAGCTCGAGCCTTTGGGGGAAGAAGATTGGCAGGACGTGGTGAATTACAGTGAGCGGATCATCGAGACTACTAGTACTACAAGCAGTATGAAAATCAAGCCCGCAACCCCGAAGCAACTGGTGAAAGCTTTTTTCTACCTGGGGAGTGCGCACTCCGCTTTGGAAGATTTCGAAAATGCGGTGGAAATTCTGCAGAAGGCGCTGAAACAGGACAAGGTCGCGAATGGGGAGTTGTTGGCCCCGTTGATCCAAGTGGAACTGACGAAGGCGAAGAAACAGCTGGACCAAATGCTGCGAGTGAAAAAGAAGGAATTTTTCAAGACAGAAGAGGAAAAGCGGAAATTGGAACGAAGGAAAATCAGCGGGAAGAAAGCCTTTAACCCACACTGCCTGAAGCACTGATTTGGAAAATTTTTTTTTCTCGGGGGGTCAGAAAAAGAAAAAGTAGACGGCTACAAGGGAGTTGTCCAACACCACCCCCGCGGTTTCTTTCTTGACAATGACTTCTAGAGAAGATCACGCACCTACCATTTGGCTCAGGTTCTCGCATCGAAAAAGATAAAGAAAAAGCGTGTAGCAGTACGGTGGGGCAAATTATGTCCGTGCTGTTGCTGTTGGCAACTACGCACAGGTTCGACGCGCCGTTTGATGTGTTCTCCAGAATAGCGTTAGCGCTTAAGGACGTACTAGCATGGGTATTACCGATCATTCTGAAGATGATCTAGCATTCGCTCAAGAAGAACTATCTTTTAAAAGAGAGCTGAACACCACGAGCAGATCCCGAGCTGATTGATCCATTTGGCTTTCAATAGAAAGGATTGGATCCCACGTATTTAACGGAAGACCCACCGCCTCCGAGATGATCTGCTCCACGTCGGCTATAGTACGATCTGCGCAGATATCGAAAGAAAAAGTGTTGACGTTACGGTTTTAAGTTTTTTGGAAAAAAAAAATTTTGGGTGTATGCTGGAGGTATGTTTTTGGTTTGTAAGTCGACCCATTCCCGCTATTCGTTCTCGCGGGACTGCGACGAAGCTCGCTTGGTTTGACCTAGCTAGTGCACAAAATATGACGGCGTAGGACTTCGGCGACCGGGGCCGCCCCCTGCCGTGCCTTCTCCTCGCCGCCGGCTCTTAGATCCGGGCCAGAACGCTCAAACCTCGAACCGTGGCTAAACCTCGGACGTGTGGACCTATGAGCTTGCATCTAGATGGCGTTTCCGCCAGTTCAGCTCTGTGCGGCTGTGCAAGTTTCCATCTCGGACCTTTTGGCGCCTTTTGTCAAATTTTCTCCATGACTGAAGAAAAGGTGGCACTTTCGAGGATGAGGGAAATGGGCAAACTTTGGGTACCAAAATGCCCAAAATTTGCAGGCACCCCAAAAACCGTCAACACCTCATCTAGACACTACGGTATGGTCGATCGGGTCTTCCAGAAGCCTGCTTTTTTGCATGAAATCGACCAAAAAACCGTCAACACCTCATCTAGCCAGCACGCTATGCTCGATTTGCCTGCTCAGAAGGTGCGCTCCCGTGCCCGCACCGGTTTGAGTGAAGGGAAATGGATCATAGCGTGCTGTCTAGATGAGGCGTTGACGGTTTTTGTGGGATCTGCATTTTTTGGCCTCGAAATGGCGTCAAATCATTGATTTTTTCCTCGGATTTTTCCAATTCCCCAAAAAACCGTCAACATCATATCTGGACAGCATGCTAAGGTCCATTTTCCCTCAATAAAACAGGTCCATCTCCGGCGTCGATCGTTGCGACGCGTTGGTGGGCGGGTCTTGTCAGCAGTGCCGGGGCCCTGGCCCACCGGCTTACAGCCATCATGGCTCTTGAGCCCGGACAGGGATTGGGCAGCCATTTCAGGGCTTGAAGGGGCGCAATGTTGTGGCGGGGCCTCATAGTTTTCGCACCGTGTGCACTAGCTTCCTCTCCCAGAGTTTTACCACTTTAGAGCCCCGCAGGGGCAAAGAATGAGGCTGCGCGGCGGCGAGAAAAAAAAAAATTAAAATGATGGTGCTCAGTACCCACAAAAATTTTTTTTTCCAAAAACCCGAAAACCGTAACGTCAACACTTTTTCTTATGATAGCAGAGGAGGTTGTTCATCTCCAAGTGCAACAAGTTGCACGAAAACCCTACCGCCTCCGAGATGATCTGCTCCACGTCGGCTATAGTACGATCTGCGCCACGGAGGTTGTTCATCTGCAAGTGCAACAAGTTGCACGAAAACCTAGTGAAAAAATGACAAACGGAAGTAGAAGGGACTACACTAACTACACATTACACAAGCTTGGTCGTGCGCGGAAGCCTGGTCGTGCACGGTACTGAAGTACCGGCACAATAATTCGACCGGGTCGTCGTGAAGATGTAGCTGACGATCTAGAAAACTGCATGGCTGCTAGAAAAAAGTAGTCGCAGTTTGTTTATTTAGAACCACGTGCGTAATTTCAATTGAAACTCGAAAAAATAAACTCCGATGTGAAGAATCCCAGAGCGATCTTGCTTTGCTAAATGCCTTTGCCTCTGATCAACATCATGCTCTTCGACTTCGATTATCGTACTTATTCAGGGCTCTCCAACAAATACTATACACGTTTTTGCTACTATTGACATCTGTTTTTCTCGTAGTAGAATTTGTTAGGTCAACATTTATTTTGTACAATAATATTTTTTCTATATTTTTATTTACAGCTTTTCAAAATTGTATAATTTCATCCCACTTCACTACCACGAAACACTAGACAAAAAAAAATGCTTTTCACGGGCAACAGGAAACAAGGAGGCAAAGTGATGCTTCTCGTCACGAAAGCATTGCTTTACTCTTGCACGAGCAGCAGCCTGTGTGCGGGGGCCGCGATGTTGCAGTCGGGAACGGGACAGGGGGAGGTCACGAGTCCTGGTCTGGTCGACAAGACGCCTTCTACTACAACAGCATTGGTTCTTCCTACTAGAGAGTCTGGAGCGGAGGCTCTTGCTACTACGGACCAGGCCACACAGATGAAACTGCGAGAACTTTTGAGAGACGGTGAAAGACGTGACGCGCAAAGGAGGGAAGAACGACGAAGAATGGAGGAGAAAGTGCCCCACGAAGTGCAACTACGGCACGAAAAAAAAGCGTTGGTGGTCGTGCTGTGCATCAAGACTCTTCTGATATTATAACTACAACCTATGTAAACCTTTACCTTCTATTTAAACTTGTATCGTGCTATAAATAAATGCAGCTTATCTGCTGGGGCTGGTACTCACTGGTAACCGTAACCGGCGCAGATCTCCATGTAGTTGAAAATCAGTTAGCGCAACAACATCGAAGCTTTTTTTCCTTTCATAGAGGGGTGGTCCCTGTCGATGTGACAAGAGGCGCAAGCAGGAATGGAGGAACGCGAAAGTCGCGTGCAAGGACCGTATCAAGAGGAACCGCCCTGCTCTTCTCTCGGCCATTATGGCCGTCGTCGCTATCCTCGCGGTAGGACAACAGCAGTGGCCCACAGGATTCGACAGTTCGAAGCTGTTGAACTTCGATTTTCAATCGCTGCGTGAAGAAGCAGGCCGGAAGATTGCTCAACAGAAATCTATTTGGATGAAATCGGCCTTGGAGCAGGACCACGACGAGGACGGCGCAGGCGAAGTAGTACTGCGACTCCATCCCAGGAGGGGAACGCCGGTCGACGAGAGGGACTTCATGATGATCAGGCACCAGGTATCCTGAGTGAAGATGTCCCCACACCAGAGTCAAGATGGGAGATCTGCTAGACAAATCAGCCAGCTTTGGTTGTTTCGCATGACAAGTTTGTCCGCGTAGTGTAATCCTGCTTAGGTAGTTCAGCAGCATCACTGATCTAGCTGATCATGCTGATTATAGCATGACAGATTCCAAAACACGAGGGAGTAGAAAACGCCTCTCATGGGGCTCGGCATGAGAAACTTTTTTGGCATGCAGATTTGCATCACAACTATGGGGTGGGGACGTTTTTACATAGGATACCAGGAACTAGTTTCCCTTTTTACCGGTCCGAACAGTGAGCACGAATGGAAAAAATTGGCTCAACAGAATACTCCGAACGCCTTTCCTATGGTAGTGTCAGGATCGAAATCGACAATGTTGAAATACAAATAATTTGTGATGCATAAAATGGAGTAGCTTTCAACTGGCGCATGACAAATTTGGCTAGAACCGAATTCCAGTTTGTAGTGCTGTTTGGGTAAGAGAGACGCCTTTTGTCATGCTACTTTAGCAGCCCTATTTCTACTCTTCAACAGGCTTACAATCTGCCTCCCTTGCCTACGCTGCAAGACAGGTATTTTGTGGGTTGCATTTTATGCATCACAAACCATTTCAACTTTGAGGATTTCAATCCTGACACTTCCATATTCCCTTCGGCGCAGTTTTTCTTCGACTTTGCCCAATCCGCAATGAAGGCCGCCAGCCATCTGGATCGTCACATGGGGCCAGTGCGGGGCCACGGGTTGTGGTCCAAAAAGGACCAGGAAATTATGAGCAACGTTGAAAAAATCGGACGTATTTTTGCGGAGAACCTGAAGCTGCTAAAGGAAAGGAAAGAACTGCTCGAAGCAGAACCGGTGCGGACGAAAACGTGGCAAGTCGTACCTCGAGCGGCACAGCATGGTAAAAATAAGCTCTTCGCCTTGAGAGAAATCGACACGGAGCTGAAGAAGTTTTTTGACCAACTTCGGCAAATCCTGATTTCAGACCCAGAGCTTCAGCGTCTCCTCTTCCGGACCGCGATTGACATCGTGAACGACCCGACGATCTCAAATGAGCATCGCGCGGAGCTGCTGCAGCGCCGACATGAACAAACCGGAGAGGAAAACAGCCGCGGACTTTTCTTTTCCAGCGTCGCCAGAAACTTTCTAGAGCGTTGCCCGGTCCTCGTGGAGGAGCAAGAGAATCCAACCGCCTTCCGCGACGACCTGCAGACGATTGGAAAAGGAGGTCAACGCTTGTTTAGAACTTTCGGTAACGCCAGCAACGGCCGTGCTATAAAAGGACTCCGTAATACAAACGCCAGCAATGTGGTGCAGCAGGCCGAGGCAAAAATGATCGCGTGCGAGCCTGTAACTCCCTTAGATTTGCCGGAAAAGATAATGGACGAGTTTTATCTTTCGACGCAAGAAGGCCACATGCGTGCCGCACCGGAGGACGATACAGCAGAGGGGGCGCAGCAAGTACCAGCGATGCTCGATTCTGACAAGTGGAGTTACACGCGTTGGGCCAGAAATTCACTGTTAACTATCGTCGCGGCAGGAAGTACCGGATTGGCGGGCGTGCGGTTGATGTCCTCACAGTGAATATGAAGGCGAGCGCGTATAATTTCATTCTTGGGGCGTGTCTGCTCCGATTGGCAGCACGACAAGGAGCGAGTGATGTGTTTCCTTGCGATAAAATCTCCTGGGACCTCCAGTATTGGAAGCATCATCTTCTGGTAGACATACTTTACTTACTTCAGAAACTGCTTCTGCCGCTCTGAGCATCGTAAGTACGAAGAAAGTTCAATTAGATGCCACGTCATACATGTAAGTCGCGGTCAATAGTTTGATCAGCACGTGTGCTGGCCTCATTATATCTCTTTTTTTTTATCAGATGCAAGCATACACCAGCAGCTTATAGCCGTGTCGCATGATTGCAGCTTTGCGGGGGGTGAAGATTACGTTATCATGTGCTCCTTTTGCTAGGTTTATTTCCTTTCTATAAATATATGCTGTTTTCGTTTGTATGATTCTTTTCCGGTACAAGTTGAGCTCTACGTTGTAAAATTCTTTTGATTTTATGTATTATGCAAGAAAGTGCAAGAGCTGCCAGCAGTTCCACGATTATGCCAGATTTGGTAGTACCGAGGAGCCAATTATATATATTGTATGATTTGATCCACCATTTGCAGCGCGTCCGTAGTTTTGGCAGGAAAATGAATGAGATGTTGCAAGATGAGATGTTATCAGATTCGTGTCCTGTCCACATCCACGCTACACCAGGATCAGCTCCGGTGTAGTTGGTGGCGTCTCTGTGGCGACGACGACGTGGGTTCTTTTGTTTGTCCGGACTCACACCGCACCGTGATGTGGATGAGACCAGATCTACAATTTGATGCACATCGTAAAAATGATCACAAGGAAGATCTAGATGAACATGGTTCTCGTCATGATCCTTGCTTTATTTGCGATGCATAAAGAAGAAATGTGAATGTGCACACAAGAACCCCACAAATGAAAAAATGCCAAGAAAAACAAATTGAGTGGGAATTATGCCCACGATCTCGTGTGTGCTCTGCTGGTTCTTGCTGCATAGTCAAAAAATGATTCTTCATGATGCAGCAAATGAACATCACGAGCATGATGGCATCTGCAGCTTCTTCCAGAAGAAATTATCCGTGGTCAAAAGAAAAATAGCCGGGTCAAAAAAAAATATTGACTCCGAGGATCAAATCGGTATGGGAAGTAGAAGCCGAACCGCGAATCATGATCAATCGATCGCGAAGCAAAGTCGGAACAAAATTCTTTCGGTGCCACAGGTCTTTTTGTCTCGCTTAATCATAGCAGCTCGAATAAATTATACAAACAAATGGAGCCACCTCATTTTCGCCACCTCATTTTCGTGTCTCTCCCGTGACAGGAAGATGACAGAGCCGTGGAAGTTGTAGCGTACTTCTATGTGGAAATGTTTACAAACGCATTATCCACCTGCTCATCCTCGTTTTCGTCCACCAACTGCTCCTTCGTTATAATTTCATTGTGGTGCTGACATAATATGAAGTTGTGAGCGGACGACTTCTGTGTATATGTGAGTATGAGTACTATGTGAAGCCGGCCGCGATGATCATTTTTGTGAGACGAGCACTTACTTCTACGTAAGCCGTCAACTACATGGAGGAGTAGCTTTAGCAAAGAAAAGCGCCATACACAGCCAACATAGGTCTTGTCGCTTTTGGAGGAAGTCGAAGTTGTTTATTTTGAAGTAAGTTTTTTCACAAGAACTAGAAGTATCCCTTTAAAGATATCATTCGTCTAGTTTCGAAGTGGTAGAAGTAGTTTGAAGTAAGAAAAAAAATCTAGAGGTCGTAAACAAGTGCGCATGGATATGGAAGACATTTACTATCAATATGCCGCTCCGAGGACGAGCATGTTGGCCTACGTAGTTTTTATTGTAATTTGAAGTTCAGTATTCTTTTTGTTTTCTGGTAAAATAAAGTGCTGCATGAGCAGCTGCCTGTAGACATTAAAATCGTGTTTCAAGAAGATGCGAGTAGTCCCCTCAAGCGTAGAAGAAGTACCAGCATTACATTAAACTGAAAGATGCTGGTCTAAGTGCTCGTCGACAAAATAACTTTTTTCATCTGACTACATAAAACATACAAAAAAATAAAGTATGAAGATGGAAATCTTCTCACTGCAGCAGCCCACACGAACCCAGCGCATGGACATCCACCCTCGCTGGCCAATGCGACGATTCCATTCCGCCTGCGCCGCCGGCACACTACATCAACGGACGATGGTGGTATTTGCTGTCTTCGCAGCGACCATCGGGTTATACTACTCGTCGTTTCTCAGTCAGCAGCAAGCCGGTGGCTGGATAATTTTGTTCGCCTCTAGCGCACGAGCAGGAGCTCCCCGAGGACATCGAGAGCAGCCTCCGACATTTCATGCTTTACAAGAACATCACCAACACTTTTCCCCAGACCCACGGAAAGGACGACCAGGCAACTCCCTCGCTGCTGTTCATGAAAATAAAGATCCTTACAGGGCGGGGAGGCACTCGCCGGATTCCACCACTGGTGGGAGCAGCACTACGGGGAGCAGTGCAGGCACTTCTAGCGGTGCTGGATCCTCCTGGTCAAGAATGAGTGACGATGGAGGATCTTATGCACTACGACGAGGACCTGTTCCTGCTTCAGATCAACATCTTTGCCGCGAGCTCTTTCCAGCTACTTCCGAAGAGAGAGGCTGCGAGCCCGTCATGCAGCGTAGCTGGGATCCACGGGAAGCAAAATGGGGTCAAGCGAGAGACTTTCTGGGAAGAAGCGACTTCCGAGAAAAGTTGGACGTGGAGGCACTGAAAGAAGAGATAAAAGCGTTGCTGGGAAAGGAAAGCGCTGAGCTAATGGAGCAACTGGGCGGTTATCAGCAGTACGAGCACACGAAAAACAAAAATGTTGGAACAAACGGCGAGAAGGAGGAGGAGGAAAACAAGAACAACGATAAAGCGATGCGGGGAATTGTGCAACGAATGGGCGGGCGCCGAGATGAAGATGACCGGGGGCTGTTCTATCTTGCGCTGAAGGTGATGTTAAAACAGCTGCGCAATTTGATTAAAGAGCATCAAAGCCGCTTTGCGTTTCTTATCAGCGGAGACCATTTGCCATACGTGGCGCTGGCAAATTCAAAATCCTCTCGCGCGCCAACAAGCTACCTGGAAGCGCTGGTACAGACGGGTATGTTTCACATAGCAGATGCAACAGCCGCAGCAAGGTCAACAGAGAAGGAGCGGTATCGAAGGGATTTGCGCCAGTTTTTTCACCTTTTTCTCGCTGAGGTGTCGCGGCTCAGAGATGAGAGGGTCGTGAGCTCGGGAAGCAGTAGTTCCTATTTGCTTTCGCCGACCATGACCTGCGTGTTGCGCGGGCTGCGATTCCCGGCCGAGAATTACGAAAAGGGAAGTGGTGATCCAAAGTGCGACGCAGATCATGCAACACGCCCGACCTGCGTGTACCCGCGCTTTGTCCTTGTGCGTGATTTGTGCGACTTGGAGGGAACAGTTGCAAGAGAAGGCCGCTCGGCGCACGCAAAGCTCGGAGCGCGTGACCGGAACAACAAGTACTTTAAGGAGGAGCCCCAGGTTTCCGACAGCACAATCGTCGAAACCGTCACGCTATCCTGTGCAAAAGTATCGTACTCGTATGAATGCAAGTCTTGCATTACAAATCTTTTTGCTAAGGCAAATCCCCATGACAAGTTCCATTTCTCATGCTAAGGAAATTTGTATTGCAATTTATACTACTGCGATACTTTTGCAATGCATACACGCCGATCGCCCCGCACTTTCCCCTGTGGGCCGAGGAGCCCGTTCAGCGGCTGCACGCGCGCGCGATTTTCCATGTGGCGTGGGCTGCGGTGAGGCACGAGAAGAACATGCATTGGCGCAAGTGCAGCGGGGGCCACCGTCGTTTCACCGGTCTTAATCGGGTCCCGCCGAAGGGCGATAAAATCATTGTGGATGGCCCGACGAAGGACGCGAAGGTGAAGCAGAAACACCTGTTGGAATGTTTGCCCGGCCTCCTCCTTCGGGCCCGGGAAAAAAAGGAAGTAGAAGGGGTGAAGAATGGTGATCCTTGGGTGCAGAGTCCGCTGTTAGACTTATTTCCACAGCGTCTGGACGGCAGGAAAAACCCGCCTGATACCACGTTGGAAGCGGCTTTGGCAGAGAGTTTGGCAACGAAAAAAAGAAGCGAAAAACAAGAGTTGTTCCGAAAGCTGTTCATGTTCTCCAGCGGTGGGACGAAAAAACAAGAGGCCTGCCTTATGAGACGAGTGCACAATCGAAGACATAGACAATATCCCCTGCTTCTCGTTTGTCATGCAAAATTCGTTTGTCATGCAAAATTCCGACGATCTCGATCGCGATGATTTGTGCCTGACTTGTCGAAGTAGTATACTTAGTTAGTTAGACGGCAGGCTGGTACAGCACCAGACTCCAATTCCAAACCGTATTTGTATTTAAGTACATTCCGTTGTACTACCGGAATTATTCGTCAACATGTAGAACGTCGAAGGTAGGAGCTAGTAGTAGCAATACTTCTCTGCTCTTTTCGTTTCTACTTCTGATGTTCTTGTGTGCTCAACATGCTCATGCAATGAGTAGAAATCAATAACGAGAACTCGCAGTTGTAGAACGTCGGGGGGCAGGCAGTCTTGTACTTCTCACAGTTGTGTACTCGGATACACCTCGACCTGGTTGGCGACTACAAAGATAATAAGGAGTGGAGCTGCTTGATCGACAACGCAGGCCACTGGAATTATGATGGAGACGAGTACAACAACCCGTCGTCAGAAGAGGAGGGAGGTGGAGGATCACGTCGGCGGGGTACAGATGGAAGATCTACTTCAGGGAAAACGACACCTTCTAGTATCGCGGCGGGTCGAAGACAAGGAGGTAGCGGTCCTTCCAGGTCTTCAGGTGGTAGTCGTGGTACCCCCTCGGCGTCCACGAGCGGATCAAGTTCCAGACAGCGCTGTACTACAACAGGCGAAACGGAAACTACTTCGTCCGGCAGCGAAGGTCGAACCGGCCTCCGTCGGCCAACGATCTTCGTATCGTCTCTGCAGATGAATCATCCCACGACTTCATCATCTTCATCATCAACATCTGCACGTGGGCCAACAACATCTTTCCAATACGGCACCAGCACAACTCGTCCGCAGAATCCCTTCATTCCCCAGCAGGACGGCGCACCAGGACGTCGGCCTCCGCAGCCTTCTCCTCCACCTCTGGGTGCGACGACGGGTGGACCACAGCTCCAACAGCGTCTATTTGACGCCCTGCTGCTTGCAACGGTGCTGATGCGTGCGAAATTGCGCGAAGCTGCGTTTTCAACAGCCGGCCCCGGCGAAGTTGCAGCTTCCCAGACCACCAGAATGGTGATTAATACGTTTCTGGATGTGGGCGGTGTGAGGAACGACAACGATCCACATTCGGCTCTTCAACAGCCAGAAAACTTTCTCGCGGCAGCGGACGCAGTGGTGGAGTCTTTTTTCGCAACCTATGGATTGCAAATATGTCTGGGTCTGGAAACTTGTGATGCTGAGGCATGGATGAGTTTGGTGCTTTCAAGTGCAGCCATGCGTGACAAGTTTAGTTGGCGCCGTCTGATGCGTAGCACGCATGACAAGTTCTTGCATCACAAAAGAGTCGCGCGCTTGGTGGCTATGCAATACAGATTTTTCAGGAATGCAGGACATGCAACACAAGTTCCACCTTTGTTCCAGAGCCAGACATATTTGCAGTTGATACAACCTACGTAAGACTCATTTTCGACGCCGATTGGCGGCTGTTGGTGCAACAGTCTACTACTGCTCCCGAGCAAGAAGCGGGACAAGGCGAACTACCGAGCGCCACGCCTCCAGCTCCTGTTGCTGAAGCTGCTTCTTCTACCAGGAAGAGTTATCGGGACGTTTTGATGTCTGCTGTTGGTGCAGGTAAAGCAGAAGGCCGCGCCCCGACGAACAAGGCCAATGCCAAGGCCGCGGCATCAAGTAGAAACGCTGCAGCACCAAAAAGTACTGCCAAGGCAAAAGGCAAAGCCAAGGCAAATCCGAAGCCCAAGCCCGCGGGCGGAGGGCGGCCAGCTGAGGAAGGATCGTTCGATGACCAGCAAGGACAATATCAAGAAGGGGCCGCGAATACGAATAGTACAACTGAGCCGAACTCCAACGTCTTCCCCGATGGGGTTTTCGTAGCTGCAGTGGCCGCGCAACAAGGCCTGCAGCGCGGGGTTGAACTTGGCAGCTCCTGGGCACAAGTACAACTACCTATCTTCCATTTACTCTCCCTTGTCAACAAACTGCCGGAGCTTGTGCAAGCGTCGCCGTCCTCGTCCCAAGCAGCACAAAGCATGATTTCGAACATGCTCGGCTTAGTATCCTGAGTAAAAACGTACCCACACCAGAGTTGTAATGCAGATTTGCAAAGACAGGAAGGCTTGTAATGCGCATCACCATGAGAGCCATTTCCAATCGTGTTTTGGAATTTGTGATGCTGTGAACAGGATGAGCAGATGAATCTGTGATGCGGCTGCACTTGCTAACCTGCACTACACTGCAGAGTGCAACTTGTCATGCGTGACTCACAAAACTCCTAGGTTTGTGTTGCAAAATCCCCATCCTGACTCTGGTGTGGGTACGTTTTTACTCAGGATACTTAGTAGCGCAGCTCGCAGGATACCGCGTTGAACAGATTCGATTTGGTAACAACAACCAACAAGAAGATGAAGACTCAAGTGCTGTCGAACAACTACAAGACGTGGGGTCCTCGTCGACGTCCTTGGACAGTGGCTTGTCCACTTTTCTGTCCGCAGCGGAGGTTATGAACTGCAAAAGTATCGTATTCGTATAAATGCATTACAAATTTCCTCAGCATGAGAAATAAAATTTGTAATGCGGATTCGACTTAACAAAAAGATTTGTAATGCATGATTGCAATACGAATACGATACTTTTGCACAGGATAGAGGTGCTCTCCGCTCGAGTCGACGTGCAGGCTCAGGCCCTGCTCGAGGCTCAGACAAGTCGAACTGGTGGTCACCAACGAAGTAGAAGTACAAGGAGAGCAAGAAGTCGCACACGCTCCAGCAAATCTTCATCCTCACGAGATCGCAGCACATCTTCATCACGAGATCGCAGCAGAGCTTCATCTAGTGGACGACCTGCGGATCCGAATGCTGTACCGCGGCATGGTCGTCGCCCCACTGTTGGTGGAGGTGGAGTCCCAGCACGCCCCTCGATTGGGCGTGGCGAACAGCGCCTGAAAGGAAGACGGTCCCGATCTCCTTCCCAGGAGGTCCTGGAGGCCACGACGGCGACGGCCCACGATTTTTATACCACGTCTCCGGTTGAGAGTGATCGTGAAGATGAAGCACACGACTCGTCCGCGTCCATCGCCGGTGCAGAGTCAGTGGATGGACCGTACGATTTTTACGATGTTGGTGATAAGCAGGGGCATCGCTCGCGATCACTAAGTCCGGCACCTGTTTCGGTAGGTGGTGCCTCGACCGCTGTCGGCAGCCAGGCGGTGTCATACGTCACCTCGACCGTAGGCAGTTGGCCCTACGTCGGAGGGAGCAGTAGTAATCCAGGAACAACGAGCGCCTCCTATCCTGAGTAAAAACGTACCCACGACACCAGAGTTGTAATGCAGATTTGCAAAGACAGGAAGACTAGTAATGCGCATCCCCATGAGAGCCATTTCCAATCGTGTTTTGGAATTTGTGATGCTGTGAACAGGATGAGCAGATGAATCTGTGATGCGGCTGCACTTGCTAGCCTGCACTTGTCATGCGTGACTCACAAAGCTCCTAGGTTTGTGCTGCAAAATCCCCATCCTGACTCTGGTGTGGGTACGTTTTTACTCCGGACACCTCCTTATGAATGCGTCAACGATTTCGACTTCGACTCGGGAAGAGTTTTGCCTTTACACGGAACAGAGCGGCCACAGCTGCTGCATAATTGTAGTGCTGGATGCTGATGTAGAAGAACTACGAATAGTGCACGATGTTTGTACAAATTCAATACATAAACGTTGCACGAAGCTTCCTGCACAAGAAATATATCAGTCACGTCACATTTGCCATTTTCCTAGTTCAGGTGGACGCTTCAACTCTTTGTAAGTATGTACTATGGAGTTCTTGTGTCTCTTCTCTTGAGGTCCAGGAGGACAACTCGCGATTTGCAGTTTCATGCAAGGAAGATGAATATTTGTGCAACGACTCTATCTGAGCTGCTCCGTCCTGTTGTAAAAAAAACTCTTCGCGGGCACAACTTTTTGCGATCATACTCAATGATGGGAAGTCCCGAACTTGGAAGGATCAGTTATCCAAAGAAAAAAACCCATCCACATCCAATTTGTCATGCAAAAAACGTATAAAATCATGTGTTTGTCATGCAAAAAATGGATGTGGATGGGTTTTTTTCTGTGGATATCAGTTACTCTAATCCTCCAAGCGCGAAGGCCAGTCCCGAACTTATGGAAGCGTCAGGTTTGAAATCGTCAAAGTTGATATAATTTGTAATGCATAAAGTGCGACACAAAAAGCGACTCTATTGCAGAGGACCCACGGGAGGCAGATTATACATAGTCCTGGTAAGGGTCAAAAGTTGGATTGCTAACTAGCATGACAGAAGGCAGCTCTTTTGCCCTCAACCGCACGACAGACTCGCTTCCAGGAACGGGAAAGTTTGTCATGCGCCGACTACAAACTGTAGGTCTAAACGGTATCCGTTTTATGCATGACAAACTATTTCAACTTTGACGATTTCAAACCTGACACATCCATAGAACTCGGAAGGAACATCACAACGACCTCGGGAAGTAGACCTGAACCCTATGGAAGCGTCAGGATTGAAATCGTCAAAGTTGAAATAGTTTGTGATGCATAAAATGCAACCCACAAAGTGCCTGTCTTGCAGAGTAGGCAAGGGAGGCAGATTGTAAGCCTGTCGAGGGGTAGGATCACTGCTGCTAAAGTAGCACGACAAAAGGCGTCTTCCTTACCTAAACAGCATGACAAACTGGATCTCGGCTCTACTCAAATTTGTCATGCGCCGCTTAGAAATTGGGCTTCCAACTGGTATCGATTTTATGCATTACAAGTTATTTCAACTTTGTCGATTTCAACTCTGACACATCCATAAAGCAGAGCAGATTCTGGACATCTCCGAAGCAGAGTCAGAGGCGGAAGATGGTGATAAGCAGGGGCGCTTGCGATCCCTAAGTCCGGCAGCTGCCTCGACCGTTGCCGGGAGCATGGCGGTGTCCCACGTCACCGGCGCTTCCTCGTCTGCAGCCACCGCTACAGGCACCTTCTTATGAATGCGTCAACGACCTCGACTCGGGAAGAGTTTTGCCTTTACACGGAACAGAGCGGCCACAGCTGTTGCCATTGTAGTGCTCGATGCTAATGTAGAAGAACTACGAATACACGATGTTTTTGTTTGTAGTTGTACAAATTCAATACACGACAAACGTTGCGCAAAGCTTCCTGCACAAGAAATAAATCAGCCACGTCACATTAGCCATTTTCCTAGTCCAGGTAGACGCCCCAACGTTTTGTATGTACTATGGAGTAGTTTTAGGTGTCTCTTCTCTTGAGGTCCAGGACGACAACTCGCGACTTGCAGTTTCAACATGCGAGGAATTATATTTGTGCAACGACTCTAGTAACTCTATCTGAGCTGCTCCGACTCCGTCCTGTTGTAAAAAAAAAACTCTTCGCGGGCACTTTTTGCGATCATACTCAATGACGGGAAGTCCCGATCTCGGAATATCCTGAGTAAAAACGTACCCACACCAGAGTCAGGATGAGGATTTTGCAACACAAACCTAGGAGTTTTGTGAGTCACGCATGACAAGTTGCACTACTACTGCACCCTAGATCTCCTGCGGCCGTAGCTGCTTGCGGCGACGGTGCAAAGGTTTTCGATGTGGCGCAGTCGGGTATGCATGACAAGTTGCACTATGCAGTGTAGTGCAGGTTAGCAAGTGCAGCCGCATCACAGATTCGTCTGCTCATCCTGTTCACAGCATCACAAATTCCAAAACACGATTGGAATGGCTCTGATGGGGATGCGCATTACAAGTCTTCCTGTCTTTGCAAATCTGCATTACAACTCTGGCGTGGGTACGTTTTTACTCAGGATACGGAAGGATCAGTTACTCTAATCCTCAAAGCGCGGTGGGCAGTCCCGACCTCGGAAGGAACACAACGACCTCGGGAAGCAGACCTGATGAACCCATGCCTGCTCTTCGTCTGCATGCAGCAGCCTCGGGAAGCAGACCTGAACCCATGCTGCGACCTCGGGAAGCAGACCTGAACCCAGTGCCTATTCACGGGGCGCAGCAGCAGCAGCAGCAGCCTAATCTGCAGGCAGGGCAGACAGGTAATATCGTGCAGCAGCACCCGCCAGTTCTAGTAGCGCCGCCGGGAAGTAGTAGTGCTGGTTCCGGTTCAATTCCAATTCTTGTGCCCATCCGAGACCCGGTGACGGGGCAAACGGTTTTGTCCCCTCCTTTGGGGTACGAACAAGGTACTCAAAGTCTGATTGTAGGGATGCCGGTGAACCACGAGCAGCGGTTAGTCCTCCAACCGGCCCCGGGCACGGCAGGTGGTGTCGCGACCACGGGTCTCAATGTTGTAAACCAGCCGCAGCAGCAGCAGCAGCAGCAACACCTCCCCCCACACCAGGGCATAAGTAGCCCAATGTCTCCCGAGGAACGTGCCGCTCATCAGGAGTATGTTCAAAACCTGGTCGAGCGCGACAACGCCCGCCGGGCGGAAATCCAGCGTAATCGTGCACTAGAACGACAGGTAGGAGGACCGCCAGATGAACAAGCTGGGCGGGAAGTCGAAGTAGAGCCTGCAGGAGCAAATAGACGTGGTCTTGTACTTGCGCTCGCTGGCCGACGTGGCCGACGCGGTCGTCTTCAACCTGCGGAAGTCCAAGAGCGTCCGGATCCAGTGTCCCGGACGCCCTCGCACAGCCCTGAACGCTGGTTAGGACCAGGCGAGGGTCTTCGCGCCGAGGATTTTCATCCGCATCGGGGCAGAGGCCGCGTCGGGGCAGAGGCAACACAGCAGGGTGTGCAACAGGAGCTCCAGCAGGGGATGAGCATGGGCGTCATGATGCAGGTGGGTGGCCAAGAAGAAGAAAGAGGACCTGGGCCTCATCTAGGTCAACAGGCTCCCCCTGCGGTCGTCCCTCCGCCGCCTTACCCCGGGAACCATAATATAATGCACTACCCTTACCCCGGACAACTACCCTTACCAATACCACCACCACCTGCTCCAGCAGCGCATGATCAGGAAGGCCAAGGTGCGGCTGCTGGTTTCGTTGGTTATAATCCTGCTGTCCCAGCAGCAGGGACCTGGGGAGGACCACCAGGGCCAGGAACGAGACAAGAGCAACCACAATGGCCTATAGTTTCCCCGCAAGGTTCCCCGCAAACTATGACCACGGCAGGACCCGGAGTTCAAGTTCCTCTTCAACCAGCGGCTCCTGCACCAGGAATTATGCAGCACGGCATCAATTGGCAACAGGTTGCTTCACGACCAGATCCGTCGCTGATGGGTCCTACCTACGACTACCCGGGAGGTGTCGTGTCTTTTCCATCGGCGTTTGCCGGGTCATTCGCAGGGCCTTCGACGATGAGTTCTTCACCTGCTTCTATGGGGGCTGCCGAGTTTGGTGGTGCTGGTGGACACTTTGGTGGCGGTTTCGGTCCTGGTCTTGGCCAACCACAACAGCAGTTAAATTATATTGCAGGAGAGAAGATGCCACCACAACTACAACCAGGAGTTGTACCTCCACATACTCCACCACAAGTATTTTTCCCTCCTTCTCCACAAATGATGAGCACCAGCGACTACTTCTTGATGCAGCAGTTGCAACAACGTGGTCAAGGCGGATGTAATATTACCACCACTTCTTCTGCCCCCGGGGGCGGATCTAGTTCCAGTTCGTCTCATCTCTCCCGACCCGTAGGCGGCGGCCGGGGATCTCCGGATGGTGGAGCGGCGCAAGCAACTTCGGATGGTGTTGGAGCGGCGCACGAGGGTGGTCCAGGTGATGTCCTGTGGCGGGGCGCCAAAGGTGATGCAAGGAAAAAAGGAAAAGGTGGAAAAGCTGCATCATCATCGAGGACGAGAGAAAAGCTGAACAAAGAAACAAAATCCGTCGTTGATCCGGACACAGCTGCGCCACAGCAAGAACAGGGTCATGCTCGTGTTGAACCAGGAACAGTATCGCGGCGACCTGCGCCTAGATTTGCGATAGAAGCCGTGCAAAGTGCATTGCGGAAAGCTCAGCGCCGACGTCGTAGCCAGGGACTACATGGGTCGTGGCAGCCGGTCCGCGCGTTGCAATTCTTGCAAAATTGGATCGCTCACCGACCGGAGGCACGATTACTTCGAGAACGAGAGGAGATCGAAAGAGAACTTCAGGCCGGAAATGTAGTGCCTATCTTGGAACGGATGACCCCCGAGCAATTGGATGCGCAACGGCTCCTCATTTCTTTGCTTGACTCCAGGGCGTGGACGACGGATTTCATTGGCGCTGTCCTTGAGGATCCTCACTTTGTTCCTCGTCGGGAGCTAACCCCGGAGGAGGATGCAGCCAGTATTTCGCACTTTGAAAACAGTGTCCGCGACGCGTTCCAAAGGCGTGGTGACCGCGTGCTACAGACCCCAGGCCTGCGTGAGAGCGATCACGAAGAAGTGGGTCTGCTGCCATGGCTGGAAAGGTTCGCCTTGCGCGGGACCTCGGGCACAGTTTTCTTCCGGGTGCGCAATTTCTACATCGGCCGCGACGATGGGATCCTCAGAGCCGTGGTGATTACCGGCTTGGAGCCGAGTGACGCCTGGCTGCGGGAGGGATTGGACGAGGGCCGGGGGTTCGTGTGGCACCCGGAATACGAGTTGGATCACACGACCGTTTTCCACGCGGAGGACGTGACTACAACGGGATACGGAACTTCTACTTCCCGTCGGGAGATACGGTGGAAAATAGCCGACGGGGAGTTCCCGTCCGACACTGCCGAAGCTTGGCAAGAGAAGCTGCGAGAACAAGCTGAATCGCAACAACGTCCCCGTCCGGGAATCTTGCGCGACCAGGAGCAGCGCGGCGGCGGCCGAGGATCTTCGGATCGTGGACCTGCGGCTTCAGAAAGTTTTGGACCGGCCAGGGCTTTGGAGGATGAGCCGGGGCGGCCGCGTGCTGGTGCTTCGTTGCCTTCTTCCTCCTCTTCGCGGCCAGGAAAGAGGGGCGCAGCGCCTTCTCAGATAGGAGAAACACCACCAACAGTAGATCAGCGAGGTCCACCTCTGGCTTATAATTTGGTGCCCATGATCGAGCGCCGCTTCGTGACGCAACTTCAGCAAAGCTTGGAACCGCTACGACCTGCTCCGGCAGAGGGTAGCATCGCCCCACGACACCGGGAATACGCACCGGACATAGAGGCGCTCCAGCTCTTTAGAGACTGGATCACGCTTCGGCCGAAGGTGAAGAACAGGCGTCGTCGTGAATCGCGGCGACAGAAGCCCGGCGCCGGCCATCCGGGAGAAGAACCGCAGCCGCTCCTGGAGCCGATGACCCCCCAGCAGAAGGCCCTACAGAGAGTTTTCATTCGCCTACTCGAAAGCGCCAGGTGGACTGTGCCTACGACCCGCCCGGCTACCCTCGGAGATGGCGCAGTGAACAAGGGCGAGACGTTGGAAGAGCAAGCCGAAGTCTGGACACAATCCGAGCTGTTGCAAGATCGTATTGAGGCTGCGTTCGATAGTTACAACCGTGACACATTTCGGAACAGGTCGGAAAATCATGACGTGCCAGGTCTGCGAGGCCTCGAGACGCTTGCCCTGGGTGGGGGATTTAGTGGCGGGACTGTAATTTTCGGGGTCCGGAATTTCTATTATGACGAGACAACCGGCACGCGCAGAGCTGTGGTGATGACCGGTTTGAAGCTATCCTGTGTAAAAACGTCCCCAACTTCCCAGGGTTCTCAAGTAGATGGGGATTTTGCTATAGAAGTCAACAGGTTTTGTGGGTTGTGCATGACAAGTTTAGGTTCGCATTGTAATCTTGTTTTGTAGCACTAGCAGGTACTGCAGCCGCATGAGAAACACAGCGCCTTAATATGATCGTGGTGGTAGCATGACAAATTCCCAAGCAGCATGAGGAAAAAATGCTCCTCATGTGATTGGGATTGCGCATGTTGAGAAAGAGAAACAACATTTTACTTATGCAGATTTGCATGACAACTCGGGGAGGACCATGCGGATGTTTTTCCTCAGGACAGGAACCGCGCAGCCGAGACTTCGCGTGGGGGCCAGAGTACGAGGTGGATCACACGACCGTGTTCGAAGCTATCGATGAAAAATATCGCGCGGCGACAGCCGGAAGCGAAATTCCACCACGACCACAGCTGTGGTGGAAAAGTAAGCCTGGTGAGTATCAGTCAGCAGCTGCACGCGAGCTTTACCGTGCGCGGCGGGAGGAAATGAACGCGAGGAGACAACGCGGCGGCGCACAGGATGTAGATCATTCACCGGAACCAGCAGTCTGGGTCTCACTCCCAGACCATGGGGGTGCTGCGCCTGCGCCTGGTCCACCCCAACGACCGGTGGGGCGTCGACGTCGCGGCGATCTGGATGAGGAGCTGCAAACAGAGGCCGCACTCCTGGAGTCTTTGGCAGCAGTGCCACGGCAAAACGTGCAAAACCGGTGGCAAGATGTTTGTGACAGCGATAATAATGTTAGTGACAGCGAAAAGCGAGGTCGTGACAGTGGCGAAGCCGGCGGCGCCGCTGCGTCGTCACATCGAGCCACGAGCCGTCGCGCGTCTCCACTGCGCCGTCCTCTTCTTGGTACATCGGCGAGCGACGCCGGAGGGGGACCAACTCTCCCCGGGCCGTCGTCGTCGTCGATGCCGCGGCACTCTGCCCGTGGACGCCGTGACCCCACTGGGCCCCCAGGAGGGCAGCCACCCTCGTAGGGAGGCAGCTGCTGTGGGCGAAGAACCTCACACGGCAGGCCTGTGCGGGCAGTCCCAGTCGAGTCTGTCGGACCCGGACTGAGTCGAAGATCAGTTGTTTCGGGCGTACGGCTTAAAAGCTTGATGTTGTCCTAGCGGGCGGTCGAAGTAGTGTATAGAAAGTATAACAAAGCAGTTTTTCTATTTCTAGCTACTGGTGCAACAATTTCTGGCTCTGCTAATAAAGACCGAGCAGGATAATGATAAAATGAAAGCAGGAGCATATGCAGCCACATATTTTTGTCAGTGTATTTTTCTCTGTAGTAAGATAACATTTCCCGCATGATCGTGATCCTAAAGATGTCTGTAGGCCATCAGCAGGCACTCTTCTTCCTGCCTATCTTCATGCCCTCACGACCTCGTACCTCCGCACGTGATACTTTAGGCGCCGTTGCCTTGAGGCTTTCAGAACTTTACGGACCGTACAACCCCATGTAACGGCCCCGTTATGTCACAGTATCAACATGTAAAAGTTTAAGTTTTAGAACGAAAATCGATTCGACCGACTTGTTAAAAAAGGATCATCTTCGCGACATGGGCAACATTTTGCGTAGACGTGGTGAGACACTTAACCTAGCGTGACCAAATAACGAAAGCACGACACAGAAATGTCTCCGAGGCTGACTGTAACTAGACGACCAAATTTCAAAAAACAACAGCAGCACTTCGTGTACAATTCTCGCGAGAACACCACTATACTGACTTTTTTATACATACCTCTTGCCGCGAGGGGGTTCTTCGCTCTATTCAAACTCAAAGTCTCCTTTCATGTACAATCATTTTCATTTTCCAGCACTGACACTGCCATTTTTTTCATCATTTTCTGGTACAGGAACACAAAACAGATGTCCGTCAAGAAGCACAAAAAGTGCAGGAGCTGCAACTGCAACATGAACATGTATTGAAGTAAGTAAAAGTAGACCTCTGTCTAAACCATACAGCAGCTCTGTCTTGAAAGTAGACACAAGATCTTCACAAGGAGAAAAAAATGAGAAAGCTAGTCTTGAGAAGACTATGAACGCGAAAACCGATCGTGACCGAAAGAGGAAACAAGAGAAATACAAAAATACGTTGTAGTTGTTCTCCCATCGAAACTCGGATCCCCATCCTTCGCCCGTTGGTGGTGAGTTCGCAGGATGTCAAGTAGAACAAGCTCGTCCACCTCCCGTGCGTCTTGTAGTAAGCTTGCTGTGCTGCGTACAAGCTCCGTGGCCGACGTGCGTCTTCAGCGAAGTTACTTGTAGATGACCCTATGCATAGATAATTGCGAAGGATTCTGTTTCTCAGTTCTGTTTTTCTGGTTTGTCTCTTTATCTTTGTTTCGTGTGATGTTGGTTCTCGTCGAGACATCCACTGAAGATGACCAAAAAATGCAGCAAGGTCATCAACATCATGCAGATCGTTCCTACAACTTGAATTGGTGCGTGATTTGACCACAGAGGAGATTGCAGAAGTACTATAATACTTCTAAGATTTTCGACGTCATTTTTATCACCTTGATTATGAAAATGATGATGTGGCGCAGCAACATTCTTTCCCAAGCAGTCGGAGCATTTGTGTGACTGTATGCACGACGAGCAGTAATCAGCCAAGAAAGTGTCGAACGGAGCTGATTATAAGGTGGAAGAATGTGCACTTGTAGTATGAAAAACATGGATCCGCGAGCAAGAAAGGTCGTGCCATTTACATTATATTACATGTACAGAGTTGTATGATCGAGTCCGTACATTCTAGACGGTTGTACTTACAAGCACAACGGAAAAAAACATCAAATGGAAATGTCAGTCATTCCATGAAGTGCATGTGCATGTGGATGACTTCTTCCGCGAGCCGGTAGTTGCGTCATTCCGCACCGCTCTTTGCTGCAGTTGCAGTGGATGGATTTGTTCTCAACATCATGCATAAGCATATATGCATTGCAGTTTAATGCGTTTGCCGTGGTCGTTCTTCCTGTTTCTTCTTCGTGTTTGTGTGGACCTATTCTTCAGGCTCCTTGCCGCCCCCTGGGCAGCACTCCATCTGATCATAGTTGTCGGCGATCAACAACAGAAGTATCGGTGGTCTACTTCGCCTTGTTAATAGGCGAGTCGAAGGTGACATTGATCAACATCAACCAAGATCAACCTAGATATAGCATTTGGTCTTTTGTTGCGATCGTCAAAAAGCCCACTGACGAGTGGAGGTGATAGGATCTTGTTACTAGTAGCTGCTACTTTATTCCAGTATGATCCACCATAACGTTCATTTCGGATCAGTCGTGAAAGAAGTGGAGCGGTGACGCAAGTGCATATGGATATCTTATTCTATAGCTGCAGTCTGAAGATCCTGAACTACGACGATCGTGATATTATTGTACTAGCCTAGGAACATGTGTGCATCTGAGGTGAGGGTCGAGCTCTATTTTATTGCGCGATGAACAAGACGAGGTACAGGATCTCACTATCAGTCTATTGACATCAAGAAAGCAAGGTCGTACGTGACACCCTGTCTCTAGTTGTGGTTCCACAAGATCGAAGAAACTATACATAAGCATTGACTTCTCTACTCGACGAGGAGTGTTGCTGCTTTTATCCAAATTTTATCGTAGAGCAAAAAGAATTTTGATTTTCGCCCACCACACTTCTACAACCAATAGAGTGACCGAACACAACCTAGTAGACTCAGAAATTTCACTGTTAGCTGCATACAGATGAAGGCAAATAAAGTAAATTTCAGACGCGTATTTTTAAACAAAAAGTCGATAGTACAACCACAACCTTAGCGCACACCGAAAGAAGACGGTAATCTCTCGGTCTATGGCAGTTGTGCCATCTGTTTGTATGTTGATGCTAGTACTTTTTTTACATGACGACAGGAATTCCAAAGAATAGAGTCAAAAGCGTATTTTTGTCGCTTTTGAGGAGCACATGAGCGGAGCCGAACGCGGACGATCGTAAACAAAAACAGGTCGTGTCTGCAGCTGATGGTCCGACCACTCTACGTTGATTTATTCGACTCCTCCGACGTTCCATCCCCCACTCTCCGTCTTGGAAATTTGACTCCCACCGGATAAAGATCACTTCAGCAACGTCACTCAGCCGACATCAAATCTTCAAAACAATCGACCCATCTCCAAAACAAGCAACCCCGACCGGCCATGATGACGGGGCAGCAAATAAAAGAACTTCCGAAGGCCGCGACGGTCACAAAAAACAAGGCACGACCTTTCTTTCCGCAAGTATCATATTTGTTTTTCCTGCTGGCAGGAGACCTCTTTCAACATCCGACTCCAGAGGACCATACGGGAGGTGGTGGACCACAGGTCGCTCCTCGGGTGAAGAAAAGGTGCCATGGCAGCAGCTCTCGTGCAGCGAGCGCAGGGAAAATCAAAGACGGGCGAGGCAGAAGCGATAGTTGTGTGTTTGCCGCTTCTCATGTCGGCGACGATGAAGAGAGCTTCAGCAGCAATTGTGGTGTTATTTCTGGACACGAACAAGCAGGCAGTAGAGCTAGCACGTGCAGCAAAGCTACTCCGACACGACCTTCTTCCACCAGCAGCTCATGGCGCAGCAGCTGCACCTCGGGCGGCTACCCGATAGAGGAAAACATCGCCGACGCCGACGGACCAACACGATGCAGTACGGATGAAGATCAAGACAGCAACTACGACTTCTGCATATTGGGGAGTGCGACCACCCGTGACGCTCGCGCTGCACACGGCCGGAACCATTTTTCAGGGACGCCTTCAATTCTTGAATTACCTTCCGAAAGAACGACATCTCACAACACCAGGCGGTCCCAATTATTCGCAGCTGGCTCAATCCTCGGTGTGAACGCGGCGGGTACTACTACTTCCGGTGAAGTTCCTATGGACGACGTAGTAGAGGGGTTTTCTGACAACTCCGATCATGAACTACATATGAACTGCAAAAGTATCGTACTCGTATAAATGCATATACAAATTTCCTCAGCATGAGAAATAAAATTTGTAATGCTGATTTACCTTAAGAAAAAGATTTGCAATGCATGACTGCAATACGAGTGCGATAGTTTTGCACAGGATACTACAAGACGAGGAGGGATTTTGTTCCGACGTTTCCGTTGATGATTGCTCCGTCCTATCAAACAAAAAAGTGTTAACCTTAACGGTTTTCATGGATTGCAAATATGCATGACAAATTTTGCTTAGCTGCATGCATGCTATGCACGACAAATTTGGGCACGTTTTGTGGTGCGTTACTGCATCACAAATTCCGTTCACGTTAACACTTTTTCCTGTGACACGTCCCTTCTTTCTTAAACAGTCCAGCTTCGGCCAGTCCTCCCGATTATTTCGAAGAACAACCGAAAAATGGCGATAGTGAAACAGAAAACGAAGATTTTTCCGATACGTTGGAACTGAATGAGCGAGAAGGTGGAGTCGCAGCTTATACAGTGCAGCCTTTATCATCATCACGCCGAGCTGCAGGAACGATCACTGGGAGTGGGTTGGTCCTTGATCATGGCGAAATAATTACGCGGCCTTACAAAAACCCGACAAAGGGACAAGTGGATCGTCGTCGTACCTTTGGTGCAAAATCTTCTGAGGTCGTGGATCCATCTGTGGGTTCTCCAGGCGAAGATTTCAGCACGACGACCATCGCCACGCCCGACGGGATCCAAAGTGGCGAACGCTCGCCGACACCGGGGGACTCGTGTCCAAGTGACTTTTCCACGACGTTGCCGTTCTCTTCTCCGGGTGGGTATGCAATAGAAATTTCTGTTATTATATATTTTTATCCCGCAGCACCGGTTGGTACAAAACCAAAGTGCATGACAGGTAGATTTCAATAGATGAAACTTGGTCTTGGACGTACGGTAGGTAGATACGCACGGAGATAAAAGATTGGCATGTAAGAACATAAAAGTTTTGTTGTCGTACCGCGTGTGGTGCTATGGTAAATCAACATTTACTCTTGATACTGATTCGTCGTCGGCAACGCGGGGTGGAGGGGCCGCAGGAGCCACAGTTTCCGATCTTCGCAGACCCTTAGAAGCAAAAAAATTTTTTACGACCACGAAGGCCCCTAGTTGTCGTGCCAGTGTTTTATCTTCCTCTGAGGACGAAGCGGGATGCCAAGACGAGTTAACTACAACCGACGCAGGACCACGGCCCGCGGTCCCGTCGTCGGGATTTCAAGGACGACAAGAATTTTTACCAAATCCTGCAGCGACAGCGGCCGCCCCAAGGCGAACGCGCACCTCGAGAAGTAACAAAATAGATGCGGCTCCTTCGAGGAGAAAATCGCCGAGAAAACAAGTGGGAGAAGACAACAAGCCCGGTAGAAGTACTACGGAAATGGTTCGGAGAGAGTTGCTGCCCGTGTTTGATGATGTCGCGGGAAAAGATGAGCAAGGCGATGATCTTCTTCAACACCAGGAAGAGAACAATCATCAAGAGGCTACAACTACTACCAGGGCGGCGAAAGACGCAGCTGTTCTACTATTCCACCAGCAGCAGAAGTGCTCGCGAAAACCGGGACCGAAGGTAGTAGTCCCGCAAGAATCTTCTTCTCGCAGAGCCGTGCCGGCTGAGAAGGAAGTAGAGGAAGATGAAGTCACGAGCTTTCTGTGCTCAGACAGATTAGCAGAAAAGACGATCGCCGCGGAAATTAAACTTGTCATAGCGCAAGAGTTGTCAAGACATCAACCTTCTGACGGGCGGGCACAAGAACAACGCGCGGTAGATCCAGACTCACCGCAAGTGCAAAGCCGCTGGGTTCCGATTGTGGAAAATTACTTGATGAGCAAGAACGTTGCTGGCGGACGCGGAATGTTCCCGTCGTTCTCGTCGTCGCACTATGCACCTTCCGTCAAGTTGCTGGCGATGCTGTTTCTTTTGCAGGTACTCGAGAGGACGTGGGGGGTGGAAGAGTCGATGGGGCAAATTGTCCGTTTCGATAACGCTCTCTACACGGATGCTTTGACGGTAGACACCTGGACTGCACTATCCTGTGCAAAAGTGTCGTACTCGTAGTAAAAGTAATTGCATTTTTGCATTACAAATCTCTTTCTCAAGGT